GACGTGAAAAGGCCTAGTTCTTAGACAGGCAGCCACAAACGCTCCTTTTTACAACCGTATTCATGTAAAATGGATCACTCCAGTATTCATCTTGAAATGACTGTATTCTGTGTTGCAACATATAATGATTACTACGCATTGACTGTATTGCGTGTTTGGTATACAACGATCATCATATGTCACACAATCAGACTATAGTGTTGAATCTACATTATGTGCACTCTTAGTAATTATACATTGTATGGTCACCAAGTTTGAACCCACATTCATGTATTGTGTTTGACTGTCAATATTGTCAATACAACTCTGTAAACACATTTGTTGTGTTCATCACCATCCAACCCAATCTCACCGTTTCAATCAATCTTGGTCAATGTTGATGATTTACACGCTAATTCATTATCCAATCTTGTCTGATATTATTATTGGCTTTAATCACGTTTGGTCTGTACAACTGCCATGAGTTGTACTACCATTATCATTGTGTATCTGATCACCAAATATTCCAATACATCAATAATACCACAGTGTAAACAGTAATACAGTTGATCAGTCTTGTGGCAAGACATTTCATTCAAGTTTGTATTTGGAAATACTCGATACTGAGCAAATGATCGATTATGTTGTACAAACGGGTTATTAGCAGTGAATGAGTAATCAACTAGACTGTTTACAATGCAATCAGACTAAATACATACAATACTGCCAATCTATGCAAGAAACATGTATCGACCAAAATAACAGACATTTCTAAAACCAACCCGTGATAAAGGACGGATTGGGCTGTCATATATATATAGTTGCATATCTACCAAACAGATCCAGACCGTACCATTATGCATGATATCACCCTGTTGTGGCTCAGTTATATCCACAACATTGTGTCTGGTACACATCCAACCCTCAACGCGCCAGAATAAAATTGAAACCACTTGTCAATAGATTCATGGCGCTGTACTAGCGTATACGCTTGGTCTGATGGTGACTAGTTGTATGCCAAACATGAGAGCATAAAGCAGTCAGCCCTAGATGTTGTGCACATTTGGTGAATACAAGTACAGTTGGATGTCACGGATAGCAACGATCGACATGACAGTGGACACTATTGGACATGTACACTGCAATGTGACTGTCAGCAACCATCACCATCAGTGTGTATCATGTGTTTAAAAAGTACTCGCATGCATTGGATTCAACACCACGTTTGTGATTGGGTTGATTGGAATGTATTGGTGGTGTTGTTTTGCATATACCAGTAGATTGTGTGCTGATTTGAATGACATGATCATCCATTGTGGTTCATGTACCACGATGACAATCTGATCTGTTGACACGGCCAGTTTGTTGAACGACCTGCCAATCTCCAATTTGATTATAGTACAATGTCACTCATTCGGTGTATCAACGACAGATTGCCGAGTTTGATGTTGATCATGTTATGACACAATCAGCAGTGTTTGATGTATACAGTCTAGATTGACCTAAAATGACCATGCAGTCATACCAATGGAAAAGTCATGGTTTGAAATACTGCAACAACAGGCTGTTGGATGCTGTTGTGTCCGAGTGATCCAAAACACGACCAATTGAACAATCAGTCAAATATTTGGTATACAGTGACAGTATATGCTGTAGTAATGAATTGTATGTGTGATGATAACTATCCAGTAATCAGAATGACAATTTGACACTACCTGATCACTGGATACATGATCGCAATTGGAGAGATCAACACAGCATACTACCGAGGTTGATTTTACATATTAACAGCGATGCTTATATATTGATTCGCCCTATATGGTGTTTCTGGGTTTGTCAACCCTACATGGTGTATTTGGTGTTTTCTAAATACCCATTTGGAAAGTGTCGATTGTCACCCTTGAAACTGCCGTTGTTATAAAACGGCAGTCATGTACCAGACTTGAGGTTTTCATCACACTACTCGATACAATGCTGATTACTCTAGAATGCATTCTACTTGCGTTACAAGCGGTTGCTGCAGTTCGACTTGCATTAGAATCACCTTTTGAAAGTGCCAGTCCATCAAACAATAGACTGTCAAAACGATCACCTGTTGAATTGGGTGGTGGTATTGATCAATGTTACACAATGAGATTTAATGTTCATGGAGTTGATGCATGTATCATGTCATGTCATTTATTGTAGTTTGATATCAATTTGCACCACGTTGAATCAATCTCACACTTGTTTAAAATAGTTGGGTTTGCAAGTCGAATCATCAGTTTTTGATATAGTGGTACCACTTCCTAGTTCAAGCAACGATATAGGCTTGGCTCCAGAAAGTACTCCAAGTGGGGAACCCGTTACTATAAAGTACAAGGGCGAAGAGTATAATGGAGTTACATCCACAGCCACTGTGACAATTCCGGGTACTAGTATAACTGACATCAATTTACCAGTGCTAGCAGTTGAAAAACAATCGGCAGATTCGGTTGGTATCAATCCAAATCTTGATGGAATATTTGGGTTTGCCTATCCCTTGTTATCAAATCAACATCCACAAGTCACTGCAATGGATGCTTTGTATAATGGTGGTGCCATTCCCAGTAACGAGGTTAGTCTTCAATTGTGTCAGTATGACATGTTGCATGAAAGTTTCATCAATATAGGAAACACGGAAATAACTCCAAAATGCGGGACAGATGGAAAAAGTGTTGCATGGGTACAATCACCAACAAACAATCAGTTTAGTATCAACATCAAGAGTATACTAGTCAATGGCAAACTAGTGGAGCTGCCTGATGAATTCCAAAAAAAAACAAGGGAAAGATGGACGTACTTTGTACTCGTATCTACAAACATGCTTTTTATGCATAGTTTTGCCTGAAAAACTCGTGGCTACGTTGATCAATGCTATTCTTGATAGCAATGCGATCACTTCTAAAAACATATTACTTAGGCGCAAACTCGACAAAGAAAAGGTTAAAAAAAAACTACAAGCAAATTCTCCAATGTTCAAATACAACTACAATATCAAGTGGGAAAAGCTGCCAACGGTTTCAATCGTCATGTTTGCTCAAACCCCCGTAACTTATGACAATAGCAACTCCGTTGTAACGATCAAACTGGGTCCTAGAGACTATATGTGGAAATATGATTCTGAAAAATGTAAATATCTGACAATTGTATGCAATATGTGTTGTTTGATTGACTTGACTAATATACATGTTGGATTATAGTTAGATTTTCTATAAAAGCTGGTTCAAATGACAAAGCAGCTCTTGATATACCATTTATGAGCCAACTTGCAGTCACATTTGATCGAACACATAAACGCATTGGGTTTGGTCCTGGATGTGGATGCGAAACTGCAACCAGCGAATATCCTACTATTTCAAACAGTGATCGAGTACTCTGGCCATTAACACAGTAAGTTGTTTGATATTGATATTGATGTGTCAATTGATACTGATCATGAATTTGATGCATACTGTTAGATTGACTGAACAACCAAGTACTTCAGGTTCAGATGGTGCATTTATTCGCAAAAGGAAACCATAACCACAACTGATCAAGCAGTCGTGCCTGAAAACACTCACCACGCTGTCAAGAGTCACAAACAAACTCTCAATAAACTCGACTGAATACAATTCATTAGTGACAAACTGCTAATATATATATTTTTAATGTGGTGTGTCCATGTTTGATTGTGTGATATTCCCCTTGTTTTAGTATAATCTGTAACCTTTGTGTCTGGATGAAAGATTATAAATATATCACATGATTAGCAAATCAAGCTAATTGTGCAAATATAATGTCCTGGCTAGATTCAACTGGATACTTTAGTTGATTTCAATAGTGTCTTGTATAGTCAAAATAATGACAAATATGGTATTATTGCACTATCATACAATGTATAATAACGGTGTGTTTGTCAATGTAATCAAATTTTGACATTAAAACAACAATGGTTAGTATTTTGCGCTATTCATTCACAAGTTCATGTATATTCACGATATTACTTAAAACAGACATTTATAAAAGTCGTATCATTTGTACACTATAATTCCGCCACTCATTCTTTCAATCAAATCATTACCAAGCCATTTTTGTCAACATCCACAGTTAATTTTATCCAAAATTGTGTAAAACAAGTGATTCTGACACTGTTTTCTTGAAACATATCAATTTATTTCATACAACATATTCCATTTAGCAATCTTTTCACAAGGGTGTTGAAAAAACATTCGTCCATGATGATTGTGATTGATATTGAACGCATTTGGTTTGTGGTTGCAATGTGAGTTCTGGTTTTAGAACTAATCAGAATCGGATTGTCTGGAATTGTCTGGAATTGTTGTTGTGCTAGATTGGTGTTTTCACCTATAATCACTGCTAAATTTGATTCAAAGTTGTCAGGTGTGATATCCTGACAAATTCTGACATTATCAAAATGCTTACCGTATACAAGTTGATTAAAGTTGCAAGTTGTCTGCCAAACTCATACTTGATGCTTCAATCGGACACGATTAGATGGTACAAGGATGTGTCAACAGAGCCATTATTTGTCAAAAAGCGTATGTTACAATAGTAAACTTGAATTTGGACTTTTCATGCTAAATGCATATCAATCCCTTGAATGGACACAATTGTATAATGCCAGTTGTATTAACAACATTGAGTTATCAAATAATTGGAATGGTTGGAATGGTTGAAAATATGCCATATCAGTTGCAAAATACAACTATCACTTTCTACTCTTCAAATCTGGTTGTATGACAGGGAGTTGTATAACGTATTGCTTCAATCCATGAATGGGTTGTACCTGCTCTGTGCCATCAATTGGGTTGAAACTCTGCTTTTTGAACCCTTTAAACTGGTGAGGTGGAACCACAAAATAAAGTTTGAGTTCATCATACAAATTGCACAGTTTTGTAAGAATATCAACTTCGCGAATAGGATGTTCAGCAACAGCTGTAAATTGGAACATTCCCTGTCGACTGAGTGAATCAATTGCCACAAAACTATCGTCATCTGTCGGTTCGTAATAGTTGCCATCAAGTGCTGCAGCAGTAGGAATAGTATTTATTCCAAATGTAATTCGTTGGCCATTGAGTGCATCCAAAGTGATCTTTGTTGCTTTACCATCTTCCAGGCATCTGCATTTGAGAGTTTGTCCACCAGTACAAAAAACCACATGTCCGTATATTTCAAACAAATGTCTTGAAATCTCGGTTGGAATACTATCAAACATTTGCTGCATATTGGTAATCATTTGAGCAGAATGACGTTGCCAAAGTTGTTCTCCAACATATCTTGAAGCAACATCAACATGCAGGAATTTGTACTGTCCGTCGTCCGACACAATGGTATGAAGCAATGTATGAGTATTTGCAGATATCTTGATTGTGATTCCAATGTTGTGTACCCCTTTGACTGCATCAACATCAGTCAAAGCTTTCTCCATTGGATTTGATACAATATCAAAAACAGAACGAGCTACACCACCATACATGCGATATCTCTCATTGATAGTCTCAATGGGTACATCCGGATAGCAATGACGTCGACAAGTCTGTAACTCGTCCAAAGTCCAAACAGGAAAATACCATTGCCTTGCCATCTTTTGTTTGACGAATTCCTTGTATCCTTCAGACTGAGGAGATGACATGAACAAGACAATACAACATGATGGCATTGGAGTCGTGTGTCCATCAACAATATACAATGTGTCTTGTTTCCAAACAATATTGGCCACTTCAAGTCCAAGCTCTGTGACGAGTTGTTGCTGCAAGTCAAAGCATTTGTACGAGGATCCCACTTGATAAACAATCCGGTTTGGCTTCAAGGACAGACTTTTCGTGGTAAAGTCATCCATCAAGCGATGCAATATGTAGACAAAAAACAGTGACTTTCCGATGCCTGATGTTCCAGATATTGCAAATGATTCGATGCCACAATCAATTTGATCCAAAAGCAAGCCAAACACATCTTTATAGCATTCTCTAACATATAGTTTTTGGATTTTGTCTTGGGTGTATGGGAATAGGACATGATCTGTCGACTGTATGCATTCATCGATCAGCTGGGCGTTTGCAAACGACTTGAATTGGGTTGTCAAATCATTGGGTTCGGTACGTTGTCGTTTAGGATAAAAGTCTTGATGGTTTGCTGTTAATAAAGAAGTAGAACCTGCATCAAAAATGGCACTTTTGCTTGGTTTCCTGATAGGTGGTGGTAAACAACCAATGACAACACAATAACCATCTTGAGTAAAGTATTATTGAGGAAGGGAGTCGAGTAAAGCCCAGGTGTTGATTAGTTGGCTCTTGTTACTGTCGGTGTAGAGTTGGAGTTGAGGAGCATCAATGTCAGCCATAACAGGACCATACTCAGACTTGATAGCATCCTGAACGTCACTCGGGTCTTCAAAGTCAGTCACATTGATTTCAGCAGTAAGTGTGTCGTATTCAACATTGAGGTATCGTTTTGGCATTTTATGAAAAGAAAAAAGAGTAAAAAAGCAATTTATTTGTCAAATTGTAAAACAAAAATCGACTTTTTAATCGAGTCAAAATAACAAAATTTTGGGATATTTCAAGACAATTCACACGATTGAAATATTTGGAAATTAGTCAAATTTACACCAGAATTAATGTCTCATTAATGTGAGACATTACTAGTGTGAGAGTGTTGACTTGCATTGTGTGAGACATTAGTAGTGTGTGAATGTGAGACATTTCTGAATAGTTTAACAATCAAAAACCATCAACAATGACGTTTGAACTGGGATTCACATGGCTTTCTTGTCTCCTATTTTATAAACACACTCACTCACTTGTTAATAAATGACGTAATCGAATATTGATTCATTCATTCACACCTTCAATCAACTGCAACACACTTGACAATAATGACAACCATCAATATGCCATCATATGTTCACAATCCTTAGCTATTGTCCATCAAACAAGCAATGCAGTCAATGTGTAGCATCAACCAACCGAATATGTAACCATTGTGTATTGCAATGTAGAACACAATCATTGTACAATGAATACAAGTGATCCATTTTACACATACACAGCTGTAAAACGAAGCGTTTGTGGTTACACAACACCCTTGAAGGGTGTGCTTCTCAATATACCTGATAAAGGGTTGTAGCAACATAGTCCAATCGACATCAACAGCAAAACGGTCAATATGATATTGTGGATAGGGAGCAACATTCTGTGGTTTGATAGTGGCCTACCACAAGCAATCAAGTAACCCTGTGTAGCCGGTTAGCCTAAAAGGGTTAGGGTTGGTTTACTATACAGAAATATAAATACAATCGATTGAGTTCAACTTTATAATCGACACGTTTCGACACTCTACTTTCTACTGATTGTTTAAACACATTGACCAGTCTGATGAAATTGGTTGATATTCTATTCGTACTGACTGCGGCAGCAACTGCCAATGCAATACTGATCCCGACTGATAATAATGGTTCACTCCAAGCATCAGTCACTTCGAGTCAATTGTCTGGCCCAACTGATGAACCCAGTCCAGTTACTTCCAATGAATACCAGCAAGAACCAATGGATTTGAGTATTCACAACCGAATTCGGCAACAACCAATGGATCAACCCGGTCCAAATACTCCCGGTCCAAACCAGCGACCAACTGTGATTGTATTTGGTCCAAGTACTTTCAAACAAGGCCGTAAACGCATAATTGATTTAACCACTTCCGACCAAGACCAACAACAACCAACAGATGTAGCTGGACCGAGCACTGCCAAACAAGGTCGGAAACAACCAATTGATCAGCCCAGCCCAAGTACTTCTAACCAAAACCAGCAACAACCAATGAACAAAGTCGAGCCTGCTAATACTGCTTCAAATCAAGTGACTGAATTAGGCAAAGGAAATCAGATAACTTTTGATGATATAAAGAAAAATCTTGAAGCGTCTAAAGAATTACGAAAGAAAAAACTCAAAGAATATTATGAATATATGGCTCTTAGATTGAAACAACAGTCAGGATTAGAAAAAGGGGAAGATATATCTGGATCAAGGCACGATCCAGAAGTTGAAAAGCAATTGAAACAAGAGTATATAGAGGCAGTTACAAGAGTATTCGGTGTCCAACAAGAATTGAAAGCGTTTATGATAAAGCATAGTTTGGAAATCGAAGAACTGGGTTTGGATTTGGATTAATGATTTGTCAATGATTTTGATTTTGAATAAATTTAAACTTTCTGATATGTTGGTGTTTATCGAGTATCGTGAATGGGTCAACAACCATATCATTGATTGAATACTATGTTGGGTATTACATCAACAGTTATTTGGTTGTTGATTGATACATTGGCACGGTTTGTCAGGTGAGTTAAATCAACAGAATTGAATAGTAAACTTGATTGTTTTAATGTAATTTCAAAAGTCACATCATAGGTTGTTTATTTAACAAGGGGAATGTTTTGGTTATTATAAACGTGTCTGTTTAGAATAACAGTGCCTGATGTGTATATTGCATAATGTTTAGTAATCATGAACGAAATCATATTAACCAATAGAATGTTAGATATTGGTAATGTGTGATTTTTGTAATGGAACTTTGATTGTTGAGATGTGCACTCTGTTGACATGTATTGTGTGTGGATACTTGTGTGGGATTCTATGTTTGGTACACAAGTATAGCCACCACTGATAGAAGATCTATAGTGATAAGGAACCCTCAACAATGATATTTGAGCTATGGTCCTCATATCTTTCTTGGTATTGTTCCACTACTATCTCACCTCATAAAAGATACGATCTTGGATTAATAAACAACGCAATTCATACATTGGTTCATTACTTTATTGTCATATTTTACTTACTGTGATATACTTTCGACTATGAACCACACAAATATGTCCACAAGCTACAAGAACCAGCCAAATCATTTATATCACCCGAGTCAAATAGTCCAGTGGTATCAATGAATTGGTGTCAAATGGAATGGGTTGATTGGTAACCCCAAATGACAATATACACAATTGCATAGATCCAGCAGTGGTACTGCAGTGATCAATTCAATGCATAGTAGTTGATTGGTGCAATATGATCAAACCATTAGTCTAATACACTATGGTTTAACAATACACGATGTTTATTGAATGAATGACAAATAACAATTAAACCAACATGCAATACACGCTGCATTACAACATATTCTGGATGATGGCCCATTTTGAGTTGCAACAATGTGACGAGTCTATGATTGAAAAGTTTGTTGCAAAACATCAGAATCTTGAAAAGTTGCATCATGTTCAGATTATGGCAATCACTGTGATAAGCGATCGTAGAAATACTTGAGGCAATCCCGATATCCGTAAACTGATTTCGGTGAACTATAATAATCATTCAGTGATACTCCAAATGAAGAATGGCTTGTAAGTTTGGTTGCCAACTCATTATTTTCTTCCGTCCTATCCAAAAGTTTCCAAACGTAATCAGTTGCATAATATCTGGATCCTTCACAACGTTGACGATTATACTCATAATCGGTTTTAGCAGAACTCAATTTCCGACTCGGAACTTGACTCATACTCTCGAGCTTTTCCTTCTCTCTAACAATCAATCCTTCCTGAATATCAGCATCAAAACGTTGACTTTCAAGTAGTTTAAACGCTTTCATGGATTTAATCCGAGATTTTGCAATTTCTTCGATCAACGACAGTTCAGTAGCATCAAATCGACCGCAATATTCCTTAAATTCATCTGTGCTAGGAGATTCTGGAGAGCCAGATCCACCATCTGAAGCTCCGCTTGAAGAGGCTGTCGAAGTGCTAGCTTCAGCACTCATGGTCGAACTGGGATCAGTTGGATTGGCAATCGTAACCGAACAGATAGCAAGGATTGATGATAGTACGGTGATTGAGAATTTCATTGTATTGGTTTGGTTAGGCAAGTTGTAATGATTGTTGCTCAATACGTCGGTTTGGTGTCATATTTGTATACATTATTAGATTGATAATATTAAAAGCATATTCCATGAACGACCGTCCTAAGGGATTTGTGTTGTCGGGGTTAGCATTGATTTACTGCTATGAATGTCAAGGTAACTTTAAAGGGATCCCCTTTATACAATTGCCCATTGCTTGATTTAAACCCTGATATCAGGGTTAGCGACCAGAGTATATTTCTCGCACTATGGTGTTGCTACATAGCACATTCCAGGTGATATCATTACATGGCGGCATACAAGCAATATTGTACATCCACACCAATTATGTTGCAAACACTCGAAATCTCGCCTGTTCAACATCACATTGTCACCAATACAATAGTATGTGACATGATCATATTGCACCAATCGACCAGTATACGATCACTGAATACACCACACGTTGGTGTTTACCACTGCATATGTGTGGTGTATATTGGTTATAGTGCATGATATCAACGAGTTTATACATACTGCTTGCATACCACACACACCACGCACATCAAACCGACTCAGTGCTATGCAAGTGCTGCGGTTTGACCAAATCACAATCACACATATTGTCGACTGTCTAACTTGTTGACATTCAAACCGTGCCATCACTAGTCACAATATAATGGTTGACTGACTTGTTTGATTGACCTGACATTGACACTTTGCAAACCTTGACTTGATTCATCAACTTGGATATTCATATAATATTGGGTCTGTATCATCACGTTGGACTCGTTATCAAACACCTTGATGTGTCCATGCAACACAAACTCGATATACACACATTGGTTATTGTTTGACATGACTGAGTCGATCATCAATACCAGACAATGCAACTGTATTAGTTGTATGATACAATCAATCATGGTTGATTCATCACCATCAAATATCAAATGTTGATCACGTATACATTGATTTGTAATTGCATGGTCTGTTGGCAATACACACTATGATATGATTGACAAGTTGTTGATTTGCAGTAATCAGATGTGCATCACCTGTAACATTGGATACAATTGACGAGTTGCAACCGCCAGTCAACAATCATGGATATGTTGGTGATTGTATTGACTACATGATTGGTATTGATTAGCTGTCATGATCGATTAGTGGACAATACAATCCACATTGATATGACGTGTCGCAACCAGTTGATATATGCAGAGTCGACTGATAATCGACTATATGTTGATGAGTAACTCTGTCACTGTTTGTTTTGATTGGTCATTGCTACCGCTTGTATATGCAGTGTATCCATGTGTGATGTATTGAATGTTGGACAATATTCATGATTCAAATATCGACAGTCAAACATTGGTTAACCAACAGTTGTACGATTATACAACTGACCCGTGTATTGACAAGTGATCAACCTCGATCCGGTCATAATTGAAATAGTGTATCACAGAACTCGAAAGTTGACACATTATTGTTGTGGTGTGGTGTTGGCAACTACACACAAATTGACATGAATGACAATGTTGATGTCAACTAAAAAGTATTGACGGTTTCAACCAAACAGTGATTTGTTGAAAACCAATACTATCTTGACATATCGACATCACACATTGATAGTAGTGTCAGAATACCACATGGTTCCAAGTAGTTCAAACCAGTCAATGTGTAGTAGCCATTGTGTATTGCAACTCAGAATACAGTCACTACAAGATGAATACAAGTAATCAATTTGACGTCAATACGACACTACATACATTACATTACAAACTGACACAACACTGATTGACCAATATCGAACCGGTTAATGACGCAATCTACATCCGACTTTAAACGGGTGTATTGCTCCGTTTGTTGTACAATACACGACATGATCAGTTGATGTATATGGAACAAGCCGTGCCAATGTATCAATCAACAATCCAATAACTGTTGATGTAATACCCAACACAGTATACACAATCAACAATATGATTGTTGACCCATTCACAATACTCGACAAATACCAACATATCAGAAAGTTTAAATTTATTCAAATCAAATTCATTGACACATCATCAATCCAAATCCAAACCCAGTTCTTCCAATTTCAAACCCTGCCTTTTCATAAACTTTTTCAAGTTTCGTCTGGCATCGTATACTCTTGTAGCTGTATCTCTACACTCTTGTTTCAATTTTATTTCAATTCTTGGATCGTGCTTTTTTCCAGATATCTTTTCCCCTCTTAATAGCGCTGACCGTTGCTTGTATCCAAGGAATTCATATTCAGAACATTCTTTGAGTTTTTTCTTTTGTATTTCTTTAGACTCTACAAGATTTTGCTTTATACGATCAAAGGTTTTTTGATATCTTTGGCTTAATACAGCTATTTGATTTGAAACAGTATTGGTAGACTCGCCTTGTCCCATTGGTTGTTGTTGGTCTTGTCTGGAAGTACTTGTACTAGACCGATCAGTTGGTTGTTTTCGACTTCGTTTGGGAGTGCTTGGACTGGGTTGACCCATTGATTGTTGCTGGTCTTGATTGGAAGTGCTTGGACTGGGTTGATCCATTGGGAGTTGCTGATCCTGGTTTGAATTGATTGAATTGACTGCATCGATTATTTCTTGCCAGTCTTCAGAAGTGCTTACACTGATTTCATTCATTATGAATTTCCAATATTTATCAGAAGTGTTTAAATCGGATTGATCCATTGAATGTTGTTGGTCTTGGCTGGAAGTGCTTGGATCAGATGTATCCATTTGTTCCTGGTATTCATTAAAAGTGTTTGAATCGACTTTATTTGTTGAGTATTGCTGGTTTTTGTCGGGAATTCCTGTATTGTGTTCATCAGTTGATTGTTTCCGACTTTGTTTGGAAATGCTTGAACCGTGTTCATCGATTGGCCGTTTTTGACTTCGTTTGGGAGTGCTTGGACTGGGTTGACCCATTGGTTGATGCTGGTCTTGGTTGGGAATATTTAAATTGAATTCATCAATTGGTTGTTGCCAGTCTTGATCAGAAGTGCTTGAATCAATCGAATCAAATATGCTTTGCCAGTTTTCGTCAAAAATGCTTGAATTAATTGCATCCATTACTTCTTGCCAGTCGTCGGAAGTGCCTGGATTAGGTTCATTGGTTGGATCAGATACTTGACTGAAAGTGCCTGATGCTTGGGGTGAACCATATTTATCAGCTGGAGGAAGTATTGCATTAGCGGTTGCTGCCGCACTCAATACGAATAAAATATCAACCAATTTCATCAGATTGGTCAATGGGTTTAAACTATTAGTAGAAAGTAGAGTGTTAAAACTGGTGTCAATTAAAAGACTGGACATACTCGATTGTATTTGTATGTTTTGTATAGCAAACCAACCCTAACCCTTTTAGGTTAACCAATATACAGGATCACTTGATTGCTTGTAGTGGGTTACTATCAAACCATAGTGTGGTGCTCCCTATCCACAATATCATGTTGATGATCGTGTCGATTGGATTATGCTCTTATGACCCTTTGATCAGGTATATTGAAAAGCACCCTTCGGGAGTGTTGTTTAACCGCAAACGCTTTGTTTTACAACCGTATTCGTGTCAAATAGATCACTTTGATATTCATTCTACGGTAACTGTATTTCGCATCGCAACATACAATGGTTGCATATTTGGTTGGTTGTTACTACACATTGACTGTAGTGTGTGTTCAATATACAACAACCATCATATGACACACAATCAGACTATAATGTTGAATCTACACTTTGTGCACTCTTAGTAATCATACACTGTACGATCAACAAGTTTGAACCCACATTCATGTATTGTATTTGACTGTCAATGTTGTCAATACAACTCTGCACACATTTATTGTGTTCTGAATCACGGATACGATCGCAATCTAGTTCAACAACAATGATGGCACATGTCAGTAATGCAACTGTTTATCACACACCAACACTGTTATTTGGTGGTCCATTTACATCAATATGGTTGCAAGTTGTCGTTATATCACGTATTCTGGACATGGTTTTGATATTGCACATCCAGTTCCATCACATTGTTGCTGACCAATCATTGTAACGATGTATGTATCAAACGCTGTCATGTCACCATAACCATAACCAGTAAAGTGACATTCGAGTTGTTTACTGTGATCAGTATATGAAGCCCAGTTCGACTACACATACTGGATCCAGTCTGTTGGTTGTTTCAGTTGATCTTGATCCACTTTTGATGTTTTGTCCGAGATTGACAATACAAATGTGTCGAGCTGAACCCAAACTACGCGACTCGACTGTTCATGTCAATTGGATCGTGACTGAACTATGCGATCATGATGTGTATTCAATCAATACCATGTATTACTAATACAATAGTATGCGTGATCATCGTGTATTAAACAACTACAATACACACTGGGCTGATCCAATACATGCACGGCTTGAACATATCACACAATCAAACATGGACACACCACATTAAAAATACATATAATATCAGTTTGTCATTAATGAATTGTATTCAGTCGAGTTTATTGAGAGTTGTTGCGTGACTTTTGACAGTGTGGCGAGTGTATTCAGGTACGACTGCTTGATCAGTTGTAGTTGATGCATCCATAATGGGAATGAGCAGTCAAACAACGTGTAATACAAAATTAGCAAGTTGATGGATATAATAAAACTGACTATTTATTTAATAGTGCATAACATTGATCTTTTTGTAGTCGAAATGATGTACATGAACACTAATATGATCTGATATTGCATAATCACAGCATATTATCATTGTGCAGCATGTTGATGAGTAACCACTTCACTTGAACATCAAAGCTTTCAATACCATCTTGTGATGATCAGAATATACTTGCCGCATGATGTCGTTGCACAGCATATTTTAATGAAATTCAACCCTAATATCGACTTTCAGTTTGAACAACGAATCATCATGTAAACACAACTCCCTTCAAAACTACCCTGACAATAACACAAGCTCCTTAGGACGGTCGTTCAAAAAGCATGCTTACAATATCATACACTAACATATAAATACAACCTAAACATCAATCTGCCAAATGATAATCTACAACTTGCTTGACCAAACCAGTAAAAATGAAACTTTCGATCGCCATATTGTCATCGATCCTGTTTGCCTGCTCGGTCACTGTTGCCAATCCAGTTCTTGACAGTTCGACTACAAATACTGCAACCAGCACTTTGTCAGCATCTCCTAGTGCAACTGCAACTAGCACTTCATCAGCATCTCCTAGTGCAACTGCAACTAGCGGGACTAGTCATTCAAATTCTTTGAGTCCATATACTATATATATGAATAATTGCTATCCGATTAGTTTTGATGCATTGAAAATGATCCAACTACTTGCATCAAATTCACGTAAACTTGAAAGACTATCGAAAGATATTGACAAGAAAAACGCTAAAGTTGACGAAAAAAAGAAAATGATCAGTGAGCTGAAAAATGAAATTGAATATCTCAAGAATAACCCTTCGAGCAACGAGTCGGAGATTGCCGAACTCGAATCTACGTTTACTAGCCGCAATAAAACTTTCAAAAAACTTTGGAAAAATTTAAGTATACTCTTCCGGAAACATTCACAAGCATGTCAGTTAAATACCGAGCTACGAAGGCAACTTAAAGATTACTTTATGGAACATCATTCAACTGAAGAAACGAATACTGGTGGTGGACCATATCTAAATAGATACCCTGTATTTACAAGTTGCTTCCGTAGCTTCTACAATGGTGTATTTCAACGATTGCCAAGATCCAAGAATGGTGTAATCCTTCGAGATTCTGGTGCTTGGAAATAAACTTTTGGACCAGATTCGTTACATTGTTGGAGTTGAGTGAACCATCACAGTCTCATCCAGTATATGTTGTAATGCAGCGTGTATTGCATGTTGGTTTAATTGTCATGTGTCATGCATTCAATATCATTCATTCAATAAACATCGTGTATTGTCAAACAATAGTGTATTATACTAATGGTTTGATCATATTGCACCAATCAACTACTATGTGCTGTCATGACTGATCATTCGGTGTGCTACACACATTGAATGCATGCAAATCCATGACTGTCAACCCCTTGTTGTTGAAATGGGTTCAAATCACCATCAGCTCACTCACTCGTTGCACCGATACGATTGCATGATCAACCTGACACCAACCAAACCACACTCGAATATATATGTTCCATTCATGTGCATGGTGTATCGATTGTCAACTCACAATGTCAACTCCAACACATTCCACTATGATTATGGTCACATCACACCATGCTGATGTATGTCGATCGGTATCACATTGCAACCAGTTATCATCCAATGACTGCAATGCAATACCGTGCATGTATTGTGACTGATACGTTGTGCACCATCAGCCAGTGTGCAACTGTCACTTGATATATCGAGTCTGATATGCAACAACATGCTGTGTTTACCATGATCAGGTTTTTGATCAATCTTGGACTCACAATACATGATTTGACATGTTGGATCGTGTGGATGTGTCATGGACTGCAATTTAGTTGCAGACACACATATGTTTGACATTGACCGATGCATACTGTGCAACGACTGATCAGTGCAGGTGTGATTGCACACTTGGTGGTATTGTGCATTATAGTTGTTTGACAATGGATGAATGCTGGATTAGTCGGTTATATGCAACCCATTTGAATCGACCTATTTGAACAAACACTCGATGTAACTGACAAAAAACACTGCCAGCCAATGTTTGCACGGTACGAATATGGTTTGTCTGCATCAAATCATCACACAATCTGTATCTCAGCACTCGTTTATTCAAAATAAAATGTATTCAACCACATGTTTGATTACATGTTTGGCTACAGACAGTTTGTGTGATAAACTGCATATCATCGACTGAGCTACACTGCATGATCCACTATGACATTGATACACACGTTCAATTCAGCAATGCAGTTGTATTACAATGCTGACAACTATCTGAACCAATTCAGTACAATATGTTACAACTAAATAGATTCCATTGACACATTAACAGTCATACATACCGATTGTTGAACATGTTCGTGTTGATTGGTGTGCATTGATACAAGTTGTCAAAGCCAACCAACAAATCACTATATTTGTACGGATTGTGTACCATGGCATATGTTTGAACAGATACTGCACGAATCATTGTCATTTTGATTGAATAATCAACAAATACCATTGTGACTACACATGTATGCATATCTGAATGGGTTACAACCGTGTTGCATTTCATGACACTCGATTGAAATGTCATGATTGGATATTTTTCCAAATAGTAAAATGGTATCTCGTAAAATTGTTGAAATGCATTAATTATGGGATTGGATAATCAATTGGATACCACTGCTCACTTTGTTGGTGGCCAGTATCACATGTGTATGATATCAATATGTTGCACGACTATAATCCAAACAGGTTGGAGCATGTCACGTAGCGATACAATCAACTTGGTGCACCACATGTCAGCATGCCAGTATTGGAGACATGTAGTGTTACAATGATGTATCAGCAACAATGTGATGGAATCGGATGGCAATATTAAAGCCATGTCCATAATACGTCATATAACAACAACTTGCAACCATATTGATGTAAATGGACCACTAAATAACAGTGTCATTGATGTATATGGAACAAGCCATGCCAATGTATCAATCAACAACCAAATAACTGTTGATGTAATACCCAACACAGTACGCAATCAATAATATGATTGTTGACCCATTCACAATACTCGACAAACATCAACACATACCAGAAAGCTTAAATTTATTCAAAATTAAATTCATTGACACATCATCAATTCGAATTCGGCTCTTTAAACTCCAAACCATACCTCTCCATAAACGCTTTCAATTCTTGTTGGACACCGAATACTCTTGTAATTGCCTCTATATACTCTTGTTTCAATTTCTTTTCAAACTCTGGATCGTGCCTTGATCCAGATATATTTTCCCCTTTTTCTAACCCTGATTGTTGTTTGCGTCCAGCAGTTTTATATTCAGAATATTCTTTGCGTTTTTTCTTTTGTATTTCTTTAAACGCTACAAGTCTTTTCTTCATATCATCAAAGATCATTTGATCCTGTTTGCCTAATTCAGTCACTTGATTCGACCCAGTATTTCCCGGCTCTTTGTCCATTGACTGTTTTTTGTCTTGGTTGGAAGTACTCGACTTTACCGAATGCTGTTGATCTTGGTTGGAAGTACCTGGCTCAGATATATCCATTGGTTCCTGGTATTCATTGGAAGTGTCTGTATTAGGTTCATTGGTTGTGCTGGACACTTGACTGGAAGTACTCGACTTTACCGAGTGCTGTTTATCTTGGTTGAAAGTACTCGACTTTACCAAATGCTGTTGATCTTGGTTGGAAGTACCTGACTCAGATATATCCATTGGTTCTTGGTATTCATTGTAAGTGTATGCAACAGGCTCATTGGTTGGGCCAGATATTTGACTGGAAGTACTCGACTTTACCGAATGCTGTTTATCTTGGTTGGAAGTACCTGGCTCAGATATATCCATTGGTTCTTGGTATTCATTGTAAGTGTCTGTATTAGGTTCATTGGTTGGGCCAGATATTTGACTGGAAGTACTCGACTTTACCGAATGCTGTTTATCTTGACTGGAAGTACTCGACTTTACCAAATGCTGTTGATCTTGGTTGGAAGTACTCGACTTTACCAAATGCTGTTGATCTTGGTTGGAAGTACCTGGCTCAGATATATCCATTGGTTCTTGGTATTCATTGTAAGTGTATGCAACAGGCTCATTGGTTGGGCCAGATATTTGACTGGAAGTACTCGACTTTACCGAATGCTGTTGATCTTGGTTGGAAGTACCTGGCTCAGATATATCCATTGGTTCTTGGTATTCATTGTAAGTGTATGCAACAGGCTCATTGGTTGTGCTGGACACTTGACTGGAAGTACTTGATGCATGAGGTAAACCATCTTTTTTAAACGGTATCAATATTGCATTAGCGGTTGCTGCCGCAGTCAGTAAAAATAGAATATCAACCAATTTCATCAAATCGATCAATGTGTTTAAACTATTAGTACAAAAGTAGAGTATTGAGATTGATGTCAATTATAAAACTGGACATATTTCATCATATTTATATTTCTGTATAGTAAACCAACCCTAACCCTTTTAGTTTAACCAACAACACAGGGCTATTAGATTGCTTGTGGTGAGCTACTATCAAACTAGATAGTATGATGCTCCCTAGCCATAATATCATATTATGCTTTTACGACCCTTTTATCAGATATTTTGAAAAATACACCCTAAGGGTGTTGTGTAACCACAAAACGCTTTGTTTTACAACCGTATTCAGTAAAATAATCCATTTGGTATTCATCCAACAATGACTTATTGTGTATTACAATATACAATGGTTGCATACTCGGTTAGTTGATATTACATATTGACTGCATTACTTGTTCGATATACAACCATCATCATATGACACACAATCAGACTGTAGTGCTGAGTCTATCTTTGTGCACTTTTAGTAATCATACATTGTACGACCACCAAGTTTGAACCCACATTCATGTATTGTGTTTGACTTCAATGTTGTCAATACAACTCTGTACACTCATTTGTTGTGTTCATCACCATCCAACTCAATCTCACCATTTCAATCAATCTTGGTCAATGTTGATGATTTACACGCTAATTCATTATCCAATCTTGTCTGACATTATTATTGGCTTTAATCACGTTTGGTTTGTACAACTGCCATGAGTTGTACTACCATTATCATTGTGTATCTGAACACCAAGTATTCCAATACATCAATAATACCACAGTGTAAACAGTAATATAGTTGATCAGTCTTGTGGCAAGACTTTTCATTCAAGTTTGTATTTGGAAATACTCGATGGTTTAATCACCACACACTGTTTGTAATGCGATTGTCATTGATCTCAGTCCAGTCCATTTGATCACATCCGATTTATGATGATGTTTAGTAATCCATTACCATGTGTTGTAGTAAACTAGTTTGTTTATTGAACCAAATCCACAACGATCACATTCAGAATATTAATTTACAGTATTTCTAAATGCATGTTTGATAACAATCCAATTTTGTTACAAAAAACTGATCAAAACAATACTAAAATGGAACAATTCGTTTGTGTGTTTTACAACAATCCAAACAAACAATTCTCGGCAATTGTTGGACATTCGCATGAATGAAATTGCCATCAAAACTTGATCAAAATTCAACTTTACTAATTTTATCAAACATGAAGTTGGATGATAACATGAAAGAGTTGATCCAACACCTGGAAGATCTGAAACTGTTAACAACGGATGCTCAACTACACAAGGCTGATGAAATATGGGACAGACTGCTTGTGTTGATACTGGAGTTGGAAGAACAGAATCGCAGTAAGTTTAATAGTTATTGTATTATTGATGAATTCAAATCATTTCTGACTTTGTATTGGTTTAGAGTGACAGAGTCTACAGATGTATTGCAGCGCTTACAGAGTATTGGACTGGAAAATATCACAGCCAAGTATTTGGAGTATAATCGACCCAGTTTACAGGTATTCATATATTGTAACAATAATGGATTGTTGTTCATGACTAAAATAATCAACATGTGCTGTGTAGATCGAAGTAATGAAGTTTACTGCAGTGTTTTTGAGAATGGTGTACAGTAATAATGAGTTCAAAATATCTCAACGACTAAGCAATCAAATTGTACAACTCATGCAATCACCAAGTCGTCAAGTCAAAATGGCGGCAAGTCATGATTGATATTGATCAAATGATTGACATTCAACTCATCTAGTGTCAATATGCATATAGGCGATAAACACATGTACAGAGTTATACAAATATAAACGCTGGAGTGAGGAGTGTAAAATTGATTTTAAGCCAATGGTTGAGATTATTGTTCACGATTCTGATCAACAAGTGCTCACATTGGCGATTGGCCTGTTCTTGCAAGTTTGTCATGATATTGACGATGGAAATGTATGTTTACAATGATACAATATTGGATCAGTTTGGACAGTGTCATGTCATGTCATGTTGATTTGGTTGTATACTTGACATTGAACAATATCATTAGTTTGGCATCGTGCTGTCAAGACTTGTTTCACGACTGGAATCATCCAATGGTCTAGTTGCTGTTGGGTTTATCAAAAATCTTCAAACCATGTATCGGAGTATTCATCGTCATGACCGAGTAAAAGCAATGGAATGTGGCATCATTCCAGCAATAGTCAATACGCTCAGGTATGTGGTGTTATGCATGAATGTGTGTCCAGTCATTACAATTGGTAAATTTGACATGGTTGGATTGATATGACATGACATGAATACAGGAGTGTCGATCAAGAAGTGATTTATGAAAGTATTGCTGCTATTGAGAACTTTTGCAAACATGCAGATTGTGAAGTGATTTCAGCCGAGTTGATAAGGCTGGATTTGATTCAAACACTGAACGACTTGTGTATCAAACACAGCAACGACTTTGCATTAAAAATGCGCATGATCTGGATAGCAGGAACAATTGCATCTGGTATGCGCGACTTTCCTGTATCGCTTGTACGATCGTTGGTTTTTGAGCAATTGACGATATCAGTGTGTGATGTCGATATAGATGACTCTTTGTACCTGTTTAATAATGTCAGCGACATGATTCAGAAATCTACAAACAAGGCCGAGATGATCAATGTGTTTCAAGAATATGGAATTGTAAAGCAGCTCATCACTATTTATTCACGTAGAGATGTAAATCTGTATGATTATGGTAGTAACACTAGTATTGTAAAACTAATCAAAACAATTGTTGATTTTGCCGATAATCATTCCGACAGTTCAATACGTACCGAGTTGGATCAAGGCGAGATGTTTGAAAATCTAATGGATATTGTAGATTTGAATACTGACTGCAATGGAAAAAGCAGAAGGGTTGCTGAGCAGATCATTGGAATGTGTTTTCAGCATCGGGTTCAGACTGCTAGTTCGAGCATTCAGCCATACAACGACAATGTCAAAATTGATACGAGTTCTGGAATGGCCGGATATGTACGTGGAGAGGTACGCACACTTGTCGAGATGCAGTATATCCAATATCTGCAATCTATACTTTGCAAATCCATGTGGTGGATCGATATCACAAACCAGCATATTGTGGAGCAATGGAGGACTGACTCACTCGATCAGAATATATCACCATCAACATTTAATCTTGCATTGGAACAACTCGGGGTTTTTGTCAAACAGCTTGTTTGTAGTGGCAGTGATGGATTTGGCACAATTGTCCCAGGACCTGTTGAACTGACGTATATACTGGACAATGGCATACCTGACAATGTACACACGCGATTGATGACAAATGTATCGGATATTGAACATGGATCAAATCACAACACTGGTCAAATGGTGCACAATCTGATTGATGCATCAATGTACAGTGTTGTATATGGACAAACGATGATTGCACCACTGAGTATACGATTCAAATACACCACAATGGTACCATGCGATATATTGTTATCGACTCAACTTGTTTCAGATATGCCCATCATTGACAGCAGTCCCGAGTTTATATCACGCAAGTTCCAATGGCTTCCGAGTGAATTCCGTGTCGAACAGGATGGCAGTGTGACCATCAACTCATACATCAACAATCTGAATCCGATATGGCATCGAGACATGTACAAATGCATTGCCAAAATATTCAAATGTTTTGTCCCAATGTTTGAAAGTCTGTTCAGAACGATGGATCCAGTGTTCAAGTATATTGATATTCACAATGGCACAAAGGGATCTGAACCACCAAACCAGTCAGATCATGATGATATGGAACCAGACACTCGAGTCACTCGTCCCTGTATGTACCAACACTTCCGGAACATTTTGAATCCAAATATGAATCGGCAAAACCAGTGTCACTGCGTGGTCGTAATCTACAAGTCATTGTCAAACTCACCAACATTCAACTGACACCATCCAAATCTAAATACGACGAGGGAAACTGGCACAATGAAGGTCCAATTAACGAATCGATTGTTGCAACTGGACTGTATTACTACAACGTGGAAAATATCACCACACCCAAACTCGATTTCCGCGAGGCTGCTGATTGTTTTGATTATGAAATGGCATCTGATATGTATTGGAGAGATGTGTATGGCATTGATCGAGAATCACCACGCAATCAGTATATAGGATCGCTTGAAGTACCAAATGGTCGATGTGCAGTTTATCCCAATCGATACCAACACAAAGAACAATCATTTGAACTTGCAGATCCAACTCAACCAGGACACTGCAAGATTCTGACATTTTTTGTAGTGAATCCATCTTGTCGGATTGTTTCGACTGCGCATGTGGCTCCACAACAATCACAATGGACAACTCGAGTCTTGACAAGACACACGTACCGCCTGAACTGTGGAATGATGCCACGCAGTATATTCAAGGTGTTCAATCACCAGCTGAAGCCAAACGCTATCGAGATGAATTGACAAGAGCCCGAACTCGAATCACAGCAGCATACAACAAATACAGATATGAGCAGAAGTATAATCTTGATCGTTGATAATTGATTGTGAGGTTGTGATTTTACAACAATGAGTTGTGATGGTTTGATATGAACATGATGACTCGGACTCTATTCAGTCGGATCAACTCGACTACAATTGGTCGTGTATATTATGATTGACACGATCAGTTGTAGTTGAACTCGAATACAGATTGACTGTTGAATCACAATGCGTGGTATCAGCAACATGATGTGCTATATAGTGGAATGTATACGCTAATCTGACATGTGTCATGTAGTGTGTATTCGATCAATATGGGTATTAGTAATCAACAAGTCATACGATGTTTGTGTTTGAGTGATGGAATGGAATACAATGGAGTGGAATGAGTGCATCAATCCAGAATACGAGTCAATCATGATATATGATCATGATGTGTGGTTGATACAACTATATAGTGACAATCAATGTTGATATAATAGCACACAACATGCAATGCCAACACAACAGTTGCAAGTCATTGATCATCAATGTGACATTGTGGTTGCAACATGAACTGCATTGTATTGATTCAGTTGATTGATTGAATTACTGGACAATGTGCAGTGATGATTGATCGTGTCGAGTTGAATGTAAAATATCACCAAACCACGACATGTTTGAATCATGTCAACCACAACACATATTGATGACCATCCAACAACTGAGCTGACATTCAGTTGTTAGATGGTCTTGTTTAAACATGTACCTACTTGTCCATATTGTGGCGCACCAACCCTTTTTAGGGTGGAAAAGGGTGGAATACACAATCAATCATATGATACTGGAATGCATAATCAAACAGCGATTTAACCAATATTGCGGTTATCATATAAATAGAGACCTCTTTAAAGCCACATTAATGGCAAAACACCATCAACCCTGACAACACAAATCCCTTAGGAAGGTCATCCAAGGAATATGCTTTTAATATTATCCATTTAATGACAGATAAATACGACCCAAAACCGACACATCAAACAACCATATACAACTTGCTTAATCAAACCAGTAAAATGAAACTCGCAGTCACAGTATTGTCATCAATCCTGGCCATCTGCTCGGTTACTACAGCCAATCCAGTCAATCCCAGTTCGGCTACAAGTACTGAAACTAGCACTTCAACAGCTCAGCCCACTGAAATTACAAGTACTGTATTCGAGGATCGGATAATTTCTTATGAAGAAGCTACACGTTTAGTTGATATTAGTCAACTTTCAGAGAGTGATATAGGTTTAATCAAAGATTACCTAGAAACGGATCGAGAATATCAAGAGATGAAAAAAGTGTATGTCTTGGTCAAATCTGAAAGGCGTAGCCAACAAAAGTTGATAGACCAGCTGTATAAAGAATATTTGGAGCTGGTATATAAATATCAGCAAAACAAGAATAATCCAATGTGTCAAGAAATGGTTCAAAATTCTAAACTGATGCTTAAAGAAGCGAGAGAGAAACTCAAAAAGCTTCGAAAAGAGCGCCTGGAACTCAGTCAAAAATTTTTTGGTTTTAGTTTGCAATCGCATTTAAAAAAAGAAAAACTCGCAGAACTCCTGTTCGGAAATGATATGGATTCATTATTACTTTTTTCTTGCATGGAGTTTCTGGAATCAAATCGTGATTTTGTTGAAAGCATATACGAATTTCTCATTCTCCGACTAAACCAGCAGTCGGAATCCGAGCAAGTCTCTACTAGTGAAGCCCAGAGTTTATCATCATCAAGCGAAACGTTTATAGTTCAACCCACTCAAACATCATCCAGTACACAGGCAACTTCTTCCAGTACACAAAGAGCTTCCAGACGTTCTCGTATATAAAATTTCTTTGAGTTAAAAATACCTCGGATCAAGCTGAAGTCGACCCAAAAATGATGATTCACCCAACTGATTTGATTGCTAATATGGACTAGTTTCAACCGTGTTCACTGTATTTTTGTTTGAATATAATAAAATAAAATTACCTTTTGATATTGAATATTATATCTGATTATTGCACACAGTCTTGGTTGGCATGATATCATATTGTACATCGACACTTGTATTTCCAATACGATACAGTTGATTGTATATTGCATAGTTGTACACATTGATGATGCTGACATGCATGTGTGTATTGTGTCGATATGATATTGCTTGTCATGTCGTATTGGCACATGCAATACCAATACCAACAATAGTCATGTGTGTTGATATCAGATCCGACCAATTTGACTGGTTTGACTCGTTGATTGTGGTGTCAAAATGGTTGCATCAATAGCCTGACTGATCACACATCAGTCGCAGTATCAACTCTGTCGTGTGTCAAGTACCATATGTTGAATATACAATGATCGTATACTGGTCGATTGGTGCAATATGATCACACATACTAATGGAATGTGATAATCATGGTATTTGCAGCAGTATACCATATTAAACTGATCCAATGCATGCACAGCTTGAACACATCACACACATTACAATAAATGGCATGATACATACATCAACTCCATCAATATTAGATTTCATTGTGTAGCATTTCCTAATATCATCATCCAATTCAACGGGTGATCGTTTTGATAGCCTATTGTTTGATGGACTGGTAATTCCAATTGGTGATTCTAATGCAAGTCGAACTGCAGCAACCGCTTGTAACGCAAGTAGAACGCATTCTAGAGTAATCAACATTGTATAGAGTAGTGTGATGAAAATGGGTTGAATCTGGTACATGATTGCCGTTTTATAATGACGGCAGTTTCAAGGGTGACAATCAGCACTTTTCAAATGGATATTTAGAAAACGCCAAATACACCATGTAGGGCGGACAAGCTCAGAAACACCCTGTAGGGTGAATCAATATACAAGCATCACTGTTGGTGTATAATCAACCTCAGTAGTGTGCTGTGTCGATATTTCCAATTGTGGTCATGTATCCATAATCAGGTAATGCCAGATTATCGCTCTGATTATGGATAGTTATCATCACATTTACAATCCATTACTACAGCATATACTGTCACTGTATACCAAATACTTGACTGATTGTCCAATTGGTCATGTTTTGGATCACTCGGACACAACAGCATCAAACAGCCTGTTGTTGCAGTATTTCAAACCATGATTCTTCCGTTGGTATGACTACACAGTCATTTTAGGTTAATGTAGACTGTATACATCATACACTGCTGATTGTATCACAACATGATCAACATCAAACTCGGCAATCTGTCGCTGCTACACTGAATGAGTGACATTGTACTATAATCAAATTGGAGATTGGCAGGTCGTTCAACAAACTGGCCGTGTCAACAGGTCAGATTGTCATCGTGTACATGAACCACAATGGATGATCATGTCATTCAAATCATCACACAATCTACTGGTATATGCAATACAACACCACCAATACATTCCAAATCAAACCCAATCACAAACGTGGTGTTGAATCCAATGCATGCGAGTACTTTTTAAACACATGATACACACTGATGGTGATGGTTGCTGACAGTCACATTACAGTGTACATGTCCAATAGTGTCCACTGTCATGTCGATCGTTGCTATCCGTGATATCCAACTAGATCACAATCAGTATCTAACAAATACAACACAGTAAACTAGTCACGAGTATCCAAGAGTATATCAATTGATGTGATCCAACAAAACAGCAGAGTATTGACTGCTTTGTTAAAGTGCATTCAATCAAGACACTCCAGTATCTCGAGTAGAAATATCAGATCTGTTCACCCTTGTACTGAATCCGCAATAAATCGCACAGATTAGAAACAAAGTTTGGACAAATCGAAATGGCTCAAATTTACAGCTGAAACCAAAATGGTATACAATCGCATTCATGTAGAGTTGAACACTATCTTGCAGTGATTGACTGTTGGTTTGGAATAAACAATGTTGAATATTGGTTGTAGTTTTGTACTTGACATTGACTATTGACTCAATATACATTATGAATTATTATAAACAGTGTCAGTGATATGATGCTCACAAACTATGATTTGAACTGGAATAGTTCTGAACCGGCGTTTGTTGTTTCTGTTGTGTTCTGAATCACGAATACAATTACGATCTAGTTCAACAACAATGATGACACATGTCAGTAATGCAACTGTTGTTTGTATGCCAATCACCATCAACGATGGCACTGACTGTTTACTACACACCGACAGTGTTATTTAGCAGTCCATTTATGTCAGTTTGAAATGCAATATATGCGGTGTGGTATTGATGGTGTTGTATTGACATAAAACAACACTAATTGACCAATATCAAACCAGTCGATGACACAATCTACATCCGACTTGAACAAATGTATTGCTACGTTTGTTGTAAAATACACGACATGGTCAGTTGGTGATATCATGCAACTGACAAGTGATTGCAAGTCCAACTGATAGTTACATGCAGTACGCAATCAATAATATGGTTGTTGACCCATTCACAATACTCGACAAATATCAACATCAGAAAGCTTAAATTTATTCAAAATCAAATTCATCAATCCGAATCCGAATCTGATTCCGGCTCCTCAAAATCCAAAGCATGCCTTTTCATAAACCTTTTCAATTGTTGTCTGATATCGTTTACTTTGTTCCTTGCCGTTATATACTCTTGTTTCAATCGACTTTTAGCTTCCAGGATGTATTGTAACTCCGATATCTTTTGGCTCGTTGCTGGCTGTTGTTTGAATTCAAAGTTTACATATCTACGATATGCTTTCAGCTTTTTCTTTTTTATTACTGTAAACGCTGCAAGTTTTTTTTCTATACGATTAAAGGTTTCCCGATATCTTCCGTTTAATCCAGCCACTTGATTTGTAACAGTGTTGGCAGACCTATCTTGGTCAATTGGTTGCTGCTGGGCTTGACTGGAAGTGCTTGGACTGACTCGATCAATTAGGCGTTTCCGGCCCCGTTTGGAAGTGCTTGGACCAGGTTGATCCATTGGGAGTTGCTGATCCTGGTTTGAATTGATTGAATTGACTTGATCAATCAAGTCTCGCCAGTTCTTCGGAATACCTGGATCGGGTTTGTCGATCATGGCTTTCCAATCTTGTTTGGAAGTGCTTGGACCCAGTTCATCAATTGGTTGTTGCTGGTCCTGGTTGTAAACTTTTGAAATCACTGCATCAATCGTTTTTTGCCAGTCTTCACGAGTCCTTGAACCGATTTCATTCATTATGAGCTTCCAATATTCGTTGGGAGTGTTTGGAATGTGTTGGTTCATTTGCCGTTTTCGACTTTGTCTGAGAGTACTTGAACTGTGCTGATTTATGGGCTGTTGTTGGTCTTGGTTGGGTTTTTTTGAATTGATTATATCCATTATTTCTTGCCAGTCTTTGTCGGGAATTTCTGGAACAGGCTCATTGGTTGAACCAGACACTTGACTGGAAGTGCCTGAACTGGGTTCATCCACTGGTTGATGTTGGTCTTGATTGAAAATGCTTAAATCAATTGCATCAATTACTTCTTGCCAGTCTTGGTCGAAAGTGTCTAAATCGGGATCATTAGTTGGGCTGGACACTTGACTGGAAGTGCTTGATGCATGAGGTAAACCATCTTTTTTAAACGGTATCAGTATTGCATTAGTGGTTACTGCTACAGTCAGTACGAATAAAATATCAACCAATTTCATCAGACTGGTCAATGAGTTTAAACAATTAGTAGAAAGTAGAGTATTGGAACTGGTGTCAATTATAGGACTGAAAGCACTCGATTGTATTTGTATGTTTTGTATATCAAATCAACCCTAACCCTTATAGGTTAACTCATGGCACAGGGTTATTTAATTGCTTGTGGTGAGCTACTATCAAACTAGATAGTATTCTGTTTCCTGGTCATAGTACCGTATTATGCTTTCATGACCCTTTGATCAGATATTTTGAAAAGCACTCTTCGGGAGTGTTGTTTAACCGCAAACGCTTTGCTTTACAACCGTATTCATGTAACTGTATTCTGCATTGTGTGTTTGATATACAGCCATCATCATATGACACACAATCAGACTATAATGTTGAATCTACACTTTGTGCACTCTTAGTAATCATACATTATACGATCAACAAGTTTGAACCCACATTCACGTATTGTGTTTGACTGTCAATGTTGTCAATACAACTCTGTACACACATGTGTTGTATTCTGAATCACGGATACGATTTCAATCTAGTTCAACAACAATCATGACACATGTCAGTAATGCAACTGTTGTTTGCATGTCAATCACCACCAACAATACCACTGTATTATCAACCAGTCCATGACACTGACTGTTTATTATACATAAACATTGTTATTTGGTGGTCCATTTATGATAATACGGTTGTAAAACAAAGCGTTTGCGGTTAAACAACACACTCGAAGGATGCTTTTCAATATACCTGATCAAAGGGTCGTAAAAGCATCATCCAATCAACACGATCATCAAATTGATCAATATGATATTATGGCTAGGGAGCATCATACTATCTAGTTTGATAGTAGCTCACCACAAGCAATCTAATAGCCCTGTGTTGTTGGTTAAACTAAAAGGGTTAGGGTTGGTTTAATATACAGAAATATAAATATGATGAAATATGTCCAGTTTTATAATTCACATCAATCTCAATACTCTACTTTTGTACTAATAGTTTAAACACATTGATCGATTTGATGAAATTGGTTGATATTCTATTTTTACTGACTGCGGCAGCAACCGCTAATGCAATATTGATACCGTTTAAAAAAGATGGTTTACCTCACGCATCAAGCACTTCCAGTCAAGTGTCCAGCACAACTAATGAGCCTGTTGCATACACTTACAATGAATACCAAGAACCAATGGATATATCTGAGCCAGGTACTTTCAACCAAGATCAACAACAGGCAATGGATTCAGACACTTTTAATGAATACCAGGAACAAATGGATATATCTGAGCCAGGTACTTCCAGTCAAGATCAACAACAGGCAATGGATTCAGACACTTTTAATGAATACCAGGAACAAATGGATACATCTGACCCAGGTACTTACAGTCAAGACCAAAAACAGTCAATGGACAAAGAGCCGGGAAATACTGGGTCGAATCAAGCGATTGTATTAAGCGAACAGGATCAGAGAGCTCTTAGTGATATAAAGAAAAAACTTAAATTGTCTAAAGAAATACAAAAGAAAAAATTACAAGCATATTCTAAATATAAAACTGCTGGACTCAAACAACGATTGGCGTTATCAAGAGGGGAAAATATATCTGGATCAAGGCACAATCCAGAAGTTGAAAAGCAATTGGAACAAGAGTATGTAGCGGCAATTACAAGAGTAACCGGTATCAGACAACAATTGAAAGCGTTTATGGAGAGGTATGGTTTGGAGTTTAAAGAGCCGAATTCGAATTGATGATGTGTCAATGAATTTAATTTTGAATAAATTTAAGCTTTCTGATGTGTTGATATTTGTCGAGTATTGTGAATGGGTCAACAATCATATTATTGATTGCGTACTGTGTTGGGTATTACATCAACAGTTATTTGGTTGTTGATTGATACATTGGCATGGCTTGTTCCATATACATCAATGACACTGTTATTTAGTGGTCCATTTACATCAATATGGCTGCAAGTTGTCGGTATATCACGTATTATGGACATGGCTTTAATATTGCCATCCGATTCCATCACATTGTTGCTGATACATCACTGTAACACTACATGTCTCCAATACTGGCATGTTGGCATGTGGTGCACCAAGTTGATTGTATTGCTACGTGACATGCTCCAACCTGTTTGGATTACAGTCGTGCAACATATTGATATCATACACATGTGATACTGGCCACCAACAAAGTGAGCAGTGGTATCCAATTGATTATCCAATCCCATAATCAATGCATTTCAGCACACTCCACTGCATGCACTGGATCATGACAACAACCTATACAATACATATCAATTGATACAATCACCAACCATTGCATGATTTCAGTTGCCAATCAAGTCGACACTATGATATTGTTCAATGTCAAATATACAATCGACATGACATGACACAGTTCAGACTGATCCAATATTGTATTGTTGTAAACATACATTCCCATCGTCAATATCATGACAAGCTTTCAAAAACAGGTTAATCGCCAATGTGGACACTTGTTGATCAGACTCGTGAACAATAGTCTCAACCATAGGCTCAACGTTTCAGCTATACTCATGATTGAACAACTCTGTACATGCGTTTATCGCCTATATGCATATTGACACTAGATGAGTTGAATGACAATCATTTGATCAATATCAATCATGACTTGCCATCATTTTGACTTGATGGCTTGGTGATCGCATGAGTTGTACAATTTGGTTGCTTAGTCGTTGAGATACTTTGAAATGATCATCATAGTATACAATACTTGCAAACATTATAAACTCTGAACTACACAATCAATATTGATCATGAAATGAACAGCAAGCAATAATACCTGTCAAGTGGATTGACCATTCCACAGTCCTATTTGACCTGTGTTTTGATATATTGTGGTCACTAACCCTTTTTAGGGTTCAAAAGGGTAAAAAACTACACAATCAACCATATGACATTTGAATCCACAATCAAGCAATTGTGTAACCAAGATTGCGGCTCATCATACAAAGGGACTCTCCCTTTTGTCACTTTGACATTGATAGTAAATCAACACGACACTAACCCTGACAGTAACACTAATCCCTTAGAGCGACTACTTGAGAGATGTGCTTTTAATATTATCTGCTCTAGCGGATATAAATACAATCTAAAAGCCTACCTGCTGAATGGCGATCATTTACAACTTGCTTGACTAAACCAATAGAATGAAATTACCAATCGCTGTATTGCCATCAATCCTGTTTACTTGCTCAGTCACTATAGCTACTCCAGTTATTCCCGGTGTGTCTACAAGTGTCAACCCCAACTCTTTGACAGTTTTTTCCACTGCGGCTACAAATGTCAAATCTATATCTATGGAAATTCTTAATTTTAATGGAGTAACTACAGTTAACCTAGATGAGTTTACAGCAATTGAACAAGGTTTGATCAAAAACTACGCCAAGAAAAAAAAAGATCATCAAAAAACACAGGAAATACTGGACTCGGTAAAGAATACGATTACTGATCAAAAAGAACGTGTAGCTGGACTAAATGAAAAATATCAGCAGTCGATGCGTAAACCTCGAGAGAAACACCATGGTCTAAAGCATAAAGATAAACTCAAGAACCTTAAACCTGAACTTGAAGCTCAATCTTCTGAACTTGCTAAACTTCAAAAACAAAAGGACGTGCTCGAGTCCAAATATAGTGCAGTATCGTTGGAGCTAACCCAGGAAGAAAGAAAAGTTGTATTATTCCTTTTTGGAAGATTTATAAACTCTTTATCAATTAGACTATATGTATACTTTGAATCTGGACTCTTTATTATAACCCTTGACTACATGTTATACGATACTATGCTGAACTCACAACTGGAACTCGAGGGTAAATCTGCTAGTCAAAGTCTGACATATGACGGTGAAATGGAGAATTTTGACACTCAACACCCACCATCTGAGGAAACGCATATACCTATAGCCGAGCCCGTTCGAGCAACTTCCAGTATAGGGAAAATCGTCGAGTATTTAGAAAATCTTTTCTAAATTCAAGGACAAGGTTAAATCACTTGAATTGACTTCAAAGTGGAGATCTCGAGCCATTGGTTTGATTGTTAATATGGACTGGTTCCAGCCGTATTTGCTGTATTTTTGTTTGAATACAATAAAATGCGATTACCATTTGATATTGAATATTATACATAGTCTTGGTTGGCATGATATCATATTGTACATTGATACTTGTATTTCCAATACGATACAGCTCGCTTGACATGTCGTATTGACACATGAGACACCAATACCAACAACAGTCATGTGTGTTGATATCAGATCTAACCAATTTGACTCGTTGATTGTGGTGTCAATGGTTGCATCAATAGCCTGACTGATCACACACATCAGTCGCAGTGTCAACTTTGTAGTGTGTCAAATATCACATGTTGATGTATGCAGTGATCGTATACTGGTCGATTGGTGCAATATGATCACACACTAATGAAATGTGATAATCATGATATTTGCAGCAGTATACCATATTAAACTGATCCAATACATGCACGGCTTGAACATATCACACAATCAAACATGGACACACCACATTAAAAATACATATAGTATCAGTTTGTCTATAATGAATTGTATTCAGTCGAGTTTATTGAGAGTCTGTTTGTGACTCTTGACAGTTTGGTGAGTTTTTTCAGATACAGCTACTTGATCAGTTGTAGTTGATGGTTTCCTTCTGCGAATAAATGTGCCATCTGAACCTGAAGTACTTGGTTGTTTAGGCAATCTAACAGCATACACCAAATTCATGATCAGTATATCAATTGACACATCCACACATCAATATCAAACAACTTACTGTGATGATGGCCAGAGCACTTGATAATGAGTTGAAATAATAGGATATCCATCTGTTATAGTTTCGCATCCACATCCAGGACCAAGCCCAATGCGTTTATGTTTTCGATCAAATGTCAATACAAGTCGGGTCATAAATGGTATACCAAGATTTGCATTGTCATTTGAGCCAACTTTTATAGCAAACACAACTATAATTCAACATCCATATTAGTCAGGTTAATCAAACAACACATTGCATACAATTGTCAAATATTTACCATATTTAGAATCTACTATTTGCATATAGTCTTTGGGACCCAGTTCAATCATCACAATAGAGTTGCGATTATCAACAGTTACGGGGTTTTCAGCAAACATTGCAACTGAAATTGTTGGCATCATGTCCCAATTGATATTGAAATTCAATTCAGGCATTAGATAGTTTCCCCAAAATATGCCTTGAATTTCATCCTTGTCGAGCTTGCTCCTAAACATAGTATTCTTGGCAGTGATCGCACCACTATCAAGAATAGCACTAACCAATGCTGCCACGACTACTTTAGGAAATTGCATATATGCAGAACACGTTTCCACAACCGAGTACAAAGTATGACCATTTTCCATTATTGTTTTTTGAAATTCAGCAGGCAAATTCACTGGTTTGTCATTGACTAGTATATCTTTGATGTTGATGGCAAAGTGATCGTCTGATGGTGACTCTACCCATGCAACACTCCTTCCATCCGTTCCACATTTTGGAGTTATGTCCGTGTTTCCTATATTGATGAAGCTTTCCTGTGACATCTCATAAGGACATAGTTGAAGGCCAACCTCGTTATTGGGAATGACATTTTTGCTGTACAAAACATCTATTGCAGTGGTTGATGTATGATGATTTGATAACAAGGAATGGCCAAACCCGAATATTCCATTGAACCTTTCATTGATGCCAATTAAATCTGCCGATTGTTTTTCAACTGCTATTACTGGTAAATTGACGCCAGTTATCCTAGTATCCGGAATCGTCACAGCAGCTTCGGAACTAACTCCTTTACAATCATTGCCTTTGTAATTTATAGAAACAGGCTTCTCACTTGGAGTGTGTTGCAGAGCCGGACCTACATTTTTGGTTGGGCTAGAAAGTGGTACCATCATATCAGAAATTGCTGAATCGACATATAAATCCAACTATTTTAAACAAGTGTGAGATTGATCCAATACATGCACGCTTTGAACATATCACACACATTACAATAAATGACATGATACATACATCAACTCCATCAATATTAAATTTCATTGTGTAACATGTCTTGATATCACCACTCAATTCAACGGGTGATCGTTTTGATAGCCTATTGTTTGATTGACTGGTAATTCCAATCGGTGATTCTAATGCAAGTTGAACTGCAGCAACCGCCTGCAACGCAAGTAGAATGCATTCTAGAGTAATCAACATTGTATCGAGTAGTGTAACGGAAAGCTTCGAGTTTGGTAAACGAGCGTTTTATAGCTACGAGGTTTTAAGGGTGACAGTCGGCACTTTTCAAATGAATAATCACAGAAAACACAAGTACACCATATAGGGTGAGAAACACCAGAAACACCATGTGGAGCAAATCAGTATACAAGCATCGCTGTTGGTGTATAATCAATTTTAGTAGTATGCTGTGTTGATCTCTCCAATTGCGGTCATGCATCCAGTAACCAGGTAGTTTCAAATTGTCACCCTGATTATGAATAGTTGTCACCATATCCACATTCCATTACTACAGCATATGCCGTCACTGTATACCAAATACTTGACTGATTGCTCAATTGGTCATGTTTTGTGCAGTTTGAATCGATCCCATTTGTGATTTGTTGGTCAATTTGTATACAAGTCGGGTTATTCAATGACTTGCTATCATGCAGATTCAAATACAGTCTATTCACATATTGACAACTATTCAACGATTGGTTATTGTTGGTGTATATTCAGGTTGGACTACCAATAATGGTTATTGTACACAAAGTCACCCAATATCCTGCCAATTGCGAGTGTATTTCACACACAATTCTAGATTGTAATCAACCACAATTGCCATGTTTGATCAAATGGTGTTTTGCATTGATCATGGTATCATACATCACAATACTGCCAGATCATTGCACACAAGTCATGACCAATACAAATGCATTACTGATTGACATTGACCAATATACCATGTTGCATGCTGCACCAAATCACGACATACAACTGATATACTCCATGTCCGAGTTTGATACATGTCAATACATGCGTGTCAATCAGCAATGCAGATTTGTAACATTACAGTTGAATGTGAGTCGAGTCGATCATTAAATCAACCAATCAATGATTGCATTCTAAATATGGTGCAATTTGATGCGACATGACAATATATTGTCCAACAGGTTCAACATACACAACACCGATATACAACACATTACACATGGATACACTGCATATACAAGCAGTAGCAATGACCGATCCAAACCAACAGTGACAGAGTTACACATCAACATATACTCGATCATCAGTCGACTCTGCATATATCAACTAGTTGCGACACGTCATAATCAATGTGTATTGTATTGCTCACCAATCGATCATGACAGCTAATCAATACCAATCATGTAGTCAATACAATCACCAACATATCGATGACTGTTGACTGGTGGTTACAACTCGTCAATTACATCCAATGTTACAGGTGATGCACATCTGATTACTGCAAATCAACAACTTGTCAATCATATCATAGTGTGCATTGTCAACGGACCATGCAATTACAAATCAATGTATACGTGATCAACATTTGATATTTGATGGTGATGAGCCAACCATGATTGATCGTATCATACAACTAATACAGTTGCATTGTCTGGTATTGATGATTGACCCAGTCATGCCAAACAGTAACTAATGTGTGTATATCGAGTTTGGGTTGCATGGACACATCAAGGTGTTTGATAACGAGTCCAACGTGATGATACAGACCCAATATTATATGAATATCCAAGTTGATGAATCAAGTCGAGGTTTGCAAAGTGTCAATGTCAGGTCAATCAAACAAGTCAGTCAACCATTATATTGTGACTAGTGATGGCATGATTTGAATATCAACGAGTTAGACAGTCGACAATATGGGTGATTGTGATTTGGTCAAACCGCAACATTCGTATATCACTGAGTCGGTTTGATTTGTGTGGTGTAAGCAGTATGCATAAACTCGTTATCATGCGCTATAACCAATACACATCACACATATACAGTGGTAAACACCAACGTGTGGTGTATTCAGTGATCGTATACTGGTTGATTGATTCAACATGATCACATACTAATGGAATGTGGACCATTGTGATATTTGCAACAGTATACCATATTACACTGTTGACATTGCGCTTTTATCTTCAACACAATACTAATGTTGCATATATTGATTCATTAACATACTTCATAAATCTCATCCCAGTTTATTTTAACATGATAAAGTTTCAAGTATTATAACTGAGTAATATTCGTGGATATGCGCTGACATTTGAATCCAATAGCTAGAATAATCGAGAAATTGGACGCATATCAAGTGTTTATTCAAAAGTATTATACCTGGAATCGAGATGGTCCTATTGTTATACGACTAATTGGTGTTTGAGAGCTAGTCGTAGATTTTGGTGAAACTGTCTTGGTACTTCCTACTTTTTTAGTGCGACTAAACCAATTTTTTCTAGATTTATTTTTCCTGTCGCCGTTGGATTCAGACTTTGGTCCTTCCTGAGTATCCTCGTCTTCGGGTTTTGGCTCTTCTTGAGTTTCACCGTCTTCGGGTTTTGGTCCTTCCTGAGTATCCTCGTCTTCGGGTTTTGGCTCTTCCTGAGTATCCTCATCTTCGGGTTTTGGCTTTCCAAACTTAGATCCGAGGCCTTTAAAATTTTCATCAAACCAATCTCCAACTTTTTTAGATCCATCAGAAATTTTAGATTTTAGTCCTTTCTGAGTTTCACCGTCTTCGGGTTTTGGTCCTTCCTGAGTATCCTCATCTTCGGGTTTTGGCTTTCCAAACTTAGATCCGAGGCCTTTAAAATTTTCATCAAACCAATCTCCAACTTTTTTAGATCCATCAGAAATTTTAGATTTTAGTCCTTTCTGAGTTTCACCGTCTTCGGGTTTTGGTCCTTCCTGAGTATCCTCATCTTCGGGTTTTGGCTTTCCAAACTTAGATCCGAGGCCTTTAAAATTTTCATCAAACCAATCTCCAACTTTTTTAGATCCATCAGAAATTTTAGATTTTAGTCCTTTCTGAGTTTCACCGTCTTCGGGTTTTGGTCCTTCCTGAGTATCCTCGTCTTCGGGTTTTGGCTCTTCTTGAGTTTCACCGTCTTCGGGTTTTGGTCCTTCCTGAGTATCACCGTCTTCGGGCTTTGGCTTTCCAAACTTAGATCCGAGGTTTCTAAAGCTCCCTCTAAGCCGATCTCCAACTTTTTTAGATCCATCAGAAATTTTAGATTTTAGTCCTTTCTGAGTTTCACCGTCTTCGGGTTTTGGTCCTTCCTGAGTATCCTCATCTTCGGGCTTTGGCTTTCCAAACTTAGATCCGAGGTTTCTAAAGCTCCCTCTAAGCCGATCTCCAACTTTTTTAGATCCATCAGAAATTTTAGATTTTAGTCCTTCCTGAATATCCTCATCTTCGGGTTTTGGTCCTTCCTGAGTATCCTCGTCTTCGGGTTTTGGCTCTCCAGCCTTAGATCCGAGGCCTTTAAAACCTTTTTTAAGCCGATCTCCAATCTTCTGCCCAGGTCCTTTTTTCTTTTTATCACCAGAGTCATCATTATTTGGTTCTTCCTGATTGGATGTACTGGGTTGTTGCCCGTCTCCTGATCCAAGATTATCTGAATTGCCAGATGGATCTACGCCAGTACCTTCAACTTGACCAGATGGATAACAAAGACTACCACCACCAGGTCGTTTACAGGGCTCATCATCCAGTCCTCTCCTTTCAAGCTGAACTGACTGTCCATTTATAGATGAATGAGCAATGACTGCAGCCGACAACAGCGGCAACACGATAGTCGATACGAACCTCATTTTTTCAGTTGCTGTTAGCAGGAATAGTGATACGTCACTTGTTTAGTACGACTACTAATGGTAATCTAGTGAATGAACTGCTATGAATGCCCTTGTTTAAATACTATCATAACCATAAAGGGAGGTAAAATGAAAAAACACAAGGGAGGCATAGTCAACCTTTGTTTAGCTACACCGTAATGTATGATTAAATCCTTTAGCCATTGAATAGGACAAAACATCCGCAAGTCAAGGACCAAGTGACCCTGCTTCTGGATAAAAGGATTGGAGTTGGTCAGTGTATCAACACTAGACCGCTTTTGCGCTAGAAAAAAAAAGTAAAAGCTGCGATTCATCTCCTACAGCATAGTTCACTAACCCTGATCTCAACACCCTCAGTGTGTTGAGTACACTGCTAGATAATAGTTAGATTTGGTCATGATACACTAGATTTGAAGTGATGTTTACATGTTGAAAGGGATATTAAAGCTCAAGCACTTGTCATTACAGCTGTATTCACTGTAAAACAACACTCTAATCAAAGATAATAAACAGTCAGTCTCATTTTGACTGGTGCCAATTTACTGGAAACCATTGCACTCTTTGGAATCGTCGTTTAAAAACAGTTTTTGGTTTCAACATTCAAACATATTGTTTTACATATGAATCTCTACTTTTTGTCAACTTCTTGCAATATATTGTCGTGAAAGCAAACCAATTCTCGTGGGTGTAGACAGATTAGCAACAAGGAATGTGTTCATACTTTTATTGACAGCACCAAAGCAATCAAACTTGACATCTGAACTGCAATGGACGGCTCTGACGATCGTACAATCTATAGCTATGCCATAAGAGAAAAAAAAGCGAGATTTAAACACAGATCAAAACCATAGGTTAGTCGTGTGCTTCATAGGTCAATGTGTTTGGAAACTGATTAAAAGAGCTGTCAAGGCCGTAATACTTGAGGAATTTCCAAGCAATGACATGAATCATTCTCAAACGGCCGCCTTATTTTAGGCAGTATTCCATTCCACAAAGCAATTGCTCATTAAACACGGTTACCAACCGCCCAACAAAACGGTAATGTCGCGTGAATCAAAATCACACTACATAACCCTATATTGTTCATTATTGAGCCCTACATGAATGACTCGGGCTCAATAGAGAATGGCTTTGTCGAGCAATTTCAAACATGGGAAGCTGAAAATGTCAATTAAAGCTAATGTTTGGTAGAAAAGTACACCAAATATTCAGCCATTGTCTATTCCAAAATACAAAAAATCAGATACAAATGCTCTATTTTACGTATAATTGAGTTGTTTTATTGTAGAATAAGCCCATCCAAACTCTTATTTGTTTATGGCCATTTCAAGGTCGAGGCGTTCTACTGCCTTTTCGATTGTCTTTTTTGCCGACGAAAACAGTTGTCCTAATCGTCCCCCTTCGGGGTTATCCTTCAACGCTTTGATAATCAATTCCATTAAAATCTTTGCATCATCTCGAAACAGTCTCACCAATTCCAAAAGTTTGGATGCACTCGGCATGGATATATGACTATAGCCAAGCTTTCGAATATCGCTCTTGAAATCTGTTATGGCCTCTGACAAGTCAAGATAAAACTTTTCAATAGAATCACCAACATCCTGAATGGTTTCAATTTTGGTTTCTTTTTGGTTTTTTAGCATGGACACAGAGGTGAGCGCCATGTTTTCCATCTGCCACGATCCGATAAAGATTTTGGAGAGAAAAGCATCGAGTTTCGCTCTCATCGCTTCGTATCTTTCAGTGGAGGATGAGGTTGAAGATCGTACCTTTTTAAGAAACGCTTCAATCCATACCTGTATGCTGTTGCCAAATACCCATACAGACGTTATATAAATCTGAGCCTCGACACTGCAAACATGTAAAAGATCCTGGATAGACCTGAATGTATCCAAATGTTTTCTAGAAGACCTGGAAACATATACATTCCAGATACTTGAAGGTATAACATCTGGTGATGCAGGAAATAGCACCTCTTTTAGTACAGTAGTTCGACCACTTGGTAACATGAGATTGGGCGGAAATGAAAGTGAGTGCATCAAGGCTTGGAATCTCCTCCTATCACGTCTGTCATATTCCAAAGTTTCCTTGCCATAGTTGGAGTAGAAATGTTTCGAGTCTTTAGGTATATGCTTTAATAAATCATATGAAGAAATATCAAAGTGTCGATATGGCGAGCGAAGCCCCGAGTGTGAGTATTTTTTTTCCCCTTGAGACTGATCCGATTCGGGTTTAGCAGTTTTATGTGGTGAACCACCAACCCGATTTGATTCAACCATCACTTGTGGAGGATGAGTTGATTCGGATGTCACTTGTTGAGATTGCTCCGATTCGGGTACAATAGTTTCATGTGGTGAACTGTCAGGCAGATTTGATTCGGATGCCACTTGTTGAGATTGCCCCGATGCGGTTTTAGTAGCTTTAAATGATAACCTGTGAGTCCTGTAGCGAGGAAAAGATTGCTCCAACTCGGGTTCAGTAGTTTCATGTGGTGATATGCTGCTAGACTGTTGTGCATTGTCCGAATCTGTCAGACCTGCAATAGCCAATCGACTCGTCAAAAGCGATATGATAACCATGCTTACGAGCTGTTTCATTTCGAGCCAATTTCAAACAGTATGATTTTCAAAATAAAATATAAAGTTGGTGTTTCCGTTTCCTCCTCAATGTAGAAATGGCAGGTTTTAAAACAATGTGCTAGGGTGCATGATGACGGCCATCCTTAGAAATAGCCTGCATTTTAGGGTGACTAGCCCTAGTCACTGAAACATACCTGATCCATTCTTTTCGTTATTGATTGCCGTTTTTAATCCAAATATCAGGGCCACGGCGTCCTCGTTCCACAACCCATATTCATGTAAAATAGGTTGTGCATTCATCTTGCAGGGAGTCTGCTTCTACTTTGCTTTGAAATCCATTATTCAACCATACACTGCCCTTCTATTAGAAGCTGATTACTTTTTAATAAGCATGTTTGATTCTTCTAGACACTACCCATCATGATGCGCAAATTAAACTATGGGTTTGAATTGCTTGGTCTTCATTTTCGCATAGTTGTGCATTGCATGATCGTCAAACTCGTGCATTGCAATTCAAATGTCGAGCTCGATTGCTTTGGCGTTGTCAATAACACCAATTCCTTTGAAGTATTCTAAAACAACATCTACTCTAGCTCAAGAAAACAATGATCGCACGGTTTAGGAGTTCAGTTGTTGTTTCCATGTGAATCAATGTTCATTTTGAAAGTTGAAAACCAAAGCGATGTGGATGCTAATTTAAACATTCAGTTATTACACAATGTTTTATTCCATGTGAATACAACTGCAAAATGTAGCCCTTGATATGGGTTTAAATATCAACAAGATTTTATTTCCAAAATAATAGAGTAATAGTACAGTTTAGCCAGCACTCGGTTTAGATACAGGAAGTTTTAACAAATCCCATGAGCTAACCATCATTGCAGCAATTTTCTTTTCCTCTGCGGTGAGCTCTCCAAACTCGGTTTTAGAGTCGTTAGGCAGCAGACAGAATGGAGTGGTAGGAGTCTCCCATTCCCATTGAGGTGATTTGAAAGTACGGTCCGTAGCCCAGTGAGTGAGGCTTAATGACACTTGGCCGTCCGAGCTGTGTTTGTTGCGCAAGATGCCGCCATTGAACCAGAGCGGCTTCCAGTTTTCATCTGGATGATATAGACCACCGCAAACTTTTGTAGGCTCAGCAGTAGCGTTTTTGAGAAACCCAACGGTACCTCCTGCACCAGGAGCCCATCTGTAAGGCATCTTGAGTGCCTCGTGTGCAATCCAATACGACTCCTTATCGCCTAAAGCAAGAATACTCAAAAATAAGATTCCAATTCAACACAAGCAGTATACAATAGGCATACTTACCATGATAAGCCTTATACACCATGTCACGATAGGGTTTTCCATTCATGACACAGGTAAGCAAAAGGGGATGCAGATTAGTGCGCTTGTTCCAGACAATTACACCCGACTCGCCCTCATGGACCGTTAACTTGGGTATCAAGCGGCCAGATGTTTTGGCATACTCGGAAGGCTCAGGAACAATCGACTGGAAAAACTTTAGCCCTGGGCTATCCGTGCCAGCAAACAATGTGCGATCCATAAAAAACACAGCACCAGTATCATTGTAAGCCTTCCAGTTAAACATGACATCTGGAGATTGGAAAAAGAGAGCATCGGCATCTAAAAATATAATTTCTTCAAAAGAAGAGGCGAGAATGGCGAATGGTTTGACAGCCCAGCCACTAAGGTCAGGGCCATTGGGCTCAAAATACTGCTTGATATCAAGCGTGGTAACACCACTGATCAACTCCAAAGCATCACGATTGTCCTTTGGCAAGTCATCCTCGCCAATGTAAAATAGCTGAATAGGAAGAGTGCAGCCAAGATTTCGAATGACAGTGATAGCATGACGAGCATATTCAAAATGATATCGACCAGTAGTCATGACAATACCACGGCCTGTAAAAGAACTGGCGAGATGCGAAATGGATTTGAATTTGTTCCCAGCTTTTACCCAAGGGAACAAGAGAGACTCTAAATCCTCCATAGGAACAGTCAACTCGGTGACATTTTTCGAATGGGCTTCGTATAGAGTTTTGTGCAAACTAACACGACGAATAGCACCAGCAAAGTCATCCTCCTTCAAAGAGCCAGCACGGTGCTCATTCAATTCTATACGTAAAAGCTGAAGGATCTGAGCATCGGATAGTACACGAAGTGGAGCTTGTTGATATACTTCAATAGTAGCGCTAAAGGTATTGTTTGTAGTCGTAGTATTGGAGTGACTAAAATAAATACCTTGTTAAATACAAATGGAAATGGCTTGCAAATCGAAAATTCAAACGGCAAAGCTACCTGGTAGTATTGACAGCAATTGGATCAAGAAAATGTCGGGGTATAGTTTGAAGACTAGAAAACAGGATCCAGGCTAAACCAATGGCACAAATCAATGCAATGATAATACGTCGGAGCTTTGCTCTGACTCGCAGAGAAGTGGTTGGAGTGCGCTGGGTCATCAAATACAAATGGAATCGACAAAAAATATAGTTTTTGCTTGAAACAAACTTTAATTTTTATATTCATTGCCACGTGTTGTGTCACGTGATGTGGAGACGGATTTGTTTTGATTGCATGTAAACCAACCAATCTCGTCTTGGCCAAATATTTGAGCTAGAATCTTCGCCACTGCCCAACATTGTTATGCGAAAAAAACTTTGCCTCAGCCAGCCTTGTATTTATCACATTGTATTGATTGTTGGTTTGGTAAAGAAAATTCACACTTGACAATAAATTAAAAGATTGCAAATTCATTTAAAGCCATCATCCCAAAATGATACAGGATGAAGACCAGACAATAAGATGTATTAAACAAGAGTTGAAATTTTGCAGTCTGGATTGCCGAGGTTATTGACGCCCATTCCATTTGAATGTCAAAGTGGAAAAATTTAGCCAGCATTGATGACCTCGACACGAATGCAATCATCTTGAGACCCGCGTTGTGCCACTGGCATAATAACTGGCTGATGAGTATCTGATCCTGTAATAGAGCAAATACGGTAAATTCCATTTTGTTTAAACTGGCCTGCTGGGATCGTGGTGCTCAATTTACGTTTTTGGCCGTCAGTTGCGACATCGTTAATACCTTTGAAAAATTCAAACTTTTGAGGATCAGGTGCAGTATTTTGCGATAAGAGAAGCTGGACAGTAATATGCTGATGACCTTCAATAATGCCAGCGTTTGCATCAAGTGTCTGAGGCGCTAAATAGTATTCCGAGTTGGCCTCACTAAAGAATCCAGTCGATAGATTCATATTGTCCAAGATAACTTCGTTGTCCTTGGATGCGTCCAATTTTGCACCAAACTTTGGGCTGGTAATCAGAGTGGAAACCATTTTTTTAACATCAGGAATGAGTCCTTGTTCCATAGACGAGCAGGTTTGACCACCTTCCTTGCGTTGAACACCATCTGCTTCATCGACATTAAATTGACGACAGTACGCGGTAGCAGATCTTTTTTCGAAAGCTTGGACACCAGTGGGAAGTGTTCCTTCCGTGCCTGCTCCACCGGTTTTCTTATTTCCACCAGTTTTCTGATTGCCACCGGTTTTTTGGTTTCCGCCAGTTTTTTGATTGCCACCAGTATTTTGATTGCCACCAGTTTTCTGATTTCCTCCAGTCTTTTGATTGCCACCAACTCTCCTATTTCCGCCAGCTCTCCTATTGCCGCCAGCTCTTTGATTGCCACCAGTTCTTTGATTGCCAGTGGAAACACGCTTTTTGGGTTGAGGTTGAGGTTGAGCAGTACCTTTTCTTCTCGTATTGGTATTACCAGCACGTCGAGTGCCTTGAGTTCTTCGTTGAGGCCATCGCTTGAAAAAATTACTTTCGGCAAAAGCCTCGAGTTCTGTTTCGATCTCGGCAATATCCTGTGGAGTTCTCTTGACAAGAATCGTAGAAGCCAGAGCTGGTGCTGGTGCAGCAACAGCAAGAGTTTGTGATGTGACGAAAGTCACGAAAAGAGTTGAAATGAAATACATAAAGGATAATATAAACTACAAATTGGAAATTGGAAATAGACAGTAAAGTAGAATGTTCAGTGGTTGGATATTACAAGAAGAAGCTAGTAAAAATAGCTTAAATATGTTACACTTGCTATAGATGTCAAGAATACAGGCTAGAAACAGAAACGATAAAATGTGGTGAAAAGGAGCTCGATCGATTGTTTTAATAGGGAAAATCCAACAATGCTGTTGCGCATCCTTGTCTCAATTATGTAAACAAAACCTTGATGAAATTTGCCTCCAATTGCAAATTGATTGTGCCACCAATTTTGCAATGTGGAATGCCACAAACAAACCATTTGAGTTGTACTGGCTATTCAGTTCCTCTCCAAGTAACCACGACTTGAACACTGGTGTATATTACTACTACCATCATCTCATTCAAGTGTCTTGCAAGTATAAACTCGTCTATATTCCAACACTGTATTCAACGAGTCTTCATTTCAGTGCGTGTCGATTGCAACGCTGAAACTGAAACAAAAGCAAATGACCTTCATACGACAATGCGCCAAGACTTGAAACAAACCTCGACTGGATTTTTTCCCGGGAAATAGCCGTATGACGTATGTTAGCACATATTCCATATTCAAGTGAATACAAAAATGAATTGAAATCAAGATTAGTGTTAATAAAATGGTGGGTTTTGTAAAACTAGTCTAGTCTTGTCTAACCCATTCATCTATCAATATATTCTTGTGAGTATATGTACGAGTTATAGATCTCAATACAATCAATGGTATAGATAACATTATTGCCGCTGCACTGCTTGTTTAGACTGTCGAATTTTCCATCAACCTGAAATCAAGTGCGTCATGACAAGCACTGGACCCACATCAGCCGTATTCGTGCAAAATAAAGCACCAAGGGGGAAAATCCATAATAAACAGTCAATTGCATGGCATAATGGACATTATTAAATTTACTGGTCAACATTGTGTCATCTAAACTCTAGTTGACTGGTCCTTGTGAACATTTTGTATAAAAAAACCAAGCAAATGTTCAAGTAAATCCCTCAATTGTTCAATCTTTAACCTTTCTTCCATTACAAGTAAATAGCAGGTGATTGGCATGGAAGCCAGTTGCTATATTCCTGAAACATGCAATCATTATTCTCTTGAACGTGAATGTATCATATTTTAGGATACAACAGAGTTGGACCATCAAAATAGTTGGACTTGATCAAATTTGGTGATCGTATAATATATAAATGATGTGAATCTCAGTTTATAACTATAGTTTGCGTGCACCAGATAATGAATGTCGTGCTCATTAACAATACCAATTCAAGTGGCGGTGACATCAATTTGTAGAAGCCACTGCGACCATTGTTTATTCTCAAGAGGCGGTGATTGCAAGATAAATACAATTGTTCCATTATATGGGAATACAGCTGTAAATAAAGTAACAATTGAGATCATACTTGGTCTATTTAGAGCCACATACTGAATCAAAAATAATTGAATCCGTCATTATACTCCAAGCGGCTAAACCAGTTTATAGTCATCAATCTCTTTATACAAAAATCTAATAGTAGACAAATACAATACATTTCATGACATGTTCAGATCTAAAAACCCCAACACCCAAAACCATGTTTTAAAATTGTAGGCACAAAACAGATGGTGATATATTACAATGTTTTGTGATGGTCGCCATAAATTTAGCTAGTCAAGGTATTTAAATAGACAATAGTCCCAACCGGTTTACCACCGAGTATGTTCAAGTAATAAATATTAGATTCAAGCGTGTGTAAAGAAAGTTGGTTCTAGTGCAAAAACTACATTAGCCCCAATTACTATACACGTCTAATACTAGATGATCTAGAACCACCTTGAGCTGTATTACCAGTATTCACTCGGGCTGCCGAAGTTGCTGGAGCTGAAGCTGTAGCAGGCCTGGGTTGTCCAACACCAGCAGGATTTGGAGTTCCTGCAGTATTGTTCATAAATTGTGGTGGAACAACAACGTCTAAACCAAACGTAGTAAGATTGAAATTAGCCAAGGCTCGTCCTATAGTTGATGGACAATTAATGCGAATGTCGTCGGAAAATACTGGCTTGATGCCAAAAGCTTTGAGGAATGCAATGTGTGCGGTTGCCTGATAATTGATCGTAATGGGTCGTTGTCTAGCTCGTAAAAATCCACATCCTTGTAGAATTTCACCAAGACCAATATCTGTCTCAAGAGACGCAGCAGTGGCATAAGACAGAGTAAAGTTGAGCAAAAACGTAGTGTTTTGGTTAGGAGGGAAAATCAATGGAGTGGCGCGAGATCCAGTGCCAATCTTGATCGTTTGACCAGATTTAGGAGCAAGTGCAGGTGCACCAGAACCAAGCGAAACGCCAGTGAGTTGAGTGATATTGGGTTGCAAGAGAGCAGTCAAATCGACACTTTCAACTTTGAGATGATATCGATTGGGATTGACAACAGACACGTTCATGTGCATTTGTAGATTGACAGAAACACCAGGACCATCTTCACTCGGACCAATGTGGCTCGATTCGGGTATCACTTGCATGTCTAATACTTTAAGAGCAGGAAATCTAAAAAAACAATGTTAGCAAATCTTGGCAGGAAATCAATACAATGGCGCGTTCAACACGTCATATACACCACGTGATTCAATTTAAACAGTGGCACTTGCAGCTACCAAAACCAGATGAAACTCACCTGGGAAAAAAGAAAAAGCCCAAAACTCCCACAAGCAGCAACACAGCTGCAGTGACTGCCAAGCATATTTGCATAGACTTCTTGCTACGAAAACAAAACATATGTCGCTTCTTTTTTTCAGACAAATCAAACGAGTTGCTGAATTCTGGTTCAGGCTCGTCTCTGCCTTGAGGTGGATACTCCTTGTACGCATCGTCGTATTTTGCATTGTCGTATTTTGGATTGTCATAGTATTCATTGCTGTCAGCAAGCAAAGTGGTTTGAGAGTTGCCAGGCGATCCTTTTGCATTGTATTGATTTCCAAAAGATTTGGACGGACTGTTTCCGTTGCGGTGTGAGAGTTGCGAGGGGTCGTACATTTGATTGTTGTAACCATAGTCATTCTTGGAAGCTCCTCCATTCATGTATTGATATGGTTGCTGCTCAGAATTATATTGGCCTCGTTGCATGGTTACTGCCTGAGCCATCATGGCTGGTGCAACAAACGACTGTTGGGGTGGTGCATTATATGCTGCTGGAGAATCGTCTACTTCTGGATATGAAGGATAGGGAGCCGATTGATTGGTGTACCCACCGCCATTATTAGAATACATGGCAGGGCTGGCAAACGGGTCGCCATACAATGAATCCGCTTGCCGTGCATACTGAGAAGGCTCATTCTGTGCTCCGGCATAGGGTTGGTTATACTGCGAGTTCATGGGCTGCTGTCCCGATGAATAGTTTGGTGCATTTCCATGCTTTTTATTGTAGCTGTAGTCATATTGATCCCGTTGCTGCTGATACTCATCATCATACTGAGATTGCTGTTGTCGATACGGCATTTGTGCAGACGACAAAAATGCAATGTCTTGATGGTTAAAGGTTGATAGCTGTAAGATATAACAGCAAGTTGAGTAGAACAATGTCAAGAATCGTGCCACACTCTAGTTTTATTGCCGCAGGTTTACGTACAATCTAATGCGGAGTTGATTGTCCAAAAGTGTGCGTGGTTCACGCCACAGCGAAACACAATCTTGCACTTGTGCTCGACCCATTCAAGTAAAAGTCTTGACATGTGTCTGGGTTCAAGTTGTTTAGAAATAAACTACATCTAGTTTTTGATCCTGGAATAACTCAAGCATTCTATTGGTACCGAATCAAGTCGCTCTACTGCAAAACGCGCTCTACTTGCTAAAAGTTGCTCCAATCCAAACCGATCCAAACCAATCCACCATAACTCAATATCCACTCTCATTGCAGCTTAGACTCTAGATAATGTATGAAACCACATATAATTAGTAGCCAAGTACAACATGCAATCAGTGCGTAGTTTGAAAGTAAGTAGATTATCGTGCGCCACATGTTCTCCTTGGTATTGATAAGCTGCGTAGCTGGCTACTAAGCATGCTTGAATGCAAGTAGGCTATACATTAGGATATGCTCGCAATTATATAAATTGACCATGTTAAAACATGTCCTGTTTCTATCTGTAGCTCAAATCTCTTATTTGATCACAACCCTTACTTTCTAGCCCAAATCTTGTGAACTTCCACAGGTTATACTTTGTACCTTGAAACTAGCCCTATCTATTTCCAATATTCACTATACATTCAACACAGCCTGTAGACTTGAACAGCCTTTCCAGCCCTATACGCGACACCAGCTGGCAAACGTATACTTTCACAAGTTTTATAAACACTAAAATATCCTCCCACGAATCTTTTTAAATCTTTACAACTCGTAGTTTCTATAGAGCTAGCTAACTCTAGATTCAATCCGTCATGAAACTGCAACAACCATTTCTTGTAGCAACGTTGGCATTGCTCACCTCATTTTTCCCTGTAATTTTTGCTGCAATCAACTCTCCTCCGTCCGATGTGGAAACTTTAAAGAAAACTTGTGCTGGAATTGCCACCAATTTAATAGCAAACTATAAGCCCGATCGCCGAGGTGCTATTCCTGACATTGGTTCAGATGGAATTGAAAGTAGACAATGGTGGGAGTCGGGTGTCATGTGGGGTGCGTTTGGAGAGTACGCTCGATACACTAAAGACTTGCAGTTTGTTCCTATCGTCACCAACGCACTGTCCAATGGTTCCATTTCAAATACACAAGTCAACTCGAAAGAAGTTGGTTCGTTTTTGGGTGCTGATCAACGTCTTGGCGCCACTCTTCTTGGTCGTTGGAATGATGATATTGCGTGGTATGGTCTAGCAAGTAAGTGTGTGTTGTATTTTTATCATTTATGTTTAGTTTACTCACTCGTTGTAATCTGTAGCACTCACGTTTGCGGAGCTTACTAGCAAAACTGCACTTTTACCCAGATCAAAAACTATGAGCTATTTGCAAGTTGCCATCAACACTTATGATGAAATTATGCAACAGCATGACCCAACCACTTGCGGTGGTGGTATTTTCTGGTCCCGAGATCGTACTCGTGCGGACACCAAAGATTACAAATCTGTCATTACAAACGTTCAAATGATGGTGCATTCAGCCAAGTTGGGAATCATAACTGGCGACCCTAAATATATGGCCACAGCAGACACACTTTACAAGTGGTTGCAAACATCTGGTCTGATTACACCCGATTTCCATGTCTTGGATGGTCTTTCTATTGCTGGATGTGTCAAGGATGCACGTGAATTTTCATACAATGCAGGATTGTTACTTGGTGGTCTGGCATACATGCACAAGGCATCTGGAAACATCCAGTACTTGAACGATGCAGTGAAATACTTGCCGGCCACAATAGCGATATACTCGAAAGGCAATATTCTTCAAGATCTGTGCGAGGGTGGTACAGGACCGTGCACAGAAGGTACATCCACGTCGCGTACACCAGCTACCAATCAAGTTCCATACAAAACAGCGCTTATTCGAGGACTCATGTACGTCTACGTTATTACGACTGACCAAAAGACAAAAGCAACGATAAAGACATTGTTTGATGCGTCATGGGATAGTATGATGAAGAATTGTAATGCAGCCACTTATGATTGCAGTGCATGGTGGTTGAGTGGTGCACCTGCAGCAGTACCCAATTTCCATCACCAGATTGTTGCTTTAGAATTAGCAAATGCAATGGCGGCTGTATATATCAATCCTAATCCATTTGGCGATGCTCCCATTACTAACCCCACAACAGATGTTCAAAAGGCTATTCAAAATTCAGGTGCATTCTCAGACTCGATATATGCCTATAGCTTCCTAGGTGTATCAGTCATCACTACCATGGTTGTTATCTCGCTTTTTTAATCGAGTCTTGTAACCTTTTGAAATACTCCAATTATGTCTACTGTTTTGAAAAATTTACATTCCTGTCAAGGCTTCAATCCTTGAATCTGATTGAATAAACCTCGTCTTTACACTCCTTGATTAATCTTGAAAATATGTCAATCTACTTTTGCAGTATTTAGTATGTCTATCCATTCTTGAAACAACAATGGCAAACCAATTATTATTGAAAGTTTGAGTTGATACTTTATTTCAAAACAATGCCATTTCACCAATCGTTATAGTAGTCCTCGTCATGTCCGTATTGATCAGTACGAGGTTGAGTGCTACTGGAATGTTGAGTAAATTCAGGAGTAGGAAGACTAGTTGATGAGGCAAGAGTTGTCGAGACTTGATCAGAATCGCTCGCATCTGCACCAAAAACAGGAGTACTCGAAACATCGGCAAATGTCCATGACAAAATCGCAATCTTGAAAATAGCTGTATCGAGTTTCATTGCTCAAAAAGTATATATCCTGAATTCAACCTGATTTGCAATGGCTATTTATATAACTAGATTACAAAAGTCTGTGTCGTTTTATTTCGTGGATAAAGGGCTTTTGACACACTGCTGTACTTGATAACTGTTCTGTTATTGATGTATCCGTGTAAAATCGACCGCTTGTATTTATTTTTTGAAATACACTAAAAACGGCTTGTGTATTTCAAAAAATAAATAATACAAAACTCTGTATCTTGCAATACTGATATTCATTAATCGATTGACAAACCATGTCTAATGAGACAGTTGCTATCTGAAATGATATGTTTAGAATCAAATGAGCACTAGAAAGTGCTTCATATCATTGATCAAAAAGCTTTAAAATATCAAAGCATTTACAACTTTATTGGTCAGTCTTCAAACATGCCAACCCTATGAAGCGCAAAACCAAACTCATCGCAACCCAGATATTTGGTCCAACTGCTCTGTTGTCAATAACACTGTAAAGCTCATTCGGTGTATTATAAAATACCGTGCGTTCTAGTTCAACAGAATAAAGACTGCAAATCTTGGGAATGCAACAGTTGCTTCTATGCCAGTCGTCCAATATTTGGGTTGGAGAAAAGGAGCGCTGATTGAATGCCATGAACATGTATCGCTCTTGTTTTCTGTACCGCAACAACGACACGACCAGCTTACAGTTTCTCAATTCAACATAAAACAACGTCCCTCGTTGGTTTAGCGGCGACTGTTTGCCAAGTTTGGTATTGATCTTGTTTTGACGCGAGATCCTTGCGTTCAACCTAGTTTATGCTAATTTAAAGCAACTGCACAATTTTACAAACGGAATATTTACGGTTGAGATATTGCAACTGCAGTCTGCTTGATGTCATCAGAATATTCTCAAAACATGATAAAGTTGGGCTGTTGAATACAGACAAGCATTCTCACTCCGTTTTTAGCTATGAATCCAGTTGACACTTGTGGGTGGATCAAGGACACACAATGCATCGACTGTTAAATTTGGTGCTGGGGCTTGATCAGTAATGTCTGGCCATTTTCACAAGGGTTACTACATAGCTTTGTAGAAGATTAGCAGCTAAAAAAGGGTTAGTGTCTGATACTTGATAAGATGGTGACGCGGCCATGAGAATGGACAACCCATTGAGCAAACTAAGAGATGAACCATTTCAAGAAACTCATGCTACTTGTCGCTCAAAAGACCAAACTTTAGTACCCAGACGTTGATGGTGCCGTGTACGTTTGATTGCATCGTTATATCATGTACGAGTTTAAACTGTATGTGAGCCCTTGAACTTTTATTTTTGATGGTGACACAAACTTCAGCCCTATATAAACCTGGTCCTAAAATCCCTCGATTTCAAAAGGGAGTTGTGGATTGGATGGTGGGCTGTAGAAACAACTCTGAATTCAACCACATACAAATGTGATTGAAAGAATACCTACACCCATCACTATTAGTGTATCATGCATTTAAAAAAGCTCACGTAAATTTCATTAAACTATTTCACACATTTCGACTGTTGCCAGCTGTGAAACATACTTTATGAACCAAAGATCAGATTACAAGGCCGCTTTACAAAGCCACGTCCTAATCAACACCGCAGTACTGATTTTGTAAGGGATTGGGGTGGTTTATCAGGTAGGCCACCATACCAATAAATGCTTTTAGCTTCAACCATCCCTAGTATTGACAAATAGGATAATATGGTAAAATTCCTTTTGCTGTGTTGGAGTTTCAATCTCATCAACCCTAAACACTTTGCTTTGAGGATAATTCAAGCGGCTAGTCAAACGAAACAGCCCCTAATAGTTTACTTATAATCAACACAATGCCACAATTCTTGGAACCAATTTAAAGAAATACAACTGCAAACATTCCGGAACCAGTTCAAACATGGAAAATCCAACATTAAAGCAATCAAAAATTCGTTCGACAGTATTGTTTATTCTTGCATCCACGGCCACTTTAACTAATGCTGGAATTACATCGGATCCATCTGATGTGCTAGGACTCAAGAAAACATGTACAGGCATTGCAACTAATCTTATGAGCTTCTACAAGCCAAGCTACCTTGGTACTGTTCCCGAGTCAGGTCGAGCGGATATACATGGTTGTCAGTGGTGGGAATCAGGTGTACTGTGGGGGTCTATGGGAGAGTACGCACGCAACACCAATGACGATCAATTCAACATCATTCTCACCAATGCTTTATCCAATGTGTCCTTGTCTAATTTGGAGGTGAATAACTTCGAGTTGGGAACTTTTCTAGGTCCAGATCAATCTGTCAGTGCAACATTGCTTGGTAGATGGAACGACGATATCGAGTGGTATGCCATGGCCTGTAAGTTTATAGTGATGTATAGTTTAATCATTTGAAATTAGAATCTAACATTGTGTTTAGCCCTGACATGTGCCCAAATGTTTGGAAAGGATGCTCTCATGCCTCGATCAAGAGCCATTACTTATCTTCAAACCGCAATCAATACCTATAACTCTGTGATGGAGCAGTATAATGACAAGTGTGGTGGTGGTATATACTGGTCGCGAGATCGTAACAGCGGTAAAAACAAAGAATACAAATCTGTCATTACAAACGTGCAGCATATGGTGCTTTCATCCCAGCTTACGATTGTAACGGGGGATAAAAAGTATGTTCAAGTTGCAGAGAAGATTTACAAATGGATGCTCAAGTCAGGATTGATTTCAGAAAAGTATCATGTTTACGACGGAGTGGACGCATCGGATTGCAGTATAAACTCAAAGGAGTATTCGTACAACTCTGGTTTACTTTTGGGAGGATTAGCATATATGTACAAGGCTACAAAGAATGAGCAATACATCAAGGATGCAGCCAAGTATCTCCCAACAATGCTTGAGATTTACTCTCAAGATGGAGTCTTGAGAGATCTGTGCGAAGACCAACGAGGCGATTGTCAAGAAGGCGATTCACTATCACGCACTCCAGCAAGCAACCAAATGCCATACAAGGGAGGATTTGTTCGTGGACTAACATTCCTGTATCAGTTCACCAATGACCAAGAGATGAAGAGCACACTCCGCAAGGTATTTGACAAGTCATGGGAGGGAATGATGAAGACTTGCAACTCAGAGTTTGATTGCAGTGCGTGGTGGGTTGATGGAGCACCTCCAGCCAAGCATAACTTCCATCATCAACTGGTAGCAATAGAACTATCGAATGCAATGGCAAAAGTATACATCACACCCGAGTCTGATACAGTTCAGTTTGAGAACCCCACCAAAGACTTCAAGCCTCCATCTCAGAGCAGCACCAGTCAACCCAAATCCATCTACGCAGTCACTGCTGTTGTCGTCATGGCAACAGCAGCCTTGTCGTTTATGCTTCTTTAACCTTTTGATTCTTGAAACCTAATAAACCAGTCCTTGTTTGAATGATAAATTCGACTGATTTCTTGTGCTGATTCTCTCCTTGAACAATGAATTCTTACAGCGATGGATTCACCCCATTCGACTCTCTGCAATCTCCCATACATTCACTGGAGACTCACAGCACTGAAACGTCTCTACCTGCTGTCTTGTCCCAGTCGTCCACCCCTAGAGAAACCCTTACCAAGAACCCAAAAGGAAAGGCTCCGTTTGCTGACAACCCTTCTCAAGGACTGGTTCCTTTGTCTGCCACTGATGTATGTGTCATGGTTATTCTATTGTCTGGGTGCATGGGTTGAAAATGAGTTTAAAAGTTTAGACAGATCCATACTGATACTTGATTCGCATGACGATTAGGTATGTTTAAAACGGATGAATGGATGGTCTAAAATAGTCTATAAACTCATCAGGTACCTAGAAGTGGTAGCTGAACAGGAGCGTCGTTTGTCAGAATCTGTATCCAAATGCTCCAAAGAACTGTCCGTCACTCAGCTCGATAAAGATATGTTGGGTCTTTTTGACCCAACCGAGTCGTTTCAAACCCTTCTCAAAGACATGACCGAATCCCAATCCAAAATATCAAAAGAACATACTAGGGGTGCTGAATTAGTCGAAACTGAATTACTTCCCATTTTAAAAGAATTGTTGGCTGAAATACGTAAAAAGATTGCTGATGCAGATAAGGACTGGGGACTATTGGATAAGGAGATGAAATATGATCTGGACACATTTGTAAAGCTATCTGCCAATGTGCGCGCTTCCTTGATGCGGTTACAATGGAAAGGTAATGAAGAGGGTAGCATGGGCGATGTTCCTAAAGATGTGCCAAGAGATCCGTGGCTGGCTGATATGACTTTAAGAAAACATATTGTCCAGTGTAACAAAAAGCAAGAGTACTATCGCTCCAAACTGGGTCAACAGCAAGACACATTTGCTGCATTTGAAAAGGTGATTGTACAGAATATTCGTGTTGGTTTAGCATCTTTTTACGAATGGCAAACTTCAAATTATACCAGAAGGTTGGATCAATCCAGAGATATGGCCAAGTTATTGGATACAATGGAGGCAGATAAAGACTGGGCAATTTTTAGAGCAAGCAACTGTGATCGATTTATTGACCAAGACAATGTGCCCTTGGTTGATCCTGCAAACATCATCTATGACGGATGTGACGATCTTGCCATTCGCGTTGTTCGACAAGGATCGCTACTGCGCAAAGAAGGTGTGTTTAAACGATCCTATCGGCCCGTCAATGCTGTCCTGTCCACTTCTGGATATCTGCATACTCTGCCACCACTTTCATCAACACCCATAGGAGCTACGCATTCTGACACTTCATCTGCAGGCGGTCCATTCTCTCCTACTGGCAACAAACCGGATTTTTCGGCTGATTCCATACTTGAAATGCCTGAGCTGACGCTTGATTTGGCAGAATACACCTTGCTTCCACTTAATCTTAGCGACAAAGATCCCGAAGACATTGTTTTTGTTGGGAAAAACTCGGGTATGTTTGGACGAGATATCAAACACAAATTCAAGGGGAAAACCATGGTTGAAAGTGCGGATTGGTGGACTGCAATCAATGAACATATGAAACAGATGGGAACACGGACTTCAGTTGGAACACCCACTACACAGCACTCAAAACCAGCTTTTGCTGGTACTGCTCCTTTACCAAAAGAAAGTGCAGATGGATCGACTGGACTTTCTCAACGCGCTGCTGCATCTGTAGCTACTGCGAATGCTCCATCGACGTCTCTTCAAGCTCGATTGGGAGCCGTTGTAAGTCATAGCAAATCCGATACGATTCATGCTACTTCTGGTACACTACCAGTGAGTATGCCTGCACCACCTCTACCTGGTCGACCCAAAAGTACTATTGTACCTACATTGAGACCCAAATCTGGATCGCTTATTGACGAATCATTTGATGATTTGCCTAGTAGGAGAGATTCGTTATCACCTCCGATTTCTTTTACAACTACTTCAAATGATCAAATTCCTACACCTGCTCATGTAGCTGATTTTGCTTCATTTCCACCTCCCGACACGAATGACAAGACCGAGGTGGGCAATGTATCTGCTTTATCATTAAGTGAACAGATGGAAATGAAATTAAGCCATGCTACAAGTGGTGGTCATTCTCATGATGATCCGGTTGAACTGGACACGCCATCGCCCAAAGCAAAACTAGCTAGTCTATCTACCGGAACTAGCAATCCATGGGACACATTTCAAGACGAGTCGGGTGGTTGGTAATGTCGTATATGGAACTCGTTCAATTCTCTACAAGGCTTATTGTGGCATCTGCCATGTTTATTCAACTATTAAAACCTTATTTACCAAGATAATTTGTTTTTTAAACTTGAAAGCTATCCAATGGAAATTAGAGGTAGAACATACAATAGCTCAATTATTTTATTGATTTGGAAAAAATAGCAATGATTGTTGTATTCGGTAGTATAGCAATACTCTCCAAAAAGTAGTAGCAACATAAAATACGGAATAGCAATATCAAAACAGGTGGTGAATATAAAAATGGTAGGGTACGGGAAACACTATTTTTGAGGAGGCAATGGAGGCTGTTGGCTAGATGTGCCAGTGGAAGTATTGGGCACGGAACTGGCAGCAGCAGCAATACCAACGGTTTCATAAACCTGACCCAAGATCCGCAAAGCATCAGCACGTCGTTTACGTAACTCGGTCGACACACCAGGTGCATCTCCGAGAGCATCGTCGCATACATCGCGTAGCACAGATTCAACTTCTAATTTGGATCCTCTCCACAAAGCTTCTAGTCCCTTTGTTGCCGCTTCATATTCCAACTGCGTGCGGAGTTCTTGCTCCTGAGGTGTCAGTTCGACTTCGACGTCCTCATCAACAGTCTTTTCACCTCCTTCACCTGTTTTTTTTGTTTTTTTATCCATTTCTTGAAGTTTGGTGAATTTGCTTTGCAGATCTAGAGCCGTACGAAACGTCCCGACCGTCTCGTTTAAAATGTGAGTTTTTTCTTTGATAGCTCCGCTTACTCGAGACCCAAGTCCCCATACTCGATGCCATAGCACAGCACCCCCATCCTCTGCAGCAATTTTGGCAATCCACTGATCAGCTTTTAAAACATAGGTGAATCCAATCGCTCTCAACAATTCGGGTCCATAGCTTTCTAAAGCAAGTTGTTGAGCTTCGATAGTAGATAAAGCACGAAACGTGTTGAGTGATTCGTTTGCCAAGCTATTCAAAGAGATCCCCAAAGGTGGAGAAGAAGTAGGATCAGGAAATGGAAACGCATCAGTGTAAAGCGAAAGCTTGGCAACAAGATTATGCGACAGTTTTTGAATACGTTCTTTACGAATCAAACGACGTTGTTCGTACATCAATGCCGAATCTTGTTTGGCTTGAGTGGTAGCATCTGTAGATGGAACTTCTGTTCCCGAGTTGATTGTAGAAGAGTTGGAGTCAGTGGTCAAGTCATTAGATTTGGATGGATCTTTTGCAGCCATGACGTCTTTAAAATCCCGAGCAATGGATATTTCACCAATGATATCAACAAACATATCACCACCAAACTGTTGTCTGAAGAATTGTTCTGGATCGACAAACACAGATCCTTCAGAACCCACTGCAGCAGCCTTTCCATGAATATTATAAAATGAACGACGCTGTGGATCCGACAAGACTAAAATTTAAACATTAGTATAGTTTTTCTGGATACACATGAACCATCAAGTCTGTACCTTGATAAGCTTCAGATATTTGTTTAAACATTTCTTCAGCCAATGGATTGTCCAAGTTTTTATCAGGATGACACTTCATAGCCTTGAGATAATACGCCTTTTTGATGACAGCACTAGACGCCGTAGCAGGAATCTCCAACAAATCATAATATTCCATATCGATTGGATGGTCATCTAAATCAATCATGAAATTAGAAGACAAGAATCATCCTTTTTCAAGGTTTTACAATTACCTGAACCGGTTTTTCCAAGAGTAGTTTTTGGTCTGCGACTGGAAGCATTGTTGGTAGATTGGTCCGAGGCATTTGTAGTTTTTTTAGCAGAAACAGATGGAGTCTGTTGAACAGCAGAAGTTGGAATAGAACAAGTCTCTCTACAAGAAAAGCAAACCACTCTATAAACAGAAAAGGCATAAGCTGGAGTGGCAGGAAGATAGAATTCAATGACTACAGAACAGTTTGGACACTTTGCAGTGACAGAAGGTTTTGGTCTCCTCGATTCAATAACAGGAATATGAGTTGAATCGCTCATGTTATCAACAACCAAATCTCAGCAAATGCAAAATGGAACACTTGTGTTGCGATTTCCTTGATTTTGTTGGAATAAAAATAAATCGAATATTCTTGTTGAAAATTGACTTGATTGATATTGTTGCAATTGCAGGCTTACAAACTCATTTTTATTAGAATGTCAGCAAGAGTTGTTACACAATACAAAACTGCATTTCGCGATATTATTGTTGAACGGTTTAAACCAGATTCAATAGTAAATGTGTCGTTTTGTTGATTCAAAAATGTATATTTCGTAAATGAAACTCATCTTCAATTGTCTGATTTACAAGTTGGTTTTGGAATACTTGAAATAGTACCGCAGTATGTATTGAACAGTGGAAAATGTAAAAAACAATAGTAGTATAGATAGGGCACTGAATGATACCACTTTTCTTGGTAGATGCTCTCTGCTAAAAGTTGTTCAAAGTGTCTGGAGTTGATCTCGCTTGTGACAGGTGATTTATGCTAAAATGCCATGGACAATCAATGTCAAATATAATGGTCAAGACTCGGTGCTTTATTCATACAAATAATTGTCTAATTCATTCCAACCCAAATGTACTATCTCAAGTATTTTCAACCAGACTAAGGAGCAAGTTTGTTTCTTCCATTCGAGCAGCAGGGGAGCAATTTCGTGTAGAGAAGCCAAAGTCAATGATATATGGATTCCCAGATTCATCAATCAAGATATTCTCCTTTTTGATATCGTTATGTAGAATACCGGCCTCGTGAATGCTTTCGAGTGTTTCCAACAACTTCTGCTTTTGCTGTTCAGTGAATCCATTGGCCACCGTACCACAGATAGAAACACCTACACAGTACAGAACGTCCTCCACAAACCCATGACAAACGAATCTAGGTATGCCATTCCCTTGTAGCCCCGATAGCTGTTCATACACAGAAACCTCATTCAGCAATTCTGGAAGCATTTCTCCGTGCTTGGCAATATCAGCAACCTTGAGAGCAATACGGCTAGATCCATAGTAATCCAAATACACTTTGCTTCTTCCTTCACCAAGAACTGTATCAAATTTGAAATCATCAACATCAAAATCTTGGGGTTGCTCGTTGATTTGAATTCCAGACGACAAAGAACTGCATCCTCTGGAGAGACTAGCACGCGGAGATACTCTAGTACTACTTGGTCGAGAGATTTGGGTAGCAGAACTAGCTCTAGACGGACGCTTTGATGCGGGGGGAGAATCCATATGATTGTGATTGACGATGCTGTTGAAATACGATAAGCATTGCTGGACAGTGGGAGTTTGAGCAGTAAAGGAGATTCCCTCGGAAACATACAAAGTTTCATGAACTTGAAGTTCTTCACAAACGGCACATTCTTGATTTCGATAAACAAACCAGGTGTTTTCGTATGACGACAGAATCCCATATTGTCTGTGGTTCAATCGCATATAGTGGTAGAGTTGATTAAGAGCAGACACACGTGTCCTTTCTGTGTCGTATGAATTGACGATATCACTGATAGGCAAGGTCCAATTGCCCTTTTCTTCAACAATGGCAACAATCTCTCCATCTCTAGTCATTAAATGATCTGGTTCCCCTACGCAGCTTGTGATTTGACGTCGTGCCTTGAATTCAGAAGGAGGAATGAAACACTTGGCAGAGACATCGAGCAAATTGTCGAGAATGAAGGGTTGAAGACTTTGTTCGAGGAACATTGGCGCACTCTTGACTATCAGAATCTTGGGGATACGGTCTTTTAACATATTAAAAGTCAGTGTACAGTGCTTAAATCTGGGAAATTTTGATACCAACTTATAGTATAGACGATAGCGAGCAAAAGTCCTAAAAGAATTGGTCAATTCTATAGATTTTTGTAATTTCCCTAGTAGAGGAATATTATTTTGTGGTGTATCAAATCTCAAAAGTTCTTATTCCAGTAAAATGAATTTGTATGGAGTAGCAAATAGTATTATTAAAAGCGATGTTTATTCGATGATATCATATGACGAAGAAGGTGTGAGATTGGGTGTACACGCACCAAAACAACTTTTCACAAGAAAATACAGGAATCTATAGACCTTGACAACTTGTTCTTCGTCCAAAGAACGAAGGTTAATCAAAATCTTTCGAGAAGTCCACAAAAGCCCCTGTTCATCAATAAAGATAAATTGCCAATCAGCAGCATTAGACAACACTCCCCATACGCTACATTTTGTCTTCCCGGCATCTTTTCTTGATTTGTAAAGAGTAGCTGTTTCAGCAACACATTGCCAGTAATCATCTTCATCCCAACTAGTCTTTGCTTCGATAGCAATCAAGTGAAGTTCTTTTGGAGGTGCTTTGCTGAAAATATCGTATCCTTTTCCAAGTCCAATTGTGTAATCAGTATTCCCAGTGATTTTTCGTTTCTTGTTTCCCACTGTTTTTGAAACCTCCATTTGAATTTCTGGGAAGATTCTGAGTGATTCTTTGAATTCAGGACGATATAGAACATCCAGAAGAAAATCGTTGAGAATAAAGCGACGACCGGCTTCATACCTCATATGAACCAAAGAGACAGACTGTTTCAAACGAGAATAAAAATGCTCTGAAGGATTGATAGAATCGTCCAAATCAAATGTTGTCCATTCTCTGTAAGTGGTGTTGATGGAAGTAATACTTGAAATCCACTTGTCATCAGCTTCTCGAAAAGACTTGCTCTCTTCCTTTGGCTCTTCTTTGGTCGCTAATTTGATGAGTTCTTTCCAGTATTTCTCGTCCTTTTTGAGTTCCTGAAGAGTTTCTTTCCAATCAAAATCCTCCAACTCCACTTGTTCGTCAGTAGTAAGTCCTTCTGGTCTCCTTGCTTTCTTCTGAAGTTCCAACTTTCTTGCTTTGACAGTTTCTATTTTCAATCCCACAGCTTTGAGTTCGTTTTTGTCGTATTGACTCATTTTTTTAAAATAGAAAAAAATAAAGTGGTGCTTAATGATTTTAAACAAAGTTGATGTCGGAGGTAACAATCATTTCAACAATTTTCCATCGATTTTATTAGGAAATATCAGCTAAAATGTCAGTTTCAATCTCAATTAAACAAGCACTCAGTATGAGTTTAGCACAACCAAACCACCACCAATCTCTGCCCGTATGTCTACTCTAACAACTCTAATCAAAGTTGATGCCACAGGCGTTTATCATTCTCAAAAACTATTCATAGGTTTACCAAGGGATATTGGCTAAAATACCTGGTATCATTTGGTGCCCTAACTATACTACTAACAATTTTATTAGGTTTTAATCCCAGTGACGATCAGGTAATATGATTGGTGCAACCAATGTCCAGGCATACACGATCAACACCAGCCATCCACTGACAATCTTAACCCAAGCTGCTGCATAACTCTTTCCAACAACTGCAAAATCATCCTTGGTAATCGTTACAGTATCCCAATTTGTGACAAGCATGGCTAGATACATGGACGCAACTACAAAAATAAGATGGAAAAGCATATAACTGTATCGTACTGCCTCGACCTCATCATCAACTGGAGGTCGATAAGTTCCAAATGGAGTGGAGTGAGATCTGTCAGGGTCATCGTCAGCATCCAATGCACTGGCTGGAAAGGCTCCGCTCTCGACCGCAGCATACAAATGTGACGATCTGTCACCACCATCTCCGCTTTCATTCATAAAATTGGGTCGAGTAGCAGCACGAGATGCACTGTATGCCAAAGCAAGAAACGTAAATAGGGTTCCAATCACAAGCGTTGTGGTCTGAGTATTGTCCAAATTGGTGAGTGGAGGCGTACAATGCAACACACCGTTTTCGTCCTTGCTTGCCGGCATGCTTACAAGTGCTGATGCTACCAAATACGTAGCGTAAATGGTCACCATAGATGCTTGTGCTAATCCACTTTTGGGTGTTGCCTCTTGAATCTGCGGCATGGCTGACAACACAGATGTAATGATGCACAGAATAAGATTAAAAGAAATAAAGAATTGATTCAGCTGACAGCCTGGCGCACCAAACCAAAGATACATGATGATGGTTGCTACAAGTGATAGAATATATGATCCGAATGTAACCGAAACAAGAAGCGCAAGATATCGTTTATCTTCATGCTCTTCCCACCATGCTATTGATCATTTGGAGAGTATTAGTGAATGGTATATATAATTGGTTCTAGATTGAATCTATGCATTGAATCAACTTGCCCAAAAGAGTTTCACTAAATGTGTATGCAAAATCAACAAGCAGAACTACTTGCACAAGAATGAAAATAGCAGCACCAGGCATATCAATGTACGATCCCCATCCCATAACAAATCCATTTGGAAGAAAGAATGCAGCAACAATCAAAGCAGCCCATGCCAGCAACTTCCAAGCCCAATATCCATTCTGAACATGTGCACGCCAATCTCTGCTGCTTCTCACTTTATACATGAATGCAGCCATAATCATATGAAACAAGGATGTGGCAAGACATATACGATAAACAGCCAAAACACCATGACATTCTCCCTGCGGACATTGCAAATCCAAATAGCCATAACTTATATCTTTTAGTTTTTTCTCCGCCCCTAATAGCAAATAGTTTAATCCAAATATCAGAGAAGGTGAGTTTAGATTGCAAGACAATAAGAAACAAAACATATTCTGTAGCTTACAATCTGTCAGCATCAGCTATCAACCCAAACAAGTGATGAACCATTGAAATACAAGGTTAGTTTTCATGGAATGATTAGCTGCAGGACTGAAAGTTTTACAAGAATAGATGATCAAAAAACCAACCCAAGAAAGTCCAGCAGTCATCATGAACATCATAGAGTATCCGACTCTGGATGCAATAGAACTAAACACACAAGTGTCAGTACAGAAAGTGAATGAATAGTTGCTAATAGTAAAACATGAGTGCTGAAGTGGAATGACTAAAACACAAACCTTGTTGCACCACATAAATTAGCACAACAGCAGGAGAGAGCAGCCTGACCAAAGCAACAAGCTGTGGAAGTAACAAGACTCGATACGATGCCGCCCATTGTGAAAATCGAATCAGAATTTAATGTCAAATAGTTGAAACTTTAAAACTGATTTTTAAATGCGATTCTTGTAAAAATGCAAGTTTTAGTTATTCAAGTTGAATAATAGAATTAAACAGAATTAAATAGAATTAAATCCATTTTCAAGTTTAAATATTCATACAAATTGGCTTGCAATAAACTCATTTCCTGTTCACCAAAAATCACCAAAAATCATTTCATGAAATTGTCATTTTTATTCTAATAATCAACTTTGTCTATAAATACAACACTCACATGAATAGGTATCGTTACTGTGTGTCATCATAGAATAACTATTCAAATAACAGAATTGTATCGCTTAATTAGTCAAGTCGATTCGCATGTTCCTTCATTCCAGCAACTTGCAGATCTGGAAAACACTATCATCTATGTCAATAGAGAACTCATTGGTCTTGGATTATCAGACTCTCTTTGTTTCAATGTTACTGCAGAATCTCATGACAGAGTAAAAACTATTGTTGCTTGCATATTCAGTCTTCTTCAGCAACGACAAAGAGATTCGTCGTTTCGAACCGATATGCAAGAAAGACTGCATTACTTGATGACAGACAACGATGCTCTCTCTGCTTCAATCGTATGTTGATTTCAAGCCTGGATTGTCTTGCAAAATATGTTGAATTCATTCTGATATTCTATGATTTTATATGATTTTATATTCTTCAAATCTGTCCGGATTTTGTCATTTCACGCTCGATTTAATACAAATCCATTCTTCAATAGAATCGTTTCAAAGCAACCGAAGAATCTCTTAAACGGCAAATCGCAAGCTTCAAAAACAAATTATCGTAAATTGTTATATTCTTCACATCTTGTAGTATTAAACTCTGTCTTGTCCAAAACCTGTATCATTACAATGTACTGATGAATACTATTGTTATAGATCCGCTACCAAAACAACAGACTCGACTATTGCCAAACTTGCTGCTGTAAAAGAAGAACTTAAAACTGCTTTAACTGCCCAACAATATTCAAAGGCTCAATATGCTGTAAGGTTCCATTCTACTGTTTGTTGTTGATACATCAACGTGTTCATCTAATTTGCTTGATATGAATGTGTATATTGCGGTCATGCACGTTTAGCATGAATTGAAGCGGAAAACACTCGAGTTTGGACGATTGCAACAGCGACTTCAAAAGATTGTTGCTGAAAAGTCTTTGGCAAAAGCTGGAATCACTCTTGCAAATCCAATCAAATCTGCATCAAGTATGGGTGACGGTTCTCAGAGTCTTAAACAAGATCATGTAAGCTTTTAAAATGCAATGGTACATGGTTTCTAATACTCACATCATTTATAGAGTGAAGAAATGTACTCGATTGTAATCAAAAACTACGAAGATAGAGAAAAACACATCATGGCTGAAAACGACAGTTTGCGTCAAACGCTTTTTCAAGTGTTCAACGAAATGAAGGGTTATATTGAACAGCATCAAGATCAGTTTTTATCTGGACAGGTAAATTGTCATACATTTGAATTTGCATATAGTTGAACTCGGAATTCAGATACATGAAACGTATTGATTTAAACCTGAATATAGATTCAACAACTGCGACCAGAAATTATGTTGGCTCATTCTCCAAATACACTAAAGCATCCATTACAAGAAGCTATCGAGCAAGGCTTGAATGTATTAGGATCTATTCAAACAGGTGTATCAACTGAACTTGTTACGGAAATGAAATCTCAGGTTGACTGTTTAACCAAACAAAATAGTAAGAGCAAACAACCAACACTATTTGGTCATTGTATTGGTAATAATATGTATGAATGATATGCATGGAATATTAGATGAACAGACTCAAGTGATTCAGGAACAGACACGCTTGCTTGAAATGGCTTTAAACCAAGACTTTTCTGCTTCGCCACCAGATGAAAACGATTCCTTGTAAGCTGTGTTTGTTATCGTGGTTTCTAAATGTTTGAATTTTCAATGCTCTGTATAAATACCAACTCAATCTTTAACACGCATGATAATAATAGTGCTACTGGAATGGAAGATTCTGAACATCAACGTACTGAACTTCAGGAACAATGGAGCCAACTGGAAAATGAACGTCGTAAATTCACAGATGCTGCAATCAGAATGGGTTTGGAACGTGCTGCACTTCAGGTATATCTCGATATGATCATGTTTGAGTTGAAATCTACAAGACATTGACGTTTATATGATTAGCATGAACGAGAAAAGTTTGAAGAGGAAAAGCGATCGCATCAAACTATGCAATTTTTGGGTACTTTACCACCAACTCCAGCGTAAGTCACTCTGGTGCGGTTTTTTTAAATCTAAATGTTTACAGTATATTGCTTTATATGGGTTTAGATGGCTCAAAACGTCAGTTGCAGCAGCTGCAGAAGCATCTGAACATCATCGTGATTCAAAAGGCACAGATTTGATGGATCAATTTCGACGTGTTGACATCAATCGCTTTGAAGATGATACAGTCAAGCCTACATTGACAGATACAGTTTCAGACAAACAGCCCAGCATTTATCTAGAAGGTGCATCCAAGGATGATTTTCTAGTTGAATCGGATACATTGATGTCGACACATACAACTGCACGTACAACACACATGGGCACTCCAACGACATACATGGACGCTCTTTCAAAAAGTCATATATTGGGATCTACAACTGGATCTGCAAAGAAACTCTTGTCACATGGTCGATTTAACAATGTGGTGGATGACAATGAGGGGAATACTGTATCCAAACACACGCACACATCAAAACAAACGAGTCCTGTGGTGCGTCGTTCTGGTATATCTTCAGGACCTGCACTTTCCAATGTATCGCCAGCTTCACGTCGGTCTACAAACACTACACCAATGGTCAAATCGGCGTTTAGAAACAAGACAGTTGTGAGTGGAAACTCTTTGGGATCATTCCAGTCCGCAAATGCTTCAAGTACAGGTCGATCAGTGCGTATTTCAGTAACGAATGATCATACCAATGATGAAACTTCCAAACATAAAAACGAATCTACTCCATTCAAACCCACGCTTGCCATGTCTACTCCAAGCTAAAGCAATACACATGTTTGGATGATTCAGCCCAATTATAAATGTGTTGATGGGTTTACAATATATTGAATTTGAAAATTAATGGCTTTACAAAGACGATTTCAAAACTATTTATTGTGTTCATGTTTAGAAATCGGCTATACAGGTTGTTTTCCTTTTTATTTCTTGTTAGATTTGGGCTGGGCTAGATTTTCTGGCTCGTCTAAAGATTCGATATGCTTGAGAGGTTCAGGTTCAACAGTGGAAGACGACGGAGATGCCTTTGAATCTGTTTCTTCATCTGTCGACTCATCCCTAGATTCAAAACATATGGATCTTAGTAACTGGGATATGAAATACAAATGTATAAAGCAGCATACCACATTGCCAGTCGTTTCTTTGGAGCAGGAGCAGCCCTTGTGTTTACAGTTGATCGCGAACGTTTTAATCCTACATATAATGAATAAAGATGAACACCGCATCCATGCCATGTTATATAAATCACCAAAACATACACATGCGTGTTACCTTGTTCAACAGCATTGTTGACCAAATCCATAGTATCGTCATGATCATTCTCAAATTCTGGGTCGTCAAATCGAATCTTTCTCTGCACTGGTTCCTTGAGTCCTTTTTCAATCTTTTGAGCAATCTTTTCATTTTTTAGTCTCTGTCGCTCAGGTTCTTTTTCAATGTATGCAGCCAATCTAATCCAATACACAAAAATAGATTAAACATGTGTGATGATTGGAATTGGTCGTAGTCACGTAAAATGGGCGACTAAACAAAAATGTCGATGAATAGTAAACCAGTATCATGACATGTGGTCCATTTACTGAATAGTGTGTCGACTGATCCTTGTACTCATTTTGTATAAAACATGATGTGATGAACATGGAAACAACAGCCGCATTTTCAAGTGTTCTAAACCATTGCATGACGTTTTAAAACAGAAACACTTACGCTTTAGCATCGTTGACAGTTTTGACTCTGCGACCTGACAAATCTCTACACGAATCGGTGCTGGTAGGTTTTTTAGAAGCCATGCGACCACCTTGAGCACGAAGCATGCTTCCAAATCCACCTTTACCTCCACACATGATAGGAACTACTGCCAATACCAATGGAAACCTACGAGTTTCTTCAGTTGAACAAGAGTGAATATCCGATAATGGCACATCCGGTTGAATATAACAGCCAGACTCTTTGCATAAAGAAAAGGAAGTTATAGAAGATGTAGGCAAGTCCAAACGATGTATCAGTTGTAATTTGATGTCGGAAATGGTAGCCAAGACATGGTCAGGAAAGAAACATTGTGTCTTGAAGGAACTGAATGGTTTGATAATAACTTGAATAGGATTGTGAGTATCAGTAGCTGATGCAAGAGTAGAATTCATTGTAATTGAAGTGACTGTAAAACGGAACAATTCAAAGTTTAAGATTAAACCAATTTATTAAAATAATTCTAAAAACATTCAGTCATGATTGTCTCGGAATAAATAATTATTGAATAATTATTGAAATTCTAGCTTAACATATTTTAGAAACTATACATGCCAGTCAGGCAATATTCACTTGAAATGTAATATTGCTCAGTAAGATTGACACCAAACATGACTGTTTATGTATTCCGACTTATTTAGTATTTCATTTTACGTGAATATGGCTGTAAATAACTATCAACATAATCATATTCAGTATATGCACAAAAATCACAACACTTGGTTGGAAATTTCTTTGATAATCTGCAACGACATGGCAATTATTCCAGCAAACGTTTCTTGTCCAGATGGAATGATATACTTGGGAGGTAAGATAAACCCATAGTTTCCAGTATCTCTCAGTTCGACTGCATAAGAGAATGTCACGTTGGCACGAGCATAGATATGATCCACACTGCTTCCTGATGCTTGGTAGATTATGTCACAAATAGGACCCACTTGAAACGATGTGCCATGAACGGATTTTAAAGCACCAACTGCTGCTTTACCTACTCGCATCAGTTTGGCACTGTCAGGTGCTGGATGATTGCAAATATTACCAAAAGGATACATCCATAGCTGCGAAAATGCATGAAAATCTATTTGATTCAAGTGTTATTATAAAGAAATGCATGGAAATCTATTTGATTCAAGTGTTATTACCAATGTAGGAAATCACATTGGGTGCACGCGATTGAACATAGGCAGCCATTTGACGAGGTTCAGGCTCAGAGAATGGTTTAGGACCCATGTATGCTTCGCTGCAAGGATTGCTTGAAGATCCACCCGTTCCCCAAGCGTACTCCCAGTTGCGATTGGGATCAGTTCCTACACAAGCGAATCTGTTGGGTTGACGAGTCTTTCGCCACATTCGGTCTTTTTTATGAGTGTACACAAACCCATCACTAGTATATCGTGTCAAAACAATCAGACAACTGATAGTATTTGAAATGTTTGATTTTTGCATTCTAAACTTACATGTTTAAAACTGGAATAATAGAGTATATGAATGTATCCAGCATGGTCGTTACATCTGTATTTTTGTTGTATTGCTCCACCAATTGTGTAGCCATAAATGTAACCACTGCTGGGGCAATCCATTCCCTTGCGTGCATTCCACCATGGAATACAATTTCTTTTGGCTCCGCGACTCGATTTACACTATGTTTGGCATGGATATGAACTCCGAGAATATCTCTTCCTTGATACGTTTTTCCAATCGAAAATGTTTCCACGAGGTCAGGGTATGTTTTTGCTAGGGCTCTATAGTACTCGTGCAGCTCATCAATAGTGTGATATTTGTTAAAGAAGGATGCAGACAAAAGTGAATCTGACATGTCTGAAGAAACAGTGTTTTCAGGTAAACCCAAAACCTGTTGTTGTTCATGCTGCACTCTTGTAAAGTCTGCAGTGAATTCATTCAATGTGGTGTCCATTGGAATAAACTCTTGTTTTTCTTGGTCAATAAGGTCTTGAACAGATGGTACTACCAGGGTATGACTAATACCGGAGTTGTCCAACAGAGTTTTGACTGCATCAATGGAGGTCGGAGGAACTCTCATTAAAATCATTCCGCCCTGAGATTTGGTACTCCATACATCTATTACATTGGACTAAGTATTGAAGAGTAACTAGATACAGTTATTATCCATGATTCAAAACATGGATGCGATAGTTGAATATTCACGTACCTCTTGTAGGTCAAAGATGATAGTGGAATGGGCAGGGGTGGTTGGCATCACTCTCCATAACTGATGGTTGTCAAAACGCAGATACTTTGCATTGACAGTGCTAAACACAGTAGCAGCAAACACTAAAAAATACTGAAATGTTGGCAATTGTAGCTTCATTGAAGACGATAGGTTTCGACAAGCTTAGTTTGAAGTTGGTTGATATTCAAAGTTTGTTTATCGCGCCTGAAGGAAACTCCACGCGACTGATTCAACGTGTTGAATTCCACAAGATGCAGCCATGAGAATCACAGTCGGCAAAACCAACACGATTCAACCCTAGACAGTGTTTTAGCAAGTGCGGGTTACTAAAACAAAACAGACTTTTTACTACAGCCGTATTCACGTCAATGAAATACTAATAGTGTTGACGTATGACAACCAACCTCGTGATACGATGGGTGTCGGTTTACCGGGAAATAGTTTTTTAAACTGACTAGTTTTCTAGTGATTAGCATGAAAACAGTTATTACATTCCTGATATATGCAACAATTGTTGTTAAACTAGAGCCCACAATATTTTAGAATACAAGAGTTTGTAGACTTGAGAATAGCTGATTTAATATCCGAGTTTAATGCATGAATAGGGTTTCAAACTTGGTGATAGTGCAATGTATGGCTATGCTAAATGAGGAAAAAAAAGAATCATTTTGGTTTAAAACCAGTGTTCATCATATAATGAACGGTGTATTTATTGAAGCAATCTCTAATAGGAAAGCATGACACATGTTTGACCATTGTTTATTCCAAAACAAAGAATAAATGCAAACGTTTAATTCTACGTGAAATACGGCAATAAAAAGTGGCGTTTCATGTGATGAATTAGCCGACCATTCTACTGTCAGAAACTAAAATCAAATGGATTGCTAAACGACCCTCTAATTCAAGCAAGCTCAGTTTTAATGCAGCATCTTTAATACTTGCTGAGAAATTCGATGTTTTCAAGATTGTGCAGCCAAAAGCATTTTACTTTTATTCGTCCTTTGTGTTCCTTCACATCCTCCCTTACACTTGAATCTGCATCACACTGTTTCTGCTGTGTTTGTCCCTGCTGTTATTCATATTTTAGATATACACTTATAGGCTTGACCGCATCGCCCTGATTCCTTTTTTCAGTCCCTGCCTGGATCCCCTAAGCTTTATTAAATATAAAGAAAGATGTATCGAAATCGCATGCAGTCCGATAAACTGCAATTACAAGGATCAATGCAGCAACAGGATTCAAGTAGCAACTATCGTGGTGCAGGTCAGCCATCGCCTCATGACAAGAAAAACAATTATGGATTTCAGCAAATGGGCGATCCTATGCAGAACGATCCGTACGGCTTTCAACAGCAACATGGACAATACCAAGAGTCTAATCCACAGATGGTAGCACCAAACCACTATCAGACTGATCCTGCATACTCTAATGCTCTTATCGATCTTACTCCTACTAATCATGACATCTTCAATCAGCCGCAGCAGCCCATGAATGCTGGGTATGGCTATTCAAACTATCCAACACCAACAGGCACTCCTTATAGCTCCAATGATGTTTGTCCTCCAGTCATGTATCAAGAGCCAGTTGCCTATGAAGCAGCTCCCATGCACTCGTATGTTGCGCCAGCAATGATGGCAGAGGCTGGTACTTTCCATCACCCAGGCGACAGATTGGAGTCTGTCAAAAGCCTCTATGGTGACAACAGCTCTTACCAACAGTACATCAATACTGCATATGGAAAGGATAATCTCTTGCCATCGCCTACATCGGCCAAACTGCACAGAACTGCCAGCAGGAAACTTGAACTGAACCCAAACATCCCCGAGGGTCAGCATAGCACAAGTAAAATCAGTGCTTTCCTCCCTGCCATCTTTACTTCTCGAAATGCTGTATCCGGCACTAACAGAGACATAGTCTATCCTGAAGTGGGTGAGAAAAAACCTCCACGATATTTGTTTTGTTTAAAGTCAAAACGAGCGCTATATATCTGTCTTGGATCGACGTTTATCGTTTTGCTTATTCTTGGAATAATTGGATATCTCTACTTTCCAAGAAATCCAAACCTACAACTGCTGGGCATTAAGCCGGTTCGTGGATCCGATCATATGAGTCTGGGCGAAGGTTCTGCTGGACTATCAGTCGAGGCTCAATTTCTCATGACTGTAGCAGTAACCAATATCAATCGGTACCCAATGGTTGTCACCAACATGGAAATGTCGGCCATGATTGTTCCAAATGCAACAGCACTTGAAGGTGTCGCTTTTGCTATAGATGGCCCAGTACTCCATGTGCCTAGCGGTTTCTCCAAACAAGTCGGATCTGGCAAACGTAACATTACGACCCAGTTTGATCCTCATAACAATGTGACCTTTCCTGTCACGTTCGACTTTAAATACACAACTAATCCAGTTCTCTCCCAGGATTTGATTTTGGCCGATATTCTTCAAGCATGTGGATTCTTGAATCCACCAACTACTCGTCCCATCACTATCCGAACCAAAACCGTGTCTGTTGTTCAAGGATTTGACAAGCTTGGATATAATCCTTCGTTTGAGAGCGAGTTCAAGATCAATTGCCCGCCAGGTATTGGCAATTCGCTTGGTGCATTCAATTTTACATCTGGTGGAATCAATGCTGTCGTACCTGATAGGTTCTTACCCAAAGCAGCACCTCCTCCTACTAAAATTGCTTCCAAGATTAAACCTTGAAGCACAGACTAGACATCCATTGGATCTAGAACTGAGTACCTGCTGCATTTGTCTTAAAACTACGTTTAAATTTCAGACTTGACCTTTTTCTTTGGTCAGGATCAATGACCAAAGCCTTGTTGTGTAATATAACCTTTTCTTTCCTTCACTGCCGTATTCACGTAAAATGGAACACTTTTTCTGTATTTATTCTGCAGTGATTGCCACTATTTTGCTTTGGAATAAACAACGGTCAAGTATTCGTTGTGCTTTCCTACTAATTGATTGCATTGCTTCTACAATAAACATTTTCAATTCTTTAATCTGAACTCATATGTCTGGTTTTAAACTTGATGGTTGCACTCGATGTTTCACTTTACACAACTGTGATTTGAATCAATTGTACAGTTGTGTGTTGTATCCAATGTGTTGGCAGTTGTTTGGCTAGTGTTGCTTTTCTGTTGCCATAATATCAAAAGCTGCGTAGTGATACCTGACTAGTGTCAATTTTTATGCAACAAGAATGGATTGTTAGTTTGAAATTCAAAGCAATTAGTGTTGCTTTGATTAGTCAAGTCTGTTGAGATTTGGCAGTAGAATTAGACCAACTCATTGCATAGTGTACAATTGGTGCTTTGTGGAAGCGTGCCTCTTGCTATGTTGTGGCACATTGATCTACCAGTTGAATTGAACAGACAGGATGAACAATTGAGTTGTTTTGAAAGTAAGCGCTGGCGATTTGTTGTAGCAACTGCTTGGAATCACAATTTAGCATATTTTATTCAAGTCGACAATGGTATTCGATTTTGAAGCGCAAGTCATTGGACTGCTTATCCATGCAGCTTATTCACGACGCGTGATTTGAATCCATGTGGTGCGCATAGATGTGCCTCCACGGTTGTCCAACAAACTCGGTAAAAAGCTGATACTTGTCACAATTTGTGCAGTATTTCGATTTAGGTTTGCCTTCCTGTGTATACATTGGCAGATTGAACTGTTCAACTCAAATTATATTCTATATTTATTCATCTTTGAATAAAAGAATCATTCATTAAAGAATCAGCGTCAAACTTGGCTATAAATGCAACGACAATGGTCATCTGCTCAGACGACTGATGGTGCACCAGACGCATATACATCCAACAATAGCTATATTCCACCCAACCAACAGCAGGGACGCAAGTACAGCAACTATAGCGAGGATAGTAACATTCATAGCAACAAACAGTTACTTGGATCTCCAAAGGAAGAAAATTCACATCCAAGGTTGAGTAGCTCAGCGGCCGCAGCGGCAGTAGCAGCTAATGCAATAAGAGCCATATCGCCACGGGATGCAGCAATAGGAAATCAAGGTGCAAACTACGATCATTTGGACTCGTTGAAAAGACCAGGTCTCTATCGACATCATTACGATAGTCAATACGATGACTATGAATTTGACGATGCAGATGACCACATATATGATGCACCATCACAAGGAGTGCAAATGATTCACGAGAACAGACTGTTGTATTCAAGGAATGGAAACGCTCTCAGTCCAACACCCATATCGCCTGCGGAGGGTACCTTTTATTATGCACCCCCGCAAGCCGCAGCATCTGAGAAGACGATCCTAACAATCAACAACATATACTCGACAGAGTATAGTCCATTGCCAATAGAATATCCACCCCATCTGGCAACACCCACTCCAATGCAATCCAAGAACGGTAGTACGTCCACCCAGGAGTCGATTGCGGAATCTGGGTTAAGATTAGGAGTAGTACTTCCGCCGCCACCATCGTATCCACCACCGTTTACAGCTGTAGCAGATATGCATCAAGGCCGATACTATAATGGGCCCAACGAGCATCAGCCACCGCCATTATTGTCACAACAGCGACCATTAGCGTCCATCCAAGCACCCTCGACATCATCCACAACAACCCTTGTGGCTGCTCTTCCTGCCCCGCATCAACCCCTGCCATTTAACAACTATAGTGACATTGACTCGATCCAACCCAAACCTCTTTATCTGCAACAAACATTCCAGCCTGATAGTCTTCCTACAGCTTTGAGAAACGCCGTGCATCCAGGCCGCTCTTCCATGTTTCCTACATACAACACAAACCCAAAACAACCTGCTATGGAAAATGGCAGTCAGTACTACGACACGCAAGCCATGAACGAAAAACAAGGTTTTTATTCAAACGGTGCTCCTGGTGGTGTTCCTCCTTACCAATCCAGCCCTCCTCAGATCGCCAATCAGGAGGGCTACAACCCATACCTTCCCAATGACAATCAGGGAGGATATGTGCAAACTAGAAACAATAGTCAAGGCTACGATCAATTCAACCATAAACCATACGGCATACCCCATCACAATGAATTGGATATAGACGAAGACCTGAGTTCCCCAAAATCAAAAAAGAGCAAATACAGGCTGTCTGCTGGATGTTGGATCATCATTGCAGTGGTGGGTACTATTCTGCTACTTATTGGTATCCTACTCGGTGTTTACTGGCCTCGGTATGTAATCATTCGACTTTACACACTGCACTCGACTATCCAATTATGTATTATGTACTAACTCTACTATATGCTTTCGGTATCCCAACTCTTGATTGCTCGCATTGATAGCCCGTTACTATTCAGCGTCGCTTCTACAGTTTCTATTCCCAACTTTTCAACTCAAACCCCTTCAATCCAAGGTGGTGGCACAATGTTTAATACCACATTCAACATGACAATCAACATTAATAATCCAAACTTGTTTGATTTGAATCTGGAACGAATCGATATAACTGTAAGTCTTGTTTTAATTCCTGTTTTTTCTGAATACATTCTGATTCTTTTATTTGCAATAGTCGGAATTGCTAGTCAGCGGCTCGCAAGTCAATGGAAAGGCTTTCTTTAAAAATTCCCCGCCTTTGAATATCGATCAGTATTCCACACCTTTGGGTACAGGTTCCAGAGGTTATTTGGTAACACGCTCTAAAGCTGAAACAACAGCCATTGTATTCCATCAGTTGAATATCTACACCCAGCCAGCCTCAAGTACAGATCCTGCCGTGTATGAACTCATTGATGCATGTGGGCTGGCTGGATCCACCGCACGGCCCATGAAGGCAACTTACAAGGCCGTATTGAATCCTGGCTGGTTAAGACAATTGGGGTATCGACCTCAAGCCACAGGAACGTTTCTATTCACTTGCTCACCATCACTGGCCGAAGCTGTCAAGACTACTTATAATCTCTGAAAAGTGATGTTTTGTGCAATGCATGACTATCTAAACCATTCATTTTCAAATTCCCTATATTTCAGGCTTACCACATACTTGCCAACCTCCATTTGATATATACTTTCTATTAATCATGTTTTCATATCGTTTGTTGTAATATCTGCATGGGCTATTACACTTATTGGATTACCCTATGGAACTTGTAATAAACATCAATTCATTGCTTTCCATATCTGTACGCTTGCTAAATGTCTTGTCAACATTCGTGATAGGGTTCAAACCAATGGCTCATTTGACAAAACTTGTAAAGGATGTCATTGGTAACTTCTTGAATACATCGTATTATACCAAACTATTGTTTAATGGATTGTAGTACCAATTTACTAATGGAACGCCGAGTATGGATACCAACGTACATAGTAACATCAATATCATGGTATGGTGATAACCCGCCAAGTATGCAACGCCATATTTAGTCATTATTTATTCCAAGACAATTACTGCAAGATCAATACAAGTGTTACATGAATACGACAGTAAAACATCGTCAATCACTTGGTAAAAACAATCTCACTCGTACAATGCATCCATTTTTTGTTGTACACATTGCAACTCTTGTCGTAATTCACTTAGACTTGTGTTTAATACAACTGCGTCTTCTAGTCGCCGTCGACTTGTTGCATCAAGTAGCATCCCTTCTAGCTGTGCAATTTGTTCATCTAATGCTTGGCTAGTCATGTCTAATTCTTTATACATGGCGTCATGTTCTGTACTGAGTATCTTTTTTCGATCAGGTCGTATTCCATCTGATGCATTTCCTAATTGACGCGCTTTGAAGCCAATTGTGTCGGGCATCAACTGCAATGTCAACATATTGGCCTGAAGAAATTGGATCGCAGATTGATGTACATTTTCATGCAGTCGAAGGGTCATTGTACTTGATGTCGGTAGCCGTTTAATCTGTTTGGCGTGACGCTCCAGCTCGGTAAAATAGTCTAATAACTGTTTACGATATCGAAGCGCTATTTGATAATCTTGTTCTTCAACAGATACGCTTGCCCTACTCCTGTATACAGTATACGTCAAAACTAAAACGTATTTGTTGAACCCCATTCTTGAACCAAATTACCTTAGATCTACCAAAAGACTATTGAATTTTGGAAGCGTTTCTTGAACTAGCGAGCGCAATCTAACAATTTGTTGATAGAGTGATACCAATTGTGGTGTTGTGCTTTCGTCTTGTGAATTATCTCTCCTACATAAAAATGAATTGTAAATCAACTAGATGGTGTCGTTTGACAAAAGTATAGACCAACTGTCTAAAACACAGTCTACTTACATTCCAATCAGTTCCTTGCACTGTGAACAAGATCGAATCTGTCCAATCTTTTCTAAAGCGGCATACACCCCATCTATATTACAATATCAAAAAGTCAACATTATCCACATCAATGTGGGTCGAATTGTGAATATCTACCTGTCGGAACTTTGATGTCTATCATTGTAGAGCACGACCCACAAACTAATCGACCACAAAGACGACAGTGATGTCTTCGATTGACAAGACCAAATTGTGACCTTTGAACAATTAATAGTACAAGATTACAACAATGTATAGGTCACAATACAATGAAATCATCACGGTGCCAACAGCAACTACATACCCACAGATATAGCATTGACTAGAACTATCGTCGGGAACCCATGCTACAACCGCTTGATCAATTGCTTTAAAAACACACGCCATTTAAAAAAGGTGTTTTAGCTTTCAAGAATTAAGCCTGCTATGGGTCTTACAAGACAGTAAAAATATAATATGCATACAGTTTTTAAATGGCAAACTCAGATTGCTCCATGATCGTTGATGAGGCGATGGTATCGAGCTTCCAGTTAAAGCACGTGTAATCTAGTTGAATTCATGAGTGAATCACTCAATGCATTAGCCAGAATAAAAGACTAGCAACTTTTATCACTCCAAACATACCTTTTCTAGTCGCTTTTCAATCTTGTTAGCCTCCAGTAATGCACGATCAATACGCATCCCACGAACTTTTAGAAATCCTTGGGTTCTATTCCGTGATACCCCTAGATGACAATGCAGCATATTGATTGAAAACAATCGAGTATTTCTTGATGATTAAATAGAATTTACATTCAACACACCAGGCTAGTTTTTACCATAAACATCCATGTATCCTTCACGAGACATATAACATAGCTGACACACTCTTGACCAGTATCCAGAAACAGGGTCATGGCTGGCATTCGAAGCTAATTTCATTTGAAACCTAGAATGCAAATCGCAGTACAAACGCCCACATCTACAGAATGACAAGAATCAGATAAACCATCAAAACTAAACTACACGCATATATAGCCAGCTTACTTTCGACAGTTTTCCTTTCCAGACAGTATACCCAATGTACTACTGCATCTTGAATATGAACACCGATCGTCAACAGTGGAGAGTTGCCAATGTATGCGAGTCACTGCAGACTGATCTCCACTAGCCAACGAAGATGAACTTGGAGTTCCATCATACACAGTCATACCGTACATATCTCGATCATAGCTTTTTCCAACATGCCGACTTCCTGAAGCAGATGAGACTGATGATTCAAATACATGACCATAGGTAACGTTTGAATTAAGCTCAAAGGTATCCATACCCTTGATCAAATCTAAAGGCGCTTGAGCTGATCCTTTGATTCCAGCAGCAATACGATTCAGTCCAAGTTTCTGCCAACTGGTATTAGACAGTCCATCGGATACTTTTATTTGAGTACGACGAAACCATGCCAAGAGTGCTTCTGCCGGATCATCAGAATCATGAACAGGCGATTCAGCATGGTTCAAGTCAATATGTTTATTAAGCGATACTAGATTATACGTTGTTGCTCCTATACAATATGTTTGGTATTTTTAAACAATCAGCTAGACCCAACAAGCACACCAACGTATGGATAGTACATGACCTACCACAGATAGGGCAGGTCAATACTTGTTCTTGCTGACGAGATGTGTGGTTCATATGTTCATTTAATACAGATGAGGATGGTGAATGAGAGAGTGTGTCTGAGAGTGGAGCAGCAGAGCTCTGTAAGTTGGCTGGTCCCTTTGCTTTACGCATTCTAATATGACTGTTATATTCACGTAAGATGGAACGCTTGTATCGCAGCGATTTCTGACTTTGGAATAGTCGAATCTTGACTGCGCTTATTTGAAATTGCCAATTCTTTCATAACTAAAGTGTTCATAATCAAACTATGCAATGATCACACATGTAATATTTAATAAGTTGTGTGGATTATCACGAGACTGCTCATTTATTAATACTTTGAAACTTGGTGTTCTATTCTGTGAATGCGGTTGAAATGGGTTTCTTGACGCTCGTTCAAGTTTTATTTGAACCTTTGTATACCGAATCATGTATCTAATTATACTACCAATACTCTCCTGGCAAGTACTATATAAACGGCAATGTTTATATTTGTCTTTCGTCATTGTATTCATGTTTATACACGCTACGGGTTGACAAATTTAGTAATTAAACGGGTACAATTTAAGGCGTACAATCACAAGTTTCAATTACAAACTTATTGTCCAACAATTCATTTCCCAATCGCTAATTTATTCTATTGAAAAGTACTATGCAAGAGTCCTTGCAATCAAATAGAAGCTCTTTTGCTGGGTCTCAGCCCGAAACCTATTACTACAAACCCAATACGGATGTCGAAAATTTCGATTCAATTGAATCGTTTGAAGAAATAAAGTAAGTTGGACTATACCATTTATGTTTTGAATCAGAATTGGCCGTCTACTTGTTGAATCATCCTGGCTTTGCCAATTTATCTTTTACTAATCCTCATTGTTTTCTAGTGTCAACTTTTATACCAAAGGTGTCGTTCCTGAAACTGACGATCCTGATGAGCCGTCACTTACCATTCGTATGCTGTTTTTGGGAACGATATGGGGCATCATTTTGGGTTTGGGAAATGGTAAATCATGTGTTGAATTGACTCGGGTTTAAAATACATCTTGATATAGCTACTAACTGATTCATACATTCACCAGGCGTGTTAAACTTTAGGTATACCATGTAGTACTCGCCAACAATGCATTCGTTGTATTTAAACTAAATTATTTTTATTCACTATCATAATGTATCAAGAACAAACCCAATTGGTATCAGTTCTATTATGGCTGCCTTGATGTCGTTTCCCATTGGCATTTTTATGGCCAAACTCCTTCCAAAAGGGATTTGGAATCCAGGACCGTTTGGATTGAAAGAGCATGCTCTTGTTTTTGTGATTGCCAGTGCAGCAGGTGGCTCTCCCTATGGAATCGAGAGCGTTGTTGGTCAAATGTTTCCAAAATTCCTTGTAAGTCAAGTATGTTTGTATTGATGCACAAAGGTCTTTCAAGTTTATTAAATATTCAAATATGGGTTTTTTAGAACGATACAAACATTACATTTTGGAACTCATTATTGTTTGTTGTCACGACCCAAATGATGGGATACGGTCTTGCCGGTATTACTCGGAAATTTCTTGTCCAACCCTCGAGCATGTACTGGCCAACTGTTTTGCCTACCGTTGCACTATTTACCTCACTCCACGAAACTCATGACTCGAGCCAAAAAAAATCAACATATTGGTTATCCAGATCGCAGTTTTTCTGGATCGCATTCATTGCCATTTTTATATGGGAATGGGTTCCGCTTTACTTTGTTTCGGCAGCGCAATCTATTTCAATTCTCTGTCTTTTATCCTCAAACAAAATCGTTCGTTTTTTGGGTTCTTCGTCTCCAGACACTGGCCCTGGTGTATTATCTCTCTCACTAGATTGGTCCAACATCACCGGATTCGCGCCGCTTAGTTGTCCATTTTGGGCATCTCTCAACCTTTTTGTAGCCAATGTAATTGGTCTCTGGGTCGTTCTTCCAGTACTGTACTACACAAACGCATTTGGAAACCCCTCGTTGGAGCATGTTTATTCCTACAGCGATAAAACCCCATTTCCTCGAGTCAATTCCGTTTCCATATTTCAAAAAAACGGTACAAGCATAAGTCCTACCATATTTTACAACACTACCACGTACGATCTAGACGAAACTATATATAATCGACTCCAGCCCATTTACATTACAGAAAACTTTGCACTCTCTTACTCTATAGCTTTTTTCAACGTCACATGTAGCATTTCACATATTCTGCTGTGGTATAATAAGGATGTTATTCGACAGGCAAAAGAGCTAATCTACCAGAAAAAGGAATCTGGCGCAGATATTCACTCCGAGTTAATGAAGGCATATCCAGAAATTCCCGAGTGGGTCTATCTGCTGTGGCTTCTTGTATGGGCTACCGTACAGATCTTTGTTGGAATAATTACCCCATTCAAACTTGACTGGTGGGGATCCTTTTTTTCCATATTCGTTAGTATGGTTTTTCTAATCCCATACGGCATCATTCAAGCCTCTACGGGCCAATCTCTGGGTTTGAATATTTTGAGTGAGTTGCTGATGGGACTCATTATGCCTGGTCACACTATCCAAATCATGACATTTAAAACTTTGGCTCAAAATACAATCAGTCAAGCCTTGACACTTTCTGCCGATCTCAAACTTGGCCGGTATCTTCATATCAATCCCATTCATATGGTTTTTGCACAGTTGTATGGAACAGTTATTGGCGCAGTGACAAACACGGCGTCGGTGTGGATCGCTTTAAAGTATTTCCCTCTTGACACACCAGATTGGGAATACACGAGTCATCAGATCTTTTTTAATGCAGGAGCCATTTGGGGTGCTATTGGGCCTGCACGTTTCTTTGGCCAAGACTCTCCTTATTACTCACTCAACCTTGCATATTCTCTGGGTCTGGTTCTTCCTGTGATTCCATGGGTTCTCAATCTCATGATTCCTCATCCCTACTGGAGATACATACACTTTCCAGTAATGAGCACTGTCGTCAACTGTGGAATGTTTCAATCCGGTATACTTTCATCATTCATCCTAGCCTTTGTATTCCAGTTTCTCATTGTCACGTACCATCATACATGGTGGCAAAAATATAACTATGTGCTTTCCGCTGCATTGGATGGTGGATCTGGATTGGCTATTGTAGCCATCGTTTTGGCAAGTTCATGGCACGTCATGCCTTCAAATGTTCTCAATGCGCCTCTGGTAGACTATTATTGTACTGGGATGACTTGGGATCAGTTTTAGCTCTAATTGTTTTTATGTTGAATACATTGTTTTGTACCAGTATGCATGATGGTGTTAAATTATTAATATGAAATCAAATATGCTATCCAATTGTATGGTAATGAGTAATTCATTACAAACAATGGTCAGGCCGAACACTATTACAATATCATGTTTGATGTATAAACAGGTTTCATGATATACCCTATTAAGGAATGAAACAGTTTCATGTCTAAATTACACAAATCAAATCTATGATACAATCAATGCATTATAGTGGATCGAGAACTCAATTTATGCAGTGTTTCAGTTATTTTATGCTGAATTGCATGAACAGTTGAAAACCAATGTTTGTGATTTGTTTGGCCAAGTGAATGGTCTTGACACGGTTTTGATTTTGAACAAGGTTCATGCGAGATATGACGAGTTGACGCCTAGTCAGACTATTGTATAACGACTTGCTTGATATACTTGTAGAGATTCAAAGGATGTGCGGTGGTGAAATTGATTTTGCTTTGGCCGGCTTGTGTTTATAATATCCTCTGGTGGAATGACTTGGCAATACCCTGAATTTGGTGTGTTGGTTGATTTTTAGGTCTACAAACCAAAACAAAACTTGTAAATTACCGCACATGACCGCCTTATCTAATGGAAATCCCCAAGCACGTAATACTAGATGATATTCAAGCCATGGTTTGGCATTATTGACGTGTCACACCGTTGCTATTGGCTATGCTTATGCATTCGACTAATTTAGTATTGTTTATGCTACTGGTGTGTTTTATGTATGAAACATTTGACCAAATATGCAATCACGGCAAACAGTATTCAATAAAACAGTGCTGGACAATTCAATTTGCATTAAAAGATAAGCCTTCCAATCACATGCAGATTGATCAAAATCTACTTTAATCATACATTTCAGCAACGGTTGTTTTTAGATTTATTCTGTTGTATGCCACCCACTGCTACTATTTATAGACCCATACATCCCGATACATTTGATCAAATCGTTATCTTGTTAATTTATTCAGTATATTAGTGTCTGCTCTTAATTCGGATTTTATTTAAGCCATCATGAATGCCACTGCTCTTGCCTCACCCAATACTGCTCATTCCTTTCGTGTACATGATCCTACCCGTCCAACTCCATCCCTACTTCCGATCCAATTTTGGATGAATGGAAACACCACTCATCATCTCGCTGGTGATGACGGTGTATCTTCTCATCTTATTCAGCCATTCAACGATCCAGTTGACTTTTATCTCGTCAAGGATCTAGACCAACCGCGCAACCCAAAGCAGTCCAACCATCATACCGACACCCAAATCGAATCCAAGTCGACTACTAGCAAGCCCAAGGTAAAATCTTCTCGCATCAAACCGATAATTCGTACAGATAGCATTAAACTTGCTCGTCAGAAGCTCGTTGAGATTCTTTCTCCAACCATTGCAACCATTTCCAAATCGGCATCATTTCTCAAAAAACATCAGCCTAGTACTCCCTTGGCCTCTCCATCCAACACTTCCAAGCAAACTTGGCCAACAATGAAATACTATCAAAACAACCCATTATCTCCCGTTGATTTTGATCAAGCTGCGGATCCATTGGCCTATACCGGACCTCCGGCTCCGGTTCAACCCACGCATCTACTTTCACCTGTGTCTGGATCTCACTCAATGTTTACAGATCTACCCAATCAAGCTTCAAATAGCATGGAATCCATTGTTTATACAGAACCTATACAGTTATCTAATCTCTATTCTTCAGCAATTAAACGCAAGCGCACTGTCACTCCCCCAGCTTTATCTGTTGATACTAAAGATATTTACACTGCTGCCATCAAAACACATACTCCTGACATGAGACCAAAACGACCTGTTGACATTTACTACAATGAAGTCGACTCAAAACTGCCAACCAAAAATACTTGTTCCTCGATCAACTCGGATGCAGATTTGCTTTTGCTTTATGGGCATCGTAGTTCTCTTTACTCTACTCTGAATCGACGCACTTCAACTCGATCGGATTATACGCGCAGGTTATCCATGCAAACCATTGATGAGAGTCCCGAACTCGTCAACCATAAATTCAATTCATCAAGAGATACTCTGCCACTTGATGTAGCCTGTTTTAATGGTGTGGATATTGTTCAGGCTAGTTTGAATGCCATTCATAAGGATTTGGGCAGTGACCAGTTTGACACAATGAACTCGGGCTGGCTAGATTGTGATCATTCAGTTTCCTCTGTTGCGGAAAGTAAAAAAGAAGGCGGTTTGAAATGGTTATACTCGAAAAAGTCGGACCATACTTGCATAGAGTCGCTGCCCATTATAGATTATACATGCCAGCCTACGTTGACCAAGAGCAAAAACCAGTATGATCATCTGTCTGTAACCAAATTATTTAAACGTGACAGTGATCAAGTTGATGAAAAGGCTCAAGACACTAACAATGTAGACCAACTCACTTGCGACACCGTGTCCAATCCAATTGTATCTGGAGAATTCAAAGAATATCCATTTCGACCAAGGCGTTCACTACGTCACAAACCACTCATTCATAATCTGTCAAAGCAGCTTTCCGAGTCTGCCATCTCTGACCGTGTTTATGATTCTATTGGTACTCCAACTGCTTCAGTTGCAAATAACCGACGTGAGGTATTTACACCAGAAAAAGGCATTCAATCAAAATTTGATTTGAGACGATTGAGCGACCCCACCTCCTTATATCAAGCTGAAACAACTAGTGAAGCCGATGCCATGCATTTGGATGTTCAATCTGCACTTAATCAACTTTTGTTCAAAGTCAATAAGCGACAGGCCATGAGACATACGGCACCCAATGTACTTTAAAATTTCAAATATTGTATTATAAATTAGGCCCATTGTTATTGTGAATAAAGCTGTGTGAATGTAAAAGCTTATAATGCGTGTCGGAGATTCAGTGTATTTCCAAATTGATTTTACTCTTTAAAACTAAACATTATCAACACTATTCTGTAACTCAAAGAAACTGGCACCAACACATTGAAATGGCAGCTATAGTAGCACTGCTGTTTTCAGGGGCAGAAATGCTGGAAACAGTGCTTTCAAAGACGAAGCAGTCTATTCCACTGGATTCCATTTCTCAGACTACCTTTGACCATCCGACAACAGCTACAACAGATACAAAACACGACCATCAGCACCTATTCAATGTCACACACCATCTAGAAACAGATATTGGATTGGAAAGCTGTACTGCAATGGAAAAAGTGCATAGACTAGACATGGTACCCATGCCTGTGTCTTTACAGCCCAAAACTAGCATTTATTCAATTTGGAAGCAACAAAAGAGCCACCATCGTGTTATGCGTACCAAGAGTCGGCTGGATTCTGCTTTTTTATTGCCGAATCACACATCGTGTCTGGATGCAGTGATTCCTATTCGACCTTTATCCAAGTCAGACATGGTTGATATCAATGAGCATGCACAACGGATGAGTGTCAAGCCTGTTGCATCTCTATACACTGGTCAGCATGGACCACATTGGTCTATGTTATCGTCTGTTTCTCCAGCAGTATCGCATTGGGGGAATTTAAAAAAGCGTGCCGAGCAGCCACATCAGCGGATGATTCCATCTACACGTACCACTCTAGAAATAACAAGAACCACTCGTATGGATGAAGAATCTATTATAGACGAGGAACCTATTATCATGGATGAGAGGAGCAGTCGTCAACAGTCTGTTGGTAATGGATGGGCAGATTCATCCAGTCCGGCATATATTTATATGGAATCCTTCATTAGATGGGGTCGAGGGTTGTGGGTTTATACGCTGGACCAGTTGAGTGATATGAGATCCAGTAGTATGAGTAGATCTCATGCTGTCAACACTACATTGATAGATTCCCTTGCCAAAAGCAATTACTACAGTGAAAACAGCAACACTCAAGGCATGGCTCATTCATCAACTCATTTGCTGGGCCATGGCAGTGGTTTGGAGCAACTGCCATATCTGTCAGGATTACTAGCTGCAGTAGCACTACTTTTACTTGTGCGACAATGGTTTCTATGCAGTCCTGTGAAACTACAGATGCCTCAACGGCCTGCATCTATTAGACGCTGGAATCCACAGACTTGTCAGGTAGAATCCATACCCTTTGACACTCTGGTGCAGTCTACATGTCCTCATCTGGCTACTGCTGGATTGAATGTATTCCATCCTCATCCTCTCTTACCTGGTGGTCATCTTCAGACCATGTATGCTGCCATCTACAAACGGACTAGTGCTCAGTCTGTCAAATATTCTAGAGAAATAGTTGATATGCCTGATGGAGGAATCATTTCTTTGGATTGGCATTTTCCAAACTCTGGATCGGATGATCTGCAAGCTGGATTCGATTCTCTCAATGGAACCACTATTTCTTCTACAAAACAGCCATTGCTAATGGTTCTACATGGATTGACTGGTGGATCTCATGAAACCTATGTACAGGATATAGTAGAAGAAGTCGCCTTGTCTGGTGTTTCTAGCGTCGTTATGAATTTTCGCGGCTGCTCAAAGACTCCACTTACATCTCCACAGTTGTATTCAGGTGCATGGACTGGCGATCTTGCCCACTGCATTCGTCATATTCAATCCAAAGTTCCAAACAGCTCTCTTGTAGGTTGTGGGTTCTCTCTTGGCTCTAATATTCTCGTCAAATATATTGGTGAAACTGGCTTGAATTGCCCACTCGTTGGCGCGGTTTCTGTTGGCAATCCATTTGATCTGCTAGGTGGCATGCGAGCATTACAACGTTCTTGGATTGGCCACAACATTTATTCTCCTACCATGACTAAAAATTTGTCCAAGTTATTCAACAGCCATGCCCACAATTTCAAAGATGCAAAAGAACTGGATTTGGATGGAATTCGTGATGCTAAATCTATTATAGATTTTGACGAAGCTTGTACCCGCAGAGCATTCAATTACCATACTGCTGAGGATTATTACCGAGATGCTTCTTCTGCTCAGTATGTACCTAGTATTGCTATTCCTACATTAATGTTGTCTGCAAAAGACGATCCAGTTTCTTCATCTGAACTGTGGCCGTGGCGAGAGTGTTTGTACAATCCCCATGTGATTTTGGCAACTACATCCAGAGGTGGACATCTTGGTTGGTTTGAAGCAAAATGGTCGAATGTGTTAAGCCCAGCACGTAGATGGTTTGCCAAACCTGTTGGTGAATTCATCAGTTGCATTTTCAAGGTAATCTATTCATATCAATGTTTTGTTGATGGTATTACACAGTAAATAGTCTAACATCATAATACTTTATAGGCGGATATTAGTATTCCAGAAGACAAGAGAATCATTCAATCCAATGTGATGGACAAATCACTCCGTGGACTACCAGTTCGACTTGCAAAACCAGTTACAGTTTCGTTGGATACAGCTAAAATTGTCACTTCATCTAAACCAAAACATGTTACATTTGCACTTTCACCAACTGAAACTTCACTTGATGCACCGACTGTTGTTTTGGCAGAGTCTGCTCCAGTAGCAGTGCCAGCAAGTCTTCGACGCGTTCGACTTGTTACCAACCATGTATTAAAATCCAAAAGCCCAGATGCAACCATCTGCCAAAAAGCAGTTGCAGTTCGGCCTCATCTGTATGTAGATACTCTCAAGAGAAACTCTTTTGGACAACATATAATTTCACTTATCCGAGGAAATGGATCATCCACTCGTGTATGGTCATTGCTTGCTGCCTTGATTTGGATTTATATTTCAAAAACAACCAAATCTGGTAAACTCTTCAACTAACCTTGTGAATTCAATACGGTTTATACCGAGTTTGTGGGTGTTGATAGTATAAAAAAATTGAACTGGATCAACTTTTTCAATACTTGAATAAAATTACGTATCTTATTGCCTTTAATTAAACTGTGTATTACATACAAGTCTGAACTGACTTTAAAATGTGTGTTTATGACAATAGTGAATATCTAGAAAACTATTTCAACATAGTGTATGCATTACCCGATAATATTCTGATGATGCAAGGAATCGACCCTAAAACACTTTTTGAATGGAATTTCAGTCAACCCAAGTCTGGTTATCATTATTTTTGAAACCATATCATGACAATTGCATCGTTATTGCTCCGCCCGGTTAAACATTGCAAAGCAATCTTATCCAGCGCTGCTATTTCTTCATCAACAATGAATTCATTCTCTTCTGTTGCTTCATCCGAGGTTGAGTGTTGCCAATGTGGCTGATGAATGATCAACACATTTCATTATGTATTGGAGTAGATTGGGTTTAATAACACCAATGAATAGAATAGTGTTGATTCAATCCATTCCGTTTTGATAGTGGTCGATTCCATCAGTAATATGCATTTGCTATTTTAAACAATGTCTAACTGAGATTATTCAATTCATATGCATTTCAATCGGTTTGAATATTATAGAAGTCAGATTCATCTTCCTTGTCCGTTTCTATGCAACTCGCTACTGCCAAAAAACCCATCACTGACTATACAGAGTATTTCTCGCCTCGTGCTGCTGCTCGTCGACCTAGTGCGATTCGTGATCTGGCTACTCTGGTTAATGTTCCTGGCATGGTGAGTGCAAGTATTGTTTTAAAATCCCTTGTATATAAAAACAATACATTACTTTCATTCCTTTTAAAGATGGTTGAAAATGCTGTGAATTCAGCTATATATACATGTGGATGCGTTGCATCAAAATCCCTGGTTTTCGATGTATAGATTTGTGCTGATTTTTGATGTTGGTATCTGTAGATCTCGCTTGGTGGTGGTAACCCTCATCCATCCACATTTCCTTTTGCCAGCATTCAGTACACTCTCAAGAGCGGCGAGGTGATTGATATTCCTACCGAGCAAGTCAAACAAGCTTTACAGTACTCTGCCACTGTATGTATATCTTGGACGATCGTATCTGTAACCATAGTAAAACTGAATCTAGACTATTTTCAACACATGAATGTTAGCCTGGTCTTGAAAAGTTTGTTGAATGGCTAAAGAAGTTTCAAGTCCATGAGCATGGTCGTGATCCTCTTGAATTTGATGTGTGCATTGGCAATGGAAGTCAAGATCTGCTTACAAAGGTAGATTTATATCCTTCACTTTTATACAGCTCCAAATTGTTTATTTGCTAATGTATTTATTTAGGCTATTGATGCATTTGTTACTGATGGTGGGTCAGTCATGATGGAGTGCCCTGCATATGTTGGCATGATTGCGTATGTTCGACCTACTGGTGCAAATATAGTTGGTGAGTGGTCACAGTATGATCTTTAATTGTCCAATTTTTTGAGTGATCTTACTAGTTTTTATTATGCAGAGATACCAAGCGATGCTGATGGTCTCAATCCAGATGCAATGGAAAAGACTCTTGCAAATTGGCCAGATGTCAAAACTCGTCCAAAGGTAGACATTCAACTCTGCATTTAAATCATCTGTATCAAGTTCAACTCTTGTCAATTTACATTTAATGCTTTAGATTCTTTATACCGTTCCAACAGCTGGAAATCCTACTGGAGTGACTACCTCGTTGGCTCGCAAAAAGCGTGTGTACGAAGTTGCTCGTAAATACAATGTTGTTATTATGGAAGATGATCCATACTACTTTTTGCAAGTATGATGTGTTATGCTTTACTATTTTGGGTTGCGTTAATTTTGATATTCACATTGCTGGTTACTGTTTTGAACGATACTTTTTCACTCCATCAACTAGTTTGGCGAGAAGCGTGATCCAAGTTACTTTTCGTTTGATGTTGATGGTCGTGTTCTTCGATTCGACTCGCTTTCCAAAGTTCTCAGTGGAGGTGCGCGTATTGGATGGGTTAGCGGTCCTAAGATGCTTGTTGAACGCATCATTCTCCACAGCATGGTAAGTGCAATCCAGCAATTTTTTTGATCAGCTAGTATATTTATTAGCCATACATGTTTGAAAAATGGGTCAATTCCAACTCTAGGGATCCAATCTACATCCATCAGGTATCAGTCAGATCATGATGTATTCCCTTTTGGAAAAATGGGGAATTGAAGGGTTTCTCGAACACAATCGCAAAGTTGCAGCCTTTTACAAAGAAAAATGCGATGCATTTATGAGCAGTGCTAAACGACATCTCGATGGTATAGCAGAGTTTGTGGCTCCAAAAGCAGGCATGTTTGTGTGGATGAAGCTGATTGGTATTGATGATTCGACTGATTTGATCAAGCGCAAAGCACTTGAAAAGAAGGTGTTGCTTGTTCCTGGGATCGAGTTTCTTCCTAATGCAAGAGCGACACCCTATGTACGCGCATCCTACTCACTTGCAACCAAAGAGGATATCGATCTGGCTTTGCAGAGACTGCGTGAGCTTGTTCTTGAAGCAAGAGATAAGAAATAGGGGGGTTTTGACTTGTTTGAATGTGCTGCTATAAACAGCATTCGCAGTTCAAGTCAATGGGCACAAATAATTAATGTGCCGACACATTCCTTGTTCAAACGTGAGGCTATCATCATTGGTATTAAATAAAGTTAAAAGCTTGATCAAATGTTTAAAGTTTCAAGGCAAGCAGCGTTGCAGAATTGAAGTGGTCAAGTAATATAAAAAGATGGGCCAATCATTTTCCAGATTCAATCCAACTGTTACGCTTATTTCCAGTCAATATGGCACATGATATCACGTGGTATTATTTACTTTTTTAGGTATAAATTGAATTGGCTTGATGCTTTTTTTCCCTTAAAAAGGTCGGGTCCAACCTCATTGGACAGGAATAAGCAAGCGGATGGTTCATTGCGATCAGAGCCAATGCATATTGACTTTGCTTTGCAGTACCTCACTTGACTCCCTGCGATTTGGCAGCATCAATAACAAACCGCCCGAGTAATTTTTAATATAGGAGGTGTTCTAACGGCCTGTATTGTATCTGCATTGCATCATGATCACAACGAGCCTTGACTCTTGCCAACAGACTGGTCAAGTTTCTTTCAAGAAACCTTGTCACTCTCCAGTTTTTTCTTGATATCTACTGGTTTGGGTTAACCCTGTTCTTTTGTTTGAGATTCTGTTTTTGATGGAATGCAAAGAGCACATTGGTGTAATCGGATAGTTTGAACTGATGTGAGATGGCCAGATCTGTCTATTAGGCTATAGAGTTCCAGACTGGGCTTGCTTGAACCCATTTCATTTTTAGCATCCTAACCATCTTGATGGCTAAGATACTGGATAGTTATGGCTAGAGCTGTCGGTACTTTTTAACCTTTATTCAACTGACTTCAAACATCACTTTATTCTTGTTTAAACATGTCGACTGTTTTAGTTTTACATGACTAAACACCGATCTACTCCCACTGTGTTCAAACTAAAGAATCCTGTATTGAAACAGTAGATAGGCTTGATGATATGGATGGATGATCTCGGAATGGGGTGAGAGGTTTGAGATGCAGTGTTGATGATGATCAATCGGATCTATACTTGCTTTAGTTACACCTTTTAAGATGATGACATCTTTATTCCTTTTTATTTAATCCAAGAAGAAACTTGATATTTTGGTGATGCGACGTTGTAGGCAGCTTCGTACCACATGTTCAACTATGCACTCGATATTTATTTGTGTAGATATATAGCATCTACCTTGTTTTGATGATTTCTTTAAATGTAAATTAGGATAACTGTTGATTTTTAGATACGCGCGAATTCTTTTTGATGCAACTTTGTCAAGTAGGGTTCACAATCTCATAAAGTGGTGGATGTCGTTGTGTTTGTACGATTTGTTGGGGATTCTATTGATGAAGGTAATGGGTACTGGGTTGTAGGGCTTGGTGGATATTGAGGTGGTGGATATTGAGGTGGTGGATACTGAGGCGGTGGATATTGTGGTGGTGGATATTGTGGTGGTGGATACTGAGGTGGTGGATACTGAGGCGGTGGATACTGAGGCGGTGGATATTGTGGTGGTGGATAAGGATACGGCATTGGGTACGGCATTGGATACGGCATCGGAAAGGGAAAAGGTTGTGCACATTGGCATCCTCCTTGATTTCCAGTAGTTCCTCCACCGTTTGATGGTGGTGAACTGGGCGTTCCAGGTCCTGGCGGTAATGGTGCCGAAGGAGGCGATCCACCGATCGGTACAGGTAATTTTGGCCCAGTGGGTGGTCTTGATACACTTGCACCACTCGTGAATACCAAAATAAGAACTGTTGCAAGACAATCTATATTAGATCAGATATCATGCTCGATCCATCATTTTCTCAACCTGCATCACTTACGAATGATCATACACAACATTGTTCCACCGTACATTGCAAATAGGTAATTACTCTGACACGGCCAATATATTTGATGTTAGTTGCAGTCAAGTAGTTTAATTTCATTATTTATAAAGAAACCATACCTTTACATATTGCATACAAGTAGCTGCATGATGGACACGAGCTCTCTTTTTAAACATTCCACCTACATCCTCCAATCGAGCTTTTCAAATGATTCCAACATTCAATTAGCACTTTATCAATTCAGTCAACAAAACTGACTGAGATTATAGTGACATACCCGCTTTTCCTTGCATATCATCCAGTCGATCGCCTCGCGAAAGAATCTTGCCAATATTAGAGTTGGTCAATTGCGCTACCTCTTCAATATCAATCAGCATTTCGTCTGGACTTTTTGCATCGGATTTAGCAAGTTTACCCATTCCTGGATGGTTTATTTTGTAACTGTATTCTTCTGGTTCTGATTCTATTTCTATATGACGATGATGGGGATGATTTTGATCCTGATGTTCATCTTGGTCATCCTCACTTTCGCTCAAAAGTTCGCGCTTCAAGCCATGTTATTGAATCATGTCAAATGAAAATACAGATAGAATGAATAATAGATTCTATACACAAACAGTGTGCATTATTATAATATTTCAATGTCTTACACGTTCATCCGTTGAGCCAGATACGTAATGTTTTGCCTTTGCAGCACTGTGAAAGTGTGACTTGTGTGAAGTGACTTTGAGTTTATCTTTAGTTTTACGCCATAAAGCGGATGCAGGTCTAGAAGGGCCTGGTGATTCGGTTGAAATGGTTTCTCGACTTTCTTCAATGCTAGCATCATGGTTGATACCTCTTGTGTTCATGTTGGATTCGCGCTTACCTGGAAAGTTGTAGATTTGTGTTTATCTTGCATTAACTTTTGGTTTGGAATAAACACTAATTGAATAGTTTGCGTTTCTTGATAAAATAACTTGCTTTTTGAATCAACTTTTCATACCATTTCATGCCGTACAAAAACATTTCTATGCTCGTGAATGTTAGCAGGGTTGAATAAACCATAAAGTTTTATACCTCGCAATAGTTTTGCTTGTTGAGTGGTTGGCAAGTCATGTTTAATGAATTGAGAGGACATTATTGACCAGTAAATGTGACAAGAATTATCATGCGACTTTCATTATACATTGACTTATTTAGTGTTTCATTTTACGTGAATATGGTTGTAAATCTGTCAGAATCAAGAGTGATAACCAGTATGGTGAATCAAGAGATTAATATAAATGGTGGCAGCTGTAGATCGGATACATTCATCGTGACCATCTAAACAGCTGTTTGGCCAATGATGACTATTTAGAACGAGTTCATCTGATTGACGAATAAATCCAAAATTTACGATTTTGATTAAAGGATACTCAATTGGACACTCCATTCATCTACAGATACAACTATGGGTAAAGTCAAAGAGTTTATTTTTCTTGGAACCGGAACCTCTGGTTCAGTACCCAACATTCACTGTTTAGTCAAAGACCCAATTCCAACCTGCAAGGTACATTGCATGTTATCAGTTGCGATGGATTATACTTTAGTATTCATCATCGCATTGGATATTCTAGACCATTTTTATATAATTCATTTGTTTGTCAATCAGGTGTGCTTGTCAGCCATTACCTACCAACAACCTCATCTAGTGCAAGATTCAGCAAGTTCTATTCAGCTGCCGTTGCTTCATCTTCCGCACTTTTCAAAAAACCGGCGTCGTAATACATCGGGTGTTGTGAGGTTCATGCATTCAGATGGTCGCATGCGGTGAGATGAATTCCATAGAGTTTTGGGTTGTGTTACACATGATGGTGTCATTCATGCATTCTATCTACTTGTAAGCTCACCTTTTTTTAATAGGAATGTAGTCATTGATTGTGGAAAAACGTTTTATGATTCTGCATTATCGTGGTTTGTAGAATATCGACTTCGGAATATCGATGCGGTGATTCTCACCCATGGTCATGCCGATGCCATTTTCGGTACAGTTGTATAGTTCAAGTTATTATGATCGAGTTTGTATCAGATGGGTCTGATCCCACTTGGATGATAGGGCTGGATGAACTACGTCAATGGACGATTGGTGGTGAGGATAGGAGACTTCAAAAAATAGTAGATATTTATTTGGATCAAGAAACTATGGAAGTAGTTGCTCGTGCCTTTCCCTACATGGTCGATAGTGCAAAAGCTACGGGTAAGAATCTGAATGCCACATCCATTTACCAACATCGTGTTGAATACAAACCAATAAGATAAACTAATCGTGTCATGAATCTGTTTTACACATTTGATCGAGATGTAGGAGGCGGCGATGTACCCTCAGTCCGATTCAACATCATTGAAAAAAATGCAGATGGACCAATCCCATTTTTGATTGATAACGAGCTTACAGTCATTCCATTCGAAGGTGTAGCTTTAATGACTAGGATCTTGTTTAAATTCAATGGCTGACTTTAGTAGAATATATTGATGTATACGCTTGATGTTTGCTAGTGGAGCATGGAAAGAATGGAACTAAACCCTTCATGTCGCTTGGGTTTCGCTTTGAAAATCTAACTTACATCTCAGATGCAAATGCCATACCACCGCGAGCTGGCAGTATCATCAAAGGATCAACCCATTTGATTATAGACGCATTGAATGGTATGTCAACCTCTTGAATTCATTTCAATCAAATGGAAAATCCATATCCATTCTTTTCAATTATTGTATAATACATCCCAATTTACATGCGTTTATGTTTCAATGGGTTAAACCCTACTAGTTGAACCGCACTGCTCGCATTTTGGGTTTGATCAGGCCATACACGAATGCATTCTTGCTTTAGCCAAAGGCGGTAAAGGATACTTTACAGGGTTAAGTCACAGCATGGACTATGACGACTTGCAAGAGTACATTGCATCAAAGCAATCACCCAAAGATGCAGGAATTCATATCGAATGTGGATTTGATGGACAACGTATTCCTATTCACGATTAATGCTTTAAAAATGCCGCGTAACGTGTTGAAATAAATCGGTTACTAAATGATGGGTTTAAAATAACCCAGTTTACATTACAAGTCTCGTAGAATGATGATTGCAATGAAATCTTTGGAGTTTGGGTAGATGAATTATGGTTTGTTGGTATCCAGATTTAAATTGTAAATTCAACATTTATATCAGTTTCATCAATGTGTTTGTTTTTGCGGTATTTATAGTTGACAAAATCCTAATACAGTAGTCGATGAGATGCAACATGTGTTATCAATCATTTTCAATATGATATGGCATGAATTGTCTTGCCATGTCATCAAACATCAAGTGTATGAGAATATGTCAGATGAATAGATATACATAGTGTAGCAGGGTAGTACGGGTTTAATTGATGGCATGTCATTTTGAAAAACCAGATCGTGTATGCAATAGTACCTTTTATTTATCGATAGTTTTTAACCTTGACAAAAAGTATCTCATGAATTGGATACACGATTATCAAGTGAGCATTATAACCAAATGCTAAACTAGTTCAATACAACAGCCTATCTAGTATTTGACTCAAAAAAACACTCCATAGTGTAATGTATTGTCATTGATGCAGAATTGAATTGTGCGGATCAGTTTGAAAAACAAGAGTATTCCCATTCATGTATTTCATGAAATAATGGATCCGTATGCGGTTCAGTTTTTTCAACATGAGTAGAATCAGTAGTATTTGAGAGTGTCGTGCCAGCAGAATGATGGATTGAACTTGACGTATTACCTATGACGGTATTCACAGGAGTTGTTAATGGTATGGTAGGCGTAGTGATCAGTAATGGATCCAAAACAGGTGCAGGAAACAGAGTGTGTGGCATAGGTGTGAGATTAGAGCCAGGAATAATAAGAGGATGATGTGAAGCCTGCAGTAATTGCTGTTGAAATTGAATCTGCTGTAGGAATAATTGCCGAGAATGGGGTATTGAATTTATGGGCTGCAGTGACAAGTCTAAAGGGGGAGAAAATGCTGGATGCTGTGAGAGTAAAGTTGATGATTGAACATGTTGAGCATGCTGAATGTGAGCAGAAACATCAGATAGCATATCGCCAGTTGTAACGTAAGCTGCAGGAGATTCAGCCATTATAATTCCAATAGGACTCACAGTTCCGGATGCAGTATCGGTTCCAGCATCTGATTGATCCTGAGTATCAGGTAATTGTGGTAAATCCATATCCTTGGCAGCCAGTTTAATGGCTTCAATGACATATGTTTTGTTTCCCGATGCACAAATGGTTCGAACGACTTCTGAATAACTCGGTGTAGGAGAGAGTCTCGCGCTTAAAATATCCATTGTAGTACAGAATGCTTTTAGTGCAGAATCTACAATGAATTTTTGGTTTGTAGTTAAAGGCATCATGACACAAACGGGTAATACCAGCGCAATGTTGAATAGATTTGCAAGCAAAAGAACAAAAAGCGATCCAAACTCGGCACCATTTTGCTGAAGAAGTGAAATGAGTTCCAGTGCACGGGTGACTGCCTTGAATGATTCGGTAAAGTCTTTTGTAGTGTAGATATATTCAGGTGTTTGAGTTTCGAGCCTATCCAGTAAAGTGTAGCGATAGAGTGTGACACGAGCAGCAAACAAAGATGTGGAAATGAATACAGCTCGCCATTTATTCTGCAGCCATTCGAGTGTCAATGGATCCTTGTCTTGATATTCCAAAGGTTTAAACAGCAATTCTGGCTGTTTTGCAATATCGGGTAAAAAAGCAGCAAAGTCATCGAGTGAGCGTTCAAGTGATAGTTGAATGGCAGGATTGATGGTCATTTTAATGTTGGCCGCGTCTCGATTTGCCAATACAATACGACCACTGATCTTGGCCAGCATGATCTGACTTCCTTCTATACCGAGATGTGGAAGAGAAGGAACAAAGGGTAAATCAGAAGTCATTAAAGAGATTTCCAATTGAGCACGTTCCAATGCAGCAGCAGATGAAAGCTGATTGAGATTATATTTTGAAACGGGTAAAGAGAGTTTGCAATCAGAATCTCGTACAGCTTCGATGCCAACTTCGGTTGTTAGCAACCAACGATCAAACATGTAGATGGACCACCAAACATTACGCATGAGAGATTTATAGAAATCATTTTGAGCTTTTGAGATGGCAGATTCGTTGTTTAAACCCAAACGCATGGCCATTTGAACAACACTTCCGTAGTAATAAGTGACTCTTGGTCCTGAGAATTTAAAGAGTAGATTAGAACATGCAATAGTGAAACCATTTAGAAAAGTTGCCTAGAGCAATTTTACCTCGATCAGCACTGGACACCATGGTGATTAGCAATAATCCAAAGATGGAAGATACTTCTGGCTGTTCAAACATGCTGGCAATACCAGTTTTTGCAGCCTTGTAATAAGCAACAAACAACTCATGACACTTGGAAGCAGGCAATAAGGAAGCAGGAGCAAACAGAGCAGCAAGTGCACAAACAGCAAAGGTAACCAAAGGACTCTCTGCACAACAATGGGTGATCTGTTCAGCAGTCATAAGACAGATGTTTGGACGAAGAGAGTCGATAAAGTAAGCTTTCAGTTCTTCTCTAGCCAACGGAGGATTACTGATCGTTGCTATAGGAGCGAGGAAAGACTGAGGATCAACAGGATCGTTACAAGATAGAGAGTTGGTTTGCTGATGCTGACCTACAATTGCTTCTAATCGTTCGAGTCTGTCCTGTAAAGTTTGAGCTGATGAAGGCAGATAAGACGATGCGGTGACAGCTGAAGATGACATGCCATGCGTAGCAGACAGATTGGACTTGCGAGGCCTGTAAGAACACAACAATCCGGACTTTCTGCAGGCAGAACAAGAAGGACGGAGTCGATCACACTTTGATTTCTATACAGATAATTAGCTGATGATGTGTGTAGACAGTCAGGATAAATCAATTACCTTTGATACGCAATGAATGCATGTCAGAGTAGCTCGAATGGCTCGAACTGGCTCAAATGACATTGACTGTCGTATTCACGGAGTGCAGAAACACAAATTGTTTAGACTGTCGGCCGTGTAAAAGAATTTACTGTAAATCGTTAATCGCTTGTTTTTGTATAAAACAAATATTTCGCATTGCCTCGATTTCTTGCTGGTTTATTCAACGACTAAAACTGCAGTTTTTTTTATGATAAACGCGAGCGTACAAGTCTTGAAATGAGTCTTTAAACGATTCTACACTCAAACTTTCTAATCATAAAATGTCAATCTCAATTCAAACTTGCTCTTTGTATTGTATAAATACTCATTTTATAACAAGCGCAGCAGATATTCAACACCGCAAATTACTGAAAATGCTTCATTCCACGTGAATCAACTGTAAAAGAAATACAATGTCAAATTACTACTCAACTCGATGATTCTCAAACCATGGCAGGTATTCAAGAGAAAAAAGAAAATGTTGGCAACTCTACGCAAATTGCATCCAGAAATTCAAATCATCACTACAGAGGATTATAATACTGTTGAAATCACCAATACTATCTCAGTTGATGCTTCTTGTTGGTTGATCGCTCTCAATGCTTCGTACGATTCGAAAATTACTGGAATCATGCTTGCTGATCTCTTTGGTCGCTGTTCTGGATTCATTCGTTCTGAAATGTTCTTGGGTGCAATGCCACATTCATTCATATTATTCAACTCTCCCCAATCAGCTTATAACTGCTATAAACTGCTAGACAACACTTTAATTTCTCAATGGAACAACAAACTCTTGCTCTTGGCTCAGCTGGACAAGTGTTGTGATCCTTTACCTTTATTCCCTCAACGACCCATCACTACTGCTTCGGATGCTGCACTCGCTATTCCTGGTCTATATCTTGTTCCTGATTTTATATCCGTCTGTAACAGTCTAGATTTGGTTTGCCATTTGAAATCTCATTGGACATCTTGTCCTATATCGACTGATCCTGCATGGAAATCTTTACAGCGACGACGTGTTCTTCATTTTGGTTACAGTTTCGATTACTCTCGAAACGAGATTGACAGAACTGTCGTTGGATCGGATCATGCTCAGTTACCCCATATGCCTGAATGGTCTGTTTCTATTCTTGATCAGTACACAAAACTGTTTCCTCAATATCCATTTCCAAATCAACTCACCATCAACCACTACTTTCCTGGAGGTGGTATTGCTCCTCATTCAGATAGACATTCGTCATTCATAAGCCCTATTGTGATCATCTCTCTAGGCTCTGGTTTAGTCATGGAATTTCGTAGAAAATCTTCTCTTTCTGATCCTACATATACCACTGTACATGTTTACTTGCCCCCATGTTCGTTGATGGTGTTGGATGGTGACGCTAGATTTGCCTGGGAACACGCTATTCGACCTCGCACCATGGATCTGATTGATGGCAATGTGGTTGAACGCAGTGAACGGTGGAGTCTTACTTTTCGAAATCTGAGAGAGTTGCATGATGTGTGTCAATGTGGATACACTCATTTGTGCAATTGAATCAAATAGTTAAACTCGTTCTTCATACACAAGTTTTTATTTGTTTTTGGATAAAAACGCATCGACCGATTCAACGCAAAACTCTGGAAACTCGGCTACAATAGAATGTCCACAGTTTTCCTTGACCACCATTTTTAAGCTGGGCATGAGGTGCTGCAACTCGGCTGCGTGAATAAACGGCACCACTTTGTCCTCGGTACCCTGAAAATAAAAAGGTTAAAGTGCTACACTTGACAAAAACTATACAGTTTACAACTTACCCAAATGGCCATGGTTTTATTTGGATGAGATTTCTCTATCCGAGCAAAATACTCATCATTTCCCCCAAACTTGAAATGCAGTACGGTGGAAAAATAAGAACGAAGATAGCCTGGATGATACCGAATCATGAACGTATTGAGTTTTACCAAATGAGTCAGGTTATCATTGGTGTGTTGATCCAGCACAAAATTCTTTTGAGAAAGCTTGCACAAAACATCTACACCAAAAGTATAGAAAATAAATGGACCCAGAATGGGAACATGTAAAATCCAAGAAATGGGAGGAAGTTTCTATTACATTCCAGCATTCATGTAAGCAGTGGTTTCGTTTGAAATACAAGAATAAAAAATAGATTCTGTAGCCTACCGTCATCAAGCCAGTAGGTGCAATAAACATGACACTCTTTGCTAGTTTAGGAAACTTGGCAACAAAATGAGCAGTAATTGCACCACCAAGTGAATAACCAAGAATATGTGCACTAGTCCATTCGATTTTTTGCAGCAGCATAGCCAACTGAGCAACATATAAATCCTGAGAGTAATTTACACCAGGCGAATCAGAGTAACCTCGTCCATAATGATCTACAGTAAACCAAGGATTTAGAATTGACACTATCCAACATACTCCAGTCCAACACATTACCATAAATAAGAATCCGATAGCCTTTTTTAGCCAAGGCATTCATAAAAGAGGGAAAGCATGCTCCTGGACATGAAATGCCATGAACAAACACAATCTACATTGATATTCACAATAACAGAAATGAGTCGATTTTGTTCCATGGGTTGTCATCAATAGTTTATAATCAACCTTTTCACCATCTTCTGGTCCGATCAAGAAATAATGAGTCTTTCCAAACGGAAGGTCAGCATAAGCCGAGCCTAGTAAATATTAGTATTCAGTGAATCATCACAATATATAACGTAACAATTCATCATCGACTTACTATCCCAAAACTTCTCTTTATAAATTGCATGAGATGACTTGACATCTGCCAAGTTTCCAAGAGGTTGATGATCATGTGGTACAACTTTTCTGTAGATGTAAACGAACGCAACAGTAAGACATAACCCAGTAAGTAACAGCGTACTTCCACATGTAGAAGTCATTTCACCGCCGTATTCGCGTAAATGGAATACTTTTTATCTTGCGGTCAAAAAGTATTTCGCTTAGAAATTAAACTGGTTAAAAATAGTTATTTTCAGTTGAATTGCTTAGATTCTCAATCCTTGTTTGGGATTGCTTGTTACATTCTTTGAGTTATTACAGCAGAGTTTAGGAATTAATATTATGAATGTCTTACATTGTGACATTGTTGCTTGCTGGCAACCCATTTTAATTTTAATGGTGAATATCGCTTGTTTAAACTCTAAAAAACAATATCGAATCAATGACTATCTATCATGTAATTTGACATATTTAATGATTTCATGTTAATACAATTGTGAAATGCAATAGAAAGGGTTTGAACTAGTTGAATAATAAACACTCTTTAAATCCATTTCTGATACTATTCTTGTAGATATTGAATTAGACTATGTTGATATTCATTAGATCAACAGGGTCAATACAACCTTGCTTTCAATCTATATCTTGTATGTCTGCTATTCAATGTATTCAAAGAAACATGTCAACTAAGAAAGGGTTGGCTGTTGTCACTGGAGCATCGAGAGGAATTGGGTTGGCTGTTGCTCATCAATTCATTCAAGCTGGCATTCCTACAGTTCTTGTAAGCAGAAACTTGCCAGTACTTGAGCATATACGATCACAACTGATTCAAACATCCGGCTCTTCACTCTTGCCTGATATTCATATTCGTATGACTGATGTATCAGATGCTTCTCAAGTAGATTTACTCTGTAAAGTAAGTGGAATGTCCAATCTTGAACTCATCCAGATGCTAACTCGACTCTATTAGGAACTGTCTTCATTGGGTCATATTCAGTATTTAGTCAATTCTGCTGGTGTGTCACTCAACAGTCTTCTCATAACAACTACATTAAACCAGATTGAAACAACAATTCATACCAACTTGATGGGTACAATCTTTATGTGTAAAGGTGTCTTGCGTAATATGGTTAAATATCGTTCTGGTTCCATCGTTAATGTTGCTTCAGTTGTTGGTGTCAACACTGCAAGTGCTGGTGCGTCCATCTACGCTGCATCAAAAGCTGGTGTAGTAGGTAATCGAATCTTGTTGAATCCTATTGAATCCTATTGAATCCTATTGAATCTTTGCTTCTAATTCAACTCTTCATATATCAATTTTAGGCTTTACAAAATCTATGGCTGCAGAGGTGGGTGCAAAGGGAATTTATGTGAATGCTATCGCTCCAGGATTTATAGAAACAGACATGACTGCAGACATTTCTACACAGAAACGACAAGATATATTGAACAAGATTCCATTGGGTCGGTTCGGTACTGCTGACGAAGTAGCCAAAGGAGTTTTTTATTTGGCACGAGCATCTTTCACTACAGGTCAATGTTTGGTTATGGATGGTGGACAGACAGCATGATGGATTCTTCAATCTGAAATACTTGAAATACTACCAAAAAATAAATGACAATCATTTTGAAAGATATTCAATGCATTGGTTTATTCATTCATGCAGATATATTCATCTCCAACACGCTCCATAAACTCTTGCAAAACCTGTCGAACCTCGAGTCGATCTACACTCATCATTCGAATAGCAAGTCTAAAGTATCTTGGTAAATGCTTTTTTAGAGCCTTGAGTTGAACCCCTTTGCTTTTTCCATCATTGGTTTCAGTAGGTTCGGAATGTGCAATTCCTTTTTGCGACCACCAATCTCCAGTGCTCAGTAGTTCGCGATAGAATAAAACAACAATCGGACTCCATAACACAATTTCTCTCGAATGCTTTACTGCATCTCCTAGAAACACAATGTAACGTTCAAGCAAATCCATACTTTGCTTAATCAAAGCTTCCATGACCGGATTCTTGGTATGTTCCTTCAACCCTACACTGTCTTGAGATTCAGTAGACGCTAGAGTGGTTGGTGAATCCCCAAGAGTTTTATAAGCACCAAAAAGCATCACAATCAGAGTCGAAAAACTAACAGTTTCTTGCTTGACTAGGTTTGGAAGTTGAGATACCCATCCACGACGCCATATTGCATGACGAAGATCGGTTAGACTGTTGAACGATCTAGCTAGAGTGTAACTTGCATACACGCATTTGAGAATCCGATCACGATCATGAGCTGTCATGACACCAATCGCGTAGGTCTTGCCTCCCAATCGCTGTACTCCATCCGTACAAGATACTGTGTCCAATGAGGATGATATATCTGTTAGACAGAAATCACGAACAGTCTGAAGAAGCTCAAGATGAGTTACACACTTGATAATCGTATGATCAAAATCAAGATCATCTAGTGCTAACGGTACACCCGTCTCTCTTGCCACTGCATGTGCCGACTCCATAATCTCCGACATGTCTATAATATAGTTTTGTGATAGATCTCGATTTAGCGTCGACAACGATGCAATCGCCGCGCCTTGTGGATCATACCCATCCTTTACATTATTATTAAGTGTAGTCGTACCATGACTGTTTTCTAGATCCGGATTAAACGGTCCAGAGCAATTCAACAACTCCACAGGAAGCGTGCGTTTGAATGCTTCTTCAATACTGTCAACCAGCCACGTCCATTTGCCCTGTTTTGCCAGTTTATGGACATTGTTCAACAAAAATTGTTGGAAACAAATCTGACCTGTGGCAGCAAGTTTATCATCCTTTTTACCCATAATAAACAGTATTCGCTCCAATGAGTTTTGTATGAATTCTTGACCACCTGTATCCGGATGCTCTGTGTTGTCACTTGATCCACGCACCAAAAGATCAAAATGCAACGAAATCATTTCAATCAACAATCGCAACCCAAGAATCAATACTGCAGAATTGGCCTCCCCGAATGCAGGCTCGTCGGCAGGATCACTCAGATCTTCAAATATTGGCGAAATAATATTTCGATGGATCGTACGCCAGTACTTGGAATCAAACAAATGACTAGCTGATCGAAGCATATCAAACAAAGTCTCAAGAGTATGCGTGCGTACAAGAACACCCTCGGACTCGATAACAACCCGTGAAAAGGCGGATAGGATAGGAAACCATGATAAATAAAAATGTCCTTCAGAAACACATCCATTTGGCATAAGATAGGCTTGCTGAGGAAGGTTGTTGATTCGAGGAGCACCAGGTGAGGAAAGCGATACGGTTCCGGCAGTCACACCAGTACTTGCCGAACTCGATTGAAGCGTGGGAGCCGCCCCACTTATAGGATACACACTCGGTCGCTTTGTCCGCGGTTTACTATTTGGTAATTCATATTCTTCTTTGGCTCGTTCCACCAATGATTTTGCACAGGATTGAAGAAGCTGGATACTTCCCATCACTAGTTCGTCATGTGCTGGTCCTTGGCCTTTCAACAAGGAAAACTCTGCCAAACAGGATACCAAATCGACAAACCCACCAGTAGATACCACGTCTTCAAAATAAGTACGAAATATCATTTGAATAGTGGAAAAGGCAATCTTGGACAGGCGTTCATCGCCTTTTCCTGCTTTAGCCAGCACGACAAAAATCGATTTCCATCCTGATCGAATGGATGTTGCTTTTGCAGTAATCATATGTGTAATGGATTGTAAAACAAGTTCTCTGATAGCAGGTGATGTTGTATGCCGGATGATCCACTCAAAGCTTCGTAAATATTCGTGCTGAGATGAGAAATGCCCCAATTCTTCCCGTTCAAGAAATTTCATGCACAATTGCCGTAGCGAATCAACTGCAAATGTAGCTACATGCTGATTTGGATGGCATGCAACTATACTAAAGTGGGGCTGCAAGATTCTCCAAATCTGCGTCCATTCAAAACGGATACGTGTAACATTGTAATGTGCAACTTCAACAATTTTTTGTAAAAGATACATACGCGGTGGACCAGGTGTAGCAGTCATAATAGGCTGTCCTTTGGCATCAATACCGACTTCTTCCAACGATACTTGGCATACCGCTCTAAAAAAATGAATAATGGCTGTAGCTGACAAGTTGATGGTTTTTGAAAAAATACGGTCAATAACAATCAGAGACGTTTGACTTTGAAAATCAGAAACAAGATGTTCTAGCGCTGGAGGTATTTTTTTGGGTAGGTGATCGCCAAAAGACGAACTACGGTATCCCGAATCTGTTGTTTCTCCACTATAAAAAGAGCGATCACTAGTGGATTTGTGTGAATCAGTAGATCGATTATCTCGTAAAGACGACCCTACATTCACCTCCATATTGGGTTGTGCAGAATGCAGTACAGCCATCTGCATACGCTCGATTTGGGAAATGGTTTTGATAATTTGCACCCAGCTTGACTCCATTGACTCTGCCAAGTCCTGTGACAAATCAATCAGAGTGCGAATCGCCATGACATTTTTGGGCTTGATGTTGTAAAAATTGCCAAGACTGGTAAGTTTGGCCAGAGAGCTCACAAATGCATCACGTTCAGTTTCCAATTTAAAGGTACATGCAATGCGAATTGCTCCTGAAAAGCCACGTAGACATAGTGTAGAGAGATCTGGTTTAGCCATGTTTGACAACTTTGAAGCAAAGTCAATATTCTGTAATCCTTCGTCAACAGCAGACTCAAACAGCAAACTAAACGTCGCAACAAGAGCCCCAGCTGCCATGGCAAACAT